ACCAATCGCAGCTAATCAAAACACGGTCGTGACCTGAGCCACCGACTGGAAAAAAGGTTTCACGGCCACAGGACAGAAGAATACAAGAAATAATGGTATATTCAAGGGTTCGGACCATGGGACACCTGGTACTTTATCCTTTTACATTATTAATAGTTTTAAGTCACGTGCTAATATTGACCAAATTGCTGTCATAAAATTTAATATAACTTGGATCCCTTTTTTTCAATGTCCTGATATTTAATTTTTCGAAAGAAAAATCATTAAAAAGTCTGTCGTTAAGAAATTTGTACTGTCGAATCTTAAAAAGAAAATAAATGATTTTCTTCGTAATTTTCGTTTTGCCAAACAAAGAAATTTTAACTAAAACATTGCCGCTAGTAATTGAGAAAATAAATGTTTTCGAATCAGAAACATAACGAAAAAAAATATATCCAAATTGAATCGAATCAAATACTTTTGGTTAAAATATACTAATATACCTTGGGTTCCACAAGAACTGGGCATTTATTGTCCTTGCCCTTGCTAGACTTGTTCATGTGCTAGTCATAAATTCAACTTTTTCCGTTTTCTATGCGACGTTTCATTAAAAATTTAGCATGAGCCACCTTTGCCGGGAGTGCGCATATCGGGGTTGTCATCGCCAGCCCACTGCCACTGCCACTCCCACTTCCACACCCACTGCCCCTCCCACTTCCACTCCCGCCCAGTCTATGCCATCTATTCGGGACTTTTGGAGGCTGTAAAGTGCGTTTGTTGGCGTTACTTTATGGCCGGAGCGCATGTAAACACGTGGCCACGTGGCGATGGGGCTACTTGCCAATCCGGAATCCACGGGTAAGGGATGTGGATAGGGTGAGGTGGAGATGGAGATCGAGATGGAGGGAAACGAAGACGGTGATGGTGATGGTGACGGTGACGGAGTCGGGAATGAAGAAAGGGGGGCGGAGTGTTGTCCCAGCTGGGCGGCAACACCAACACGTAATGATTGCCCTTGCCACATATACATGGAGAGAAACGAACAACCACACTACACTTTTTACTTTCTAAACTAATCATAATCTTAAAGTTTTTCTCCATGAGCATGTTTTAGTCTTATCGAGTTTGAACCCATCACAATATGTGATGTGTGACTATAATATGTTATAGCTGCCTATGGAACTCGATTCATTTAACTTAAATAGAAATTCTTTCATTTGTTTTATAACTTTAATTACTATATAAAATATTTGACTGTAAATAGATTATAGATAGAGACTTATTTCTGTGCATTTTTTTTAATATTTGTTTTATTTATTTTACGATTTTGTTCACAGTGCAGAAACAAGCACACCAAGAGCCGCATTAAATTCATGCCCTTCGACAACTGCGCCTCATACATTTTTATGACCCACAGTCATATTTATAGAGTCTCTGGGAATCTGCTGCCACTTAGCGTGTTGTAGCCATGTCTCCTGTCGCTCAGTCTGCCATCGTGCTAAATTAGGCAAAGGATGCCCGGACACGGGATAGATAAGCATCACCGCCAGTCAAGGACGACGCAGGACTTGTCGAAGGAGTGCATTAATTATGCTTATTTATTTACTGCCATTTGTTCATTGTCCGGCCGGGCCATCCCGTGTCATTATCTTTAGCCTCCTGGCATCGGCATCCTGGCATAGTAATCGTCATCGTCATCGTCATCGCCATCGACTCAATTGAATTAATGCGCCCAATTGCATATGAAAATGCCGTAAGAGCGCTTTCGCCGGAAGAATGGCATTACGCGGCAACGTAAAGTGATAACGTTATGATGTGCGTGGCTTAAGCAACGCAAAATGCCCAGCTCTATTTACGTCATGCAATCAGGATGAGCTTAATTCAACGGCCAACTGACTTACGTTAAACACTTGACATTTGTGGCGAAATAAAAGTCATAAAGCGAATAAGAGGGCAGTCAAATGGGAAGCAAAACATTATAGCTTTAAGGAGTTTTCGATCACAGCTATTAAAGAGACCTCCATATAAACATTTGAAATTAATAAAAATAACTTAAGCAATACAAATTGCGAGACATCTCTAATCAATATAGATATATTAAATAAAGGGTGAATGCAACGTTTGTACCAAAACTACAGTGTTGTAACCAATAAACAAGCCAAAAGGCTTAAAGAAAATTCAAATACTATATAAAATCTGCCCTCATGAGCTTGGAGAAAATACGAAAATTTATACTTAGCTTTTAAGTATTTAGTTTCAAGTAATCCAATTTTTTTAAAGCCCAGTTATTGGCAAAAAAAGTGTATGCTTAATATTTTTTCCGCTTATAAAACCAATAATTGATAATTTTTCGAACGAAATATTTGAAAGCCAAAAGTGTGATTCACATACATTATAAGTAAAAATTTATTGGTGTACAGTAATTAAATGCCGAAAAACAAGCCAAGAAACCAAAAAGTTGACCTTTTTCTCATAATGTGATGGAATATTTAAGTGAATTCAAAACTTTTATTTTATATTCGCGACGGACTCAGCCTCGAAAGTCCCATAGTTTGCATTACGCTGTGCCATGATTGCGCAGATTCCATCTTTGCACTTTTACCCACAAACGTAAGACCGCTTGCGTTAGTTCGAAGCCGTGCAAATCGCCTAAGCCGAACACGCTCTCCTTTCTCGAATGCGGCAAAAGACAAAAGCCCCCTTGAACACAAAGAATACAAAATAAAAAACAAGGGAACAGAATGAAACGAAACGAAACGAGCATAAATAAAGGGAAAATGCGAAATACAAAATACCAGCGATATTTCAAAAAGCAACCACATACGTGAGAGCCCGAGCAAATCTTCGGGAAAGCGGAAGGAAACGGCAGCCGGTGGAAAATGTATAAATCGCCAACGAAATCTCAGCCATTATTTGGCATTATTGAAGTAAACGAATTTCAAAATGCAAGCCATTCGCAACAAGGCAAATGTCTTTAAAATCGACCAATTTGGAAACGAGATTAAAAGGAAGTCGGCAGACAGAAGGCAGCAAGTGGCAAGTGGAAGCCGGGATCCGGATGCGGAGGGCAGGACACTGGGGGCGGGACGCGGGGCGCAGGATGCGGGGCACGTCCTTGGGCAGTGTCAATAAAGCGCAACAAAGAGCTCGGCCAAGAGCAAGTCGTGTCAATATTTTGACTGTGTTTTAGCCTTGGCTCCTGTGTCTCTGTGCGGGAATTTGTATCGGAATCGGCACACTGCCAGAAAACTATGGGTAACTAGCCACAAAACTGCACTATGACGACACTTAATTATGGTTGCTTATATTATTTTAATGCTATTTAATTTATTATTGTATCATGCCCAATTTTGACTTGAGTTGTAAAAAAACACATTATATTTCGTATACGCCAATGCCAATAAAAGACAATTATAAGTAAAATAATGAAATGGCATTTTTAGGTAGTTTCGCATTTATTGTTTCTTATTTAACACTCAAAAAAAATCCGGAAATATGCTTCATCTACAGTCTGTGACAATTGGCGATTTGTTAAAGTTTCCAGGAAAGCAAAGTACTTTAAATTATCATTGGCCAATAGTAATCGGTCATAAAACAAGTTTTTATTTATACTCTACTTTTTATTAGTTTTTTAAAAATGAAAACGTATCTTTAAATGACCATGTAAAACCTAAGTTAATTAACAATCTTTTAAAAATCATGTTATACTAAAACATCGTGAAATACTCCGAAACAAATTCAACAAATTAAGATATTTTATATAATTTAAAGGGAATTTTAATATATTCTTGTAATTTACATCAAATTTGGTTTAAATCTTACACTTTTATTAAATAATATATTTAGTAAAGAAGACAACTAGATCAGTTTTTAAATAGAGACTTCCACAAGCGAATTGTTTAAATAAGCAGTACACAAATATAAGTGTATATTTTGGATGGTAGCTTTGCATATATTTACTAATGTCTATGTGAGTGATTTCGCGCAGTGCACCTGTGTGTCTTGGGAGTTCTGCTGGTCCTGCGACTGCCTCCTCTCTCCGGAGGTGGCCATGCGCGTCCAGCGTCGGGAATATTGATGCCCCCGGAGCGTGCCGCTGGGAATGCCATGTGCCAGTTGACCATGTCGCAATCGAGAATGGAGATGGGGAGGAAACTAGGAAGGCGGCAGTAGGCAGTCGGCGCATGTTGGGCACTGGAGGGCCCACTGGAGGAACGGTCTGGCCAGGATCCATCTTCTCGGGGCCAGGAGGACATAAATTAGCGGCCGGCCGGGCTCCTACGCGCTCTAAGCACTCGTCGTCGCTCTTGGCCAAAAGTTCTGCGGCTAGCTGCCTCATATTGCGGCACGCAGTTTATCATTGTGTCGGGTCAGCGCTGCGTATGCCGTGCTTTTCCTATGACCCCCTGACCCTTGACCCCCGACCCCCGACCCCAGACCCCTTCATCGCATAGTGCGCTCACCGTAACACAACCTACAAGTTAACAACGGCCGAGTGCGGCTGCTGCTGTTGCACATCACGTGACTTGCCAGCCAAATGAAATTCTCGGAGGCGCCACATGGCGCACAACGCTTCCGTAATTGAGTTGCCGTCGCATACATGTGTGTTTCTCTGCATGTAATTACTTAATATTCCCGTCTTGAGGAAGGACATTTTGCACTCGCCAAAACCCATCGAGTTTCCAGACTTAGTTATAACCACCGGAAATGATAGTCGCATCATTTGATATCAGCAAATATTATTCGTTTTAAAGTAAGTTGCGAGTTCATAAAGAAGATTCGACAGTCTTTTTAATAGCCCATAAGGGCAACAATTTAATTTAAAAGTCCAAACATTACATAAAATCCATTAAGCGTAAATCCAATTTAAGAGCCAAAAGATGTCATATAGGAATCTCAACGCACAAAATATATTTTGTTTTCACCATTTCGACAGTGCCTAAAAAATGTTTATTAAGTGACTTTAGGCCTTGAATTTATTTATTGCTTCTAATAAATGCTCACCATAATATATTTCTTTAGTTTTTAAAGCTTACTCAATTTATTAATGAAAACATATTTTATTTGCCAATATAGTATCAATTAACCAGCATTAAATTAAATTATGAATTCATATTAAGTTCATACAGCTAGTTCAAAGAAAAAAACTTAAAGGAATTTTTGCAGACGATTTGATAAATTCATACTTACCATATAGTATTCTTGAATTTTCATAGTTTACAAAATATACAATTTTTTTGCTATTATCCCAAGATTCTAAGAACAGCTTTTGCAAATTCTTCGATAAAAACAAATTTTTATGGATACTGGAAGTCGGACACCTCACTAGAACTTAATAATGCTTTGAACGATCTAATTTCTCAGTGATTCCCTCTAGTATTCTATAAGATACCTCTGCAGAGTTTAATAATTAATCATAATAAATAACTCAGACAACTTACCGGAACTTAAGAATACTGGAAGATGTCACTCAAATATTTCATCGGATTGTCTGATTGTTTCTAAGTCACCGAGGAATCCGATCAAACATTAAAATGTGCCTAGTTTATATACTTCCAGAGTTTAATGACATACAATAATAAATATATCAGGACACTTACCATTTCATTATTTCCTCTGATTTACCAGTAACTCAAAATCAATCGGACATTCCTCAAGTTTTTGAAAATAAATCAGGGATCAGGGCTCAATAATGAATCAGTTTGTTTGTTTGTTTCATCATTATTTATCTCTCCATCAAATATACCTTTCGGATGAGATTCCAATATCTCAGACCCTGTATCATATATTTTCACTTCTAAGGATCCATCAAGTCGCATACGTTTAATTGGGGGCTCCATTAATATGTCATATTTCCCAGGTGAAAAGGACCTTGCCTTTTTCTTGCCAGCAAGGGACTCGGGTTTCATTTCAGGTAATGGTTCCATCGTGAAAAACAATAATACTCCGTCTATTATCTATGTATGAGGTTTTACGAAATGTTATTATGTTGTCGAATGCTGTTTGTCAAATGTAACTCTCCTAACTCGAATGACAACGTGTAAATATCCATATAATCAACTAAATCAAGGCCTGCTTATTTATTTTCACGTAGTTGATAATCAAACCGCAACAGGGCCCCTCCGGATTTACCACTCCCCTTACTAACTCGCCCGATATTAGTTTTTAATTATGCTACACTTGATTGCATTAACTTGCCCACGCAGTTGTTTATGCAAACACGTAAAAAAAAAGGCCGCTGGGCAGGCGAGAGATGTGAAAGTGCTGCGAAATGCAATGAAATAAATAATGACCACAAAAATGCAATTTAATACAAATCTAATTCGAGCACATCAAACTGGCCAGCTGTCCGTGTGTAAAGACCCCATCCATGCCAAATCCCGACCGTTCATGGCGATTTTTAATTGAAAGCGCGACTTTTGGGCTTTTGACCAAACACACCCACGCAGACAGCAGCATTGGCAACAGCAGCTGCATAAATTTCATTAGTAAACTTTTAATTAGAAAAATTTCAGCATGAATTTAATTAGTGCAGATACACACACACATGGCCGGAGAGACAAAGCTGGAAATTAAATTTAATAAAACGAAAATGAAAATGAAATGCAGCTAGCCCACTGCCAACACCTGACAACTGGCTGACAATAGTAATGGCAACGGACAACGGTCAACGGACAACGGCGACCGGTAGGGGAAAAGCCAACCAACCGCGTTACGTATACGCAATATTATCAGCCATGACACAAAGCCTCCAAAAGCATCATCACTCTTCTCGATTCGTAAACTGAGTATAAGATTAAAGACAGTTTAGCCGAGCACAAATCACAATACAATACAAACAAGGCACCATTAAAAATGCAATGACTTATTGAAAACTATTCTTTTAAAAAGCTTAAATGTAAATTAAGCAAAAGTATTTCTAATTAGGTAAGTGACGATTGCATATTGAACATCCAATATATATATAGCAAAATATTTTATAAATTCTTATACAGAAATACCTTTTCTACAATATTCCCTGACTACACTTTTTTTAATTTTACTCTTTTTACTTTCACCGCAAATTATTCTAAACCAATTTACTATTGTAGTCGTCGACGGCACGCGCTTAGTGCAATTCGTCACTACGTGATCTTTCGTCCAAAATAAAGCTTAAAAGGATTTTATATTAATACTTATAAATTCAAGTTTTGCTTTTCATACTTTCTTTTTATTCTGTCATAAACTCTTAATCTGTCTTGTTTTAAAAAGTACAAGAACCTTTTTTAATGACTCTTAATTAAGACAGGAAAAACCAAAAGATAAACAAAGCACACACATGAAAAGGACTAAAGTTCGGTAGATTTACCAGAGCTGCATCGTGTAATTATGTCTTGGCAGATTCGACCAACTAATTGCCAAGGTAACAACCCAGGACACGAAGTCAGCCATCGCAAACGTCACGTTCTGTTGCCAGCAATTATGTGGCCCACACAATCACACGGACACAAAGAGATCACCGCGAGCCAGTCCAAAATACACTGGGCGAAATATGCTAATTATGATGGGGGGCCTTCGTCGCCGGACATTAGAATGCCACCCAGATGCTGTGACGCAACCGTTGTGTGGCCAAGCACCGATTATGGCCCAGTTAACTCAAGCCCAAGACAAGAATGGCTTACCTCAACACCGCCGAACTCTCGAAACACATCAGGAAAATGTACGTCGCCTTGGTTACATTTCTGCATGCCATCGGAAACTAAAATAATGCCATCATAAGAATGGGTACGAAAATTGAACTGCATTTGAAGATTATTTTAAAATGAAGATTATAAAAGAATTAAGCCACAAATTTGTATGGTCAAGTTATCGGTTGTAAAAGTGCAGTTTTAAGTCACATTTTAAAAGGAAATTGGAAACTTGGAAATGAACAGGTAACATAAAAACGAATAACAAAATTAAACAGCACTAAAATAATAAATTTTAGTGAAGATTACACCACATTTATGCCACTTAAAAAATGGGATGTTATTAGTCAAAGCAAACAAAAATTTATAAAGACAAAGCTTAGTTAAAAATGCTTATAAAAATGTACATTAGATACAATGTTGTAAATTATTGCATTTAATACTTCATTTTAGATAAATTACAAGCTAAAATGAAATATTAACTGCATAAATTCACAAACGTGTAAAGGTTCAGAATCGGAATATAATGGATTTAGTTATGGGCTCAATGGGTACGGCGGTCATTAAAAAATCTGTAGTTATTTTGTTTTGTAAAGTTATGTATGAGCATATTTGCATTGGCAGTGGTGTTTGTAAATGTTTTTTTTTCACGGGCACTTCTTCGACAAACAATTGTTTATGCTCTTCCGCCACTTCTTGTTTGGCTTGGTGACACTTTCATAGATGTGGCATTCCGATATGATTATCTCAGACCCCGAGGTCAGGTGGCGTCACGCTTAACGTGATGTACTGCCGCAATTGGTGTAATTACAGAATGAGGAAGTGCAGTGGTCGATGGGCAGCCAGACGTATGGTAATTATGCTGCCAATCATAACGCCAAGCGGGGTGTGAGGGGGTTACCCGACCCCAAATGTATTTTCGTACACATTTTCAGAGTAATTTATGTTTAGTCGCTGCTAAATTTATTGTTTTTATTTAACAACTGCAGCGTTGACGTCGGCGGCAATTAATCGCTGCGTGATTAATCATTTTCTATGCAAATTATATATATGCCAGCACCCCGTTCGTTCGTCCCTTCTCAAACACGCAAACTTCTCCAACTATGACTTCCACTTCGAATTCGACTTGACCGGTCCGATCTGATGTCTGCCAGTAGATCTTTAATTACAGCAGCAGTTAAAAGACGATGTCGACGAAAAATACTAGTACAGGTCTGGCCAGCTCGGATCGTGGCCATTTATTAGCTATTGCGTTTGCCGCGCACAAATCGTTCATAATCATATCTTGATAATCATATATGCGAGAGAACTTCAACTGAGTCAGTGAAAAAAATTCCCAAGACTTATAGAATGAGCAATTTGAATGGTAATTGTAAGTGGCACTGTAAATCATTAAGGGTTTATCTGTGAGAGTGACGCATAAATTTATCAGATCAATGAATAATGGGAAACTCATAACAGCAGCACTCTGAAAAATAGATCAGAAAACACGTATAAGGCTTATACATTGAATATAACAATTTGTTTCAAAATTTTAAACTGTTTGTTTTAAACGCAGAAATCAATTCTTTAAGTTCGGCCATTATTCTTAGAAATAAAAGTCAATGATCGCATCGGATGAGCCGATCTTCTTAAAGAAACTCAGTGATGTGATATAGCCAGGAAAGCAAAATAAACAGCCACATCGTAATTGGTCAATAAAAGAAGCGAAATCTAGATTTATAATCCGAACAGTTAAATACCCTCGTAGATTTTTACGAAAAATAGTTTAAAACCAAAAGATTAACAGACGTTGCTTTATTTTACGATCTCATAACATAACACGTACGAAATTAAATGGAACAGCTTGTTGTGTCATGGTAGCCCCCGTTATTAATACCCTTTCAGTATTTCGATTTCGTCTATTTTTATTTAAATACTATAAATCCTTATTACATTTTATTCTTTGCAGCTTATTTCCTTTTATAATTAAATTGTGATTCTTAAGACGAAAGCAATTAACTTATATTCTTGATTTAAATCATGTTTTGACTAAAAATAATATTTTCTTTGGAAGTGCCGTTTCCACATTATTTATATAAATTACAGTTGATAGCCCAAAATATTTAAATTTACAGAAATTTAAAATTTGATTTATAAATTGAATATTTTACGTAAATATCAGTAAACAATAAGTTTTAGATATATTTTTCCATTTAAATTAAAGAACACACCTTATCTTGAAATACTTCAAAACCAAGACTTTTACTTATGAAAATACAATAAGCAATGAAAGTTATTGGTAAATTAAAAAGAAACTGTCAGATCATGGTCTTAAACAAGACTTGCTAGTTGATCATGGGATCATAAAATATAATCAAGAATCGAATTGACCCAGACTCGAATCCAGAATCAATAAACATCTCGATCCATTCTTTTTTTGCTTTTTCGGGGATGGCCATTCGACGTCACAACGGCCAGAGTCATAATCATACGTTTTTTCTTTTTATTGGCGTTTTTGGTTTTTGCATATTGCTTTTGTTAGTGCTTTTAGTGCGGAGCTTCAGCTGTCGAAGCATTGTTATTTTAATTAACGACGATTAGGTGTGAGGCACGTTTCTGTCGACGTTTCTTTAATTTCTGTATTTTTCTGCGTTCTTTACATTTTGTTTTTTTTTTTTGTTTTTTTGCTTGTATTATTTTTTTTGGTTACTACGGCTCGTTGCTGTTGTCTGTGTTATGTTAACGGCTCTTGGTCGGGTTAGTTTTGTAAAACTCGGCGGAAAGTCAATAATAATTCCCCGACTCGGCTACTTATCGGCAATTGCCTTGAAGCGAGCATTTTTCCCACACTTGCCGGCAGTAACTGATTAAACCACTTACACGGGGGCCAGACCCAGACCTAGACCTAGACCCACCATCAATCCCCGGAGCGATGAGCCGACGCCAAACCGGTCCTCCACAGGTCGGTTCGAATCGGTTCGGTGATGATATAGTGGTTATCTACCTTTGCAGTGAGTGCGGTGCAATGCCGGAAGCTAGATGAAAAGAGGGTGGCTAATTTCCAGACGAGTTCCCACATTTTTGCACTGCGAAAAAACACTCCAGACATTGGAAAACTTGTTCTCAACGGTTCAAACAAATAAGATTACAAATAAACTAGCGGTTCTACATTTAAATTGCCAATCAGTTAGAATGAGTATGTACATGCAAAACAAAAAACTCGATGTTTTAAGTGCAGAAATATTTTAATAATTAAAAAAACAAATTTCAAAGAAGTTTTACTTTTTAGAACATTTCAACCCTTTCAATTGTTTTTTATCTGTGTAAAGTTAGTTTGTAAAACTGATCAGATTACGAGCAATATCTGGACGGATTGGATTCCATTTTTATTGGCTTTTAATTTTTAATGGTTTTGATGGTTAACATTTCTGTTTCCATTATTAATATTTATTTATTACACTATTTATGTATAATTTTATAACTAAATCTATTGAATACTTAGTTGGGTACAGTAAGCAATCTTAAATAAATGTTAAACAAACCCTTTTGCGAAATTATAAGTATAGATTTAAGACTTGAGTAATTTAGACGTATTTATCATTTCAACATATTTTTGTTTTCATCAGCAGAAATTTTTCGCCTTTTCTGAGTACTAACTATTTCTTATCCTCGTTTATCATAGTTTCAATAGAGTTACTCTTTAATATTAAGCATATGTTTCGGTTCTCATTTGCGTTTCAGAGGTACCATTGCTATTAATAGCTAATTTCTGCCCAATCGGAACTACTAATCATACCAGTGGTTCCCGGTGATTAAAATAATATTTTAAGAATGGGCAGATCTGATGTCCTCATCTTGAAGCTCCACTTGCCGCCGCCACTAATTCCCGTGGCTAATTTCTTTCTAATGAGAACCAGTTATGGACCCCGCAGCGCTGCCCAACCCTAAGATGTGGGAAAAGCAGCGACGCTGCCCATTCATAAACCCAAAGTGCGGCTCGACCCCAGCTCAGTAGCGTGTTGACCGTCGAGATGCCGAGATTGTCGAGCAAGTGCAGCGTCGTCGCCAGCGCCGCCGCAGTGCTCCTGCTGACCCTGGTCCGTTTGAGGGGTTTGGCCGCAGCCACGCCCACGACCACGCCCATGGGCGGATACTGCAAGGTGTCCCTGTGTGAGCTGTACAACGGGACGCATGTGGTGCATGTGCCGCATACCGCTTGCGGCAACAACGGCAGCTTTGCCCCCTCCTGTGGCCCGGAACCCAAGCTCCTGGAAATGAGCGATCGAAGGCGTCAGCTCCTGCTGGACATGCACAATTTGGCCAGGTCGAAGATCGCCAGCGGAGATCTGGACGGCTACCGCAGTGCCGCCCACATGCCGCTCCTGCGATGGGACACCGAGCTGGAGCAGATGGCCGCCCTGCACGTCAAGCGCTGCCAATTCGCCCACGACAAGTGCCGCAATACGCCGCGCTTCAAGTTCAGCGGCCAGAATATCGGATATTTCTGGATCGGACGCGAGTTCAAGTCGCATTCGCGCCGCATGAAGTCCTTTGTAATCAACTGGTTCCGCGAATACCAGGACGCCAACCAGGGCTTCATCGATAAATATCACCCGCATCCGCAGGGGTAAGTCCGTCGAGTACTGTGAACCAAATCATTAAACCTCTAAAGAAGATTGTGTTATTTAAATTTTCCTTAAAAGTTCACTGATGGTTTCTATAATACCTATTAAATCTTCACTTACAGCTCATTGAGTTCTTATAAGGTTTTGTCTAAACAACATGCTAGTTTAAATTTTTAATTCTTTTGTTTTTTAGTTAGAACAGATACTTTCTAAAATTCTTCTTTCTAAAAGTACTCCACATTAAAAATTATAAACTTCTACCTAATAAAAATACTACATACAAAGGCAGTAAATGAAACCCTTAACAACAAAAAAGTTTGCTAAATAACAACGAGCGTTCCTAAGCTCGCTATATGATATTGTTTTCCGATTCTGACATTTTGACATTCTTTACTCGAGCTGTTTAAGTTATAAATGACTGTTTTATTCGAGATAAAGCTAAACAAATCGTTCAAGCCTACAGATAAAATTAGCTTACAGTTTAAAAACAAATTTGCTTAAGCTATTTAAGTTTCGATTTTAATTTATCACCATTTAATCTGCTCTTTTTCACTCGCAGCAAGAAGATCGGCCACTTCACGCTTTTGGTCTCGGATCGAGTGCAGCGCGTGGGCTGCGCAGCTGTCCGCTTCCTAGAGCCAAATGCCAATCGATTCCAGTTCATGATGACGTGCAACTATGACTACAACAACATATTCAACGAGCCCATCTACCAATCGGGTCCGGCGGGATCCAAGTGCGCCCAGCACCGAGTTAGCGAGAAGTTCCCCGGATTGTGCGACTGGCGGGACCCATCCAACGACCTTGAGAGCGAGGAGAGCGCCGAGGACGAAAACACCCTCGACAACAATATACCCCTGTAAAAATCCTAAATACCTCGGATATGGAAATAATACTCGAAGTTCTAGACAGTACAAGAAGGCTTCCAGCAAACCTGGAAAAAGTTACACACCATACGTTTTTTTTCTATTGTTTAAGCAATAAATTTTATTTTAATTTAATTGTAAAATTCATTTCAAAAGATTGCATTATAATTACGCTGAAAATCTCTACATAAGTTCAGTGTTTATTAGTATAGAAAAGTACATTAATTATGGTTTCAAATTCATTTTCCCGATAGTGATATTCTATCTCGACTTTTTAAGCTTCTACAAAACACCGGACACGGTTGTTAACGGTGCCCCAGAAATTATATCAAATATATTGAACGGAGGGAGTGATGCCGTCGTTCCAGCCTCTGTGGAAGACTCCACGGCTGTTGTCTTAGATGGTTTCACAGTAGTCGGTTTCTTCGATGTTCCCTCTGTGGGCTTAAGAGTCGTTGGCTTCTCAGTTGGTTTCAGAGTTGTCGGTTTTGCCGAAGTTCCCTCAGTGGGCTTAAGAGTCGTTGGCTTCTCAGTTGGTTTCAGAGTTGTCGGCTTCGCCGAAGTTCCCTCTGTGGGCTTAAGAGTCGTTGGCTTCTCAGTTGGTTTCAGAGTTGTCGGTTTTGCCGAAGTTCCCTCTGTGGGCTTGGGAGTCGTTGGCTTCTCAGTTGGTTTCAGAGTTGTCGGTTTCTTCGATGTTCCCTCTGTGGGCTTAAGAGTCGTTGGCTTCTCAGTTGGTTTCAGAGTTGTCGGTTTCTTCGATGTTCCCTCTGTGGGCTTAAGAGTCGTTGGCCTCTCAGTTGGTTTCAGAGTTGTCGGTTTCGCCGAAGTTCCCTCTGTGGGCTTGGAAGTCGTTGGCTTCTCAGTTGGTTTCAGAGTTGTGGGTTTCGCCGAAGTTCCCTCTGTGGGCTTAAAAGTCGTTGGTTTCTCAGTTGGTTTTAGAGTTGTCGGTTTCGCCGAAGTTCCCTCAGTGGGCTTAAGAGTGGTTGGCTTCTCAGTTGGTTTTAGAGTTGTCGGTTTCGCCGAAGTTCCCTCTGTGGGCTTAAGAGTCGTTGGCTTCTCAGTTGGTTTTAGAGTTGTCGGTTTCGCCGAAGTTCCCTCTGTGGGCTTGGGAGTCGTTGGCTTCTCAGTTGGTTTCAGAGTTGTCGGCTTCGCCGAAGTTTCCTCAGTGGGCTTGGGAGTCGTTGGCTTCTGAGTTGGTTTCAGAGTTGTGGGTTTCGCCGAAGTTCCCTCTGTGGGCTTAAGAGTCGTTGGCCTCTCAGTTGGTTTCAGAGTTGTCGGTTTCGCAGAAGTTCCCTCTGTGGGCTTAAGAGTCGTTGGCTTTTCAGTTGGTTTCAGAGTTGTCGGTTTCGCCGAAGTTCCCTCTGTGGGCTTGGGAGTCGTAGGTCTCTCAGTTGGTTTCAGAGTTGTCGGGTTCGCCGAAGTTCCCTCTGTGGGCTTAAGAGTCGTTGGTTTCTCAGTTGGTTTCAGAGTTGTCGGTTTCGCCGAAGTTCCCTCTGTGGGCTTAAGAGTCGTTGGCTTCTCAGTTGGTTTCAGAGTTGTCGGTTTCGCCGAAGTTCCCTCTGTGGGCTTAAGAGTCGTTGGCTTCTCAGTTGGTTTCAGAGTTGTCGGTTTCGCCGAAGTTCTCTTAGTGGGCTTAAGAGTCGTTGGTTTCTCAGTTGGTTTCAGAGTTGTCGGTTTCGCCGAAGTTCCCTCAGTGGGCTTGGGAGTCGTTGGTTTTTCAGTTGGTTTCAGAGTTGTCGGTTTCGCCGAAGTTCCCTCTGTGGGCTTACGAGTCGTTGGCTTTTCAGTTGGTTTCAGAGTTGTCGGTTTCACCGAAGTTCCCTCTGTGGGCTTAAGAGTCGTTGGTTTCTCAGTTGGTTTCAGAGTTGTCGGTTTCGCCGAAGTTCCCTCTGTGGGCTTAAGAGTGGTTGGCTTTTCAGTTGGTTTCAGAGTTGTCGGTTTCGCCGAAGTTCTCTCAGTGGGCTTGGGAGTCGTTGGTTTTTCAGTTGGTTTCAGAGTTGTCGGTTTCGCCGAAGTTCCCTCTGTGGGCTTAAGAGTCGTTGGCTTCTCAGTTGGTTTCAGAGTTGTCGGTTTCGCCGAAGTTCTCTTAGTGGGCTTAAGAGTCGTTGGTTTCTCAGTTGGTTTCAGAGTTGTCGGTTTCGCCGAAGTTCCCTCTGTGGGCTTAAGAGTCGTTGGCTTTTCAGTTGGTTTCAGAGTTGTCGGTTTTGCCGAAGTTCCCTCTGTGGGCTTAAAAGTCGTTGGCTTTTCAGTTGGTTTCAGAGTTGTCGGTTTCGCCGAAGTTCCCTCTGTGGGCTTAAGAGTGGTTGGCTTTTCAGTTGGTTTCAGAGTTGTCGGTTTCGCCGAAGTTCTCTCAGTGGGCTTAAGAGTCGTTGGTTTTTCAGTTGGTTTCAGAGTTGTCGGTTTCGCCGAAGTTCCCTTTGTGGGCTTAAGAGTCGTTGGTTTTTCAGTTGGTTTCAGAGTTGTCGGTTTCGCCGAAGTTCCCTCTGTGGGCTTAAGAGTCGTTGGTTTCTCAGTTGGTTTCAGAGTTGTCGGTTTCGCCGAAGTTCCCTCTGTGGGCTTAAGAGTCGTTGGTTTCTCAGTTGGTTTCAGAGTTGTCGGTTTCGCCGAAGTTCCCTCTGTGGGCTTAAGAGTCGTTGGCTTTTCAGTTGGTTTCAGAGTTGTCGGTTTTGCCGAAGTTCCCTTTGTGGGCTTAAAAGTCGTTGGCTTTTCAGTTGGTTTCAGAGTTGTCGGTTTCGCCGAAGTTCCCTCTGTGGGCTTAAGAGTCGTTGGTTTCTCAGTTGGTTTCAGAGTTGTCGGTTTCGCCGAAGTTCCCTCTGTGGGCTTAAGAGTCGTTGGTTTTTCAGTTGGTTTCAGAGATGTCGGTTTCGCCGAAGTTCCCTCTGTGGGCTTAAGAGTCGTTGGTTTCTCAGTTGGTTTCAGAGTTGTCGGTTTCGCCGAAGTTCCCTCTGTGGGCTTAAGAGTCGTTGGCTTTTCAGTTGGTTTCAGAGTTGTCGGTTTCGCCGAAGTTCCCTCAGTGGGCTTGGGAGTCGTTGGCTTTTCAGTTGGTTTCAGAGTTGTCGGTTTCGCCGAAGTTCCCTCTGTGGGCTTAAGAGTCGTTGGCTTCTCAGTTGGTTTCAGAGTTGTCGGTTTCGCCGAAGTTCCCTCTGTGGGCTTGGGAGTGGTTGGTTTCTCAGTTGGTTTCGCAGTTGTCGGTTTCGCCGAAGTTCCCTCTGTGGGCTTAAGAGTCGTTGGTTTCTCAGTTGGTTTCAGAGTTGTCGGTTTCGCCGAAGTTCCCTCTGTGGGCTTAAGAGTCGTTGGCTTTTCAGTTGGTTTCAGAGTTGTCGGTTTCGCCGAAGTTCCATCTGTGGGCTTGGGAGTCGTAGGCTTCTCAGTTGGTTTCAGAGTTGTCGGTTTCGCCGAAGTTCCCTCTGTGGGCTTAAGAGTCGTAGGCTTCTCAGTTGGTTTCAGAGTGGTCGGTTTCGCCGAAGTTCCCTCTGTGGGCTTAAGAGTCGTTGGCTTCTCAGTTGGTTTCAGAGTTGTCGGTTTCGCCGAAGTTCCCTCTGTGGGCTTGGGAGTGGTTGGTTTCTCAGTTGGTTTCGCAGTTGTCGGTTTTGCCGAAGTTCCCTCTGTGGGCTTAAGAGTCGTTGGTTTCTCAGTTGGTTTCTCAGTTGGTTTCAGAGTTGTCGGTTTCGCCGAAGTTCCCTCTGTGGGCTTAAGAGTTGTCGGCTTCTCAGTTGGTTTCAGAGTTGTCGGTTTCGCCGAAGTTCCCTCTGTGGGCTTGGGAGTGGTTGGTTTCGCAGTTGTCGGTTTCGCCGAAGTTCCCTCTGTGGGCTTAAGAGTCGTTGGTTTCTCAGTTGGTTTCAGAGTTGTCGGTTTCGCCGAAGTTCCCTCTGTGGGCTTAAGAGTCGTTGGCTTCTCAGTTGGTTTCAGAGTTGTCGGTTTCGCAGAAGTTCCCTCTGTGGGCTTAAGAGTCGTTGGCTTTTCAGTTGGTTTCAGAGTTGTCGGTTTCGCCGAAGTTCCCTCTGTGGGCTTGGGAGTCGTAGGCTTCTCAGTTGGTTTCAGAGTTGTCGGTTTCGCCGAAGTTCCCTCTGTGGGCTTGGGAGTGGTTGGTTTCTCAGTTGGTTTCGCAGTTGTCGGTTTTGCCGAAGTTCCCTCTGTGGGCTTAAGAGTCGTTGGTTTCTCAGTTGGCTTCTCAGTTGGTTTCAGAGTTGTCGGTTTCGCCGAAGTTCCCTCTGTGGGCTTAAGAGTAGTTGGCTTTTCAGTTGGTTTCAGAGTTGTCGGTTTCGCCGAAGTTCCCTCTGTGGGCTTAAGAGTCGTTGGTTTCTCAGTTGGTTTCAGAGTTGTCGGTTTCGCCGAAGTTCCCTCTGTGGGCTTGGGAGTGGTTGGTTTCTCAGTTGGTTTCGCAGTTGTCGGTTTCGCCGAAGTTCCCTCTGTGGGCTTAAGAGTCGTTGGTTTCTCAGTTGGTTTCAGAGTTGTCGGTTTCGCCGAAGTTCCCTCTGTGGGCTTAAGAGTTGTCGGCTTCTCAGTTGGTTTCAGAGTTGTCGGTTTCGCTGAAGTTCCCTCTGTGGGCTTGGGAGTGGTTGGTTTCTCAGTTGGTTTCGCAGTTGTCGGTTTCGCCGAAGTTCCCTCTGTGGGCTTAAGAGTCGTTGGCTTCTCAGTTGGTTTCAGAGTTGTCGGTTTCGCCGAAGTTCCCTCTGTGGGCTTAAGAGTCGTTGGTTTCTCAGTTGGTTTCAGAGTTGTGGGTTTCGCCGACGTTCCCTCTGTGGGCTTGGGAGTCGTTGGCTTCTCAGTTGGTTTCAGAGTTGTCGGTTTCGCCGAAGTTCCCTCTGTGGGCTTAAGAGTTGTCGGCTTCTCAGTTGGTTTCAGAGTTGTCGGTTTCGCCGAAGTTCCCTCTGTGGGCTTGGGAGTGGTTGGTTTCTCAGTTGGTTTCGCAGTTGTCGGTTTCGCCGAAGTTCCCTCTGTGGGCTTAAGAGTCGTTGGTTTCTCAGTTGGTTTCAGAGTTGTCGGTTTCGCCGAAGTTCCCTCTGTGGGCTTAAGAGTCGTTGGCCTCTCAGTTGGTTTCAGAGTTGTCGGTTTCGCCGAAGTTCCCTCTGTGGGCTTAAGAGTAGTTGGCTTTTCAGTTGGTTTCAGAGTTGTCGGTTTCGCCGAAGTTCCCTCTGTGGGCTTAAGAGTCGTTGGCTTTTCAGTTGGTTTCAGAGTTGTCGGTTTCGCCGAAGTTCTCTCAGTGGGCTTGGGAGTCGTAGGCTTCTCAGTTGGTTTCAGAGTTGTCGGTTTCGCCGAAGTTCCCTCTGTGGGCTTAAGAGTCGTGGGTTTCTCAGTTGGTTTCAGAGTTGTGGGTTTCGCCGACGTTCCCTCTGTGGGCTTGGGAGTCGTTGGCTTCTCAGTTGGTTTCAGAGTTGTCGGTTTCGCCGAAGTTCCCTCTGTGGGCTTGGGAGTCGTTGGCTTCTCAGTTGGTTTCAGAGTTGTCGGTTTCGCTGAAGTTCCCTCTGTGGGTTTAAGAGTTGTCGGCTTCTCAGTTGGTTTCAGAGTTGTCGGTTTCGCCGAAGTTCCCTCTGTGGGCTTGGGAGTGGTTGGTTTCTCAGTTGGTTTCGCAGTTGTCGGTTTCGCCGAAGTTCCCTCTGTGGGCTTAAGAGTAGTTGGTTTCTCAGTTGGTTTCAGAGTTGTCGGTTTCGCCGAAGTTCCCTCTGTGGGCTTGGGAGTCGTTGGCTTCTCAGTTGGTTTCAGAGTTGTCGGTTTCGCTGAAGTTCCCTCTGTGGGTTTAAGAGTCGTTGGCTTTTCAGTTGGTTTCAGAGTTGTCGGTTTCGCCGAAGTTCCATCTGTGGGCTTGGGAGTCGTAGGCTTCTCAGTTGGTTTCAGAGTTGTCGGTTTCGCCGAAGTTCCCTCTGTGGGCTTAAGAGTCGTAGGCTTCTCAGTTGGTTTCAGAGTGGTCGGTTTCGCCGAAGTTCCCTCTGTGGGCTTAAGAGTCGTAGGCTTCTCAGTTGGTTTCAGAGTGGTCGGTTTCGCCGAAGTTCCCTCTGTGGGCTTAAGAGTCGTTGGTTTCTCAGTTGGTTTCAGAGATGTCGGTTTCGCCGAAGTTCCCTCTGTGGGCTTAAGAGTCGTTGGTTTCTCAGTTGGTTTCAGAGTTGTGGGTTTCGCCGACGTTCCCTCTGTGGGCTTAAGAGTCGTTGGCTTCTCAGTTGGTTTCAGAGTTGTCGGTTTCGCCGAAGTTCCCTCTGTGGGCTTAAGAGTTGTCGGCTTCTCAGTTGGTTTCAGAGTTGTCGGTTTCGCCGAAGTTCCCTCTGTGGGCTTGGGAGTGGTTGGTTTCTCAGTTGGTTTCGCAGTTGTCGGTTTCGCCGAAGTTCCCTCTGTGGGCTTAAGAGTCGTTGGTTTCTCAGTTGGTTTCAGAGTTGTCGGTTTCGCCGAAGTTCCCTCTGTGGGCTTAAGAGTTGTCGGCTTCTCAGTTGGTTTCAGAGTTGTCGGTTTCGCTGAAGTTCCCTCTGTGGGCTTGGGAGTGGTTGGTTTCTCAGTTGGTTTCGCAGTTGTCGGTTTCGCCGAAGTTCCCTCTGTGGGCTTAAGAGTCGTTGGCTTCTCAGTTGGTTTCAGAGTTGTCGGTTTCGCCGAAGTTCCCTCTGTGGGCTTAAGAGTCGTTGGTTTCTCAGTTGGTTTCAGAGTTGTGGGTTTCGCCGACGTTCCCTCTGTGGGCTTGGGAGTCGTTGGCTTCTCAGTTGGTTTCAGAGTTGTCGGTTTCGCCGAAGTTCCCTCTGTGGGCTTAAGAGTTGTCGGCTTCTCAGTTGGTTTCAGAGTTGTCGGTTTCGCCGAAGTTCCCTCTGTGGGCTTGGGAGTGGTTGGTTTCTCAGTTGGTTTCGCAGTTGTCGGTTTCGCCGAAGTTCCCTCTGTGGGCTTAAGAGTCGTTGGTTTCTCAGTTGGTTTCAGAGTTGTCGGTTTCGCCGAAGTTCCCTCTGTGGGCTTAAGAGTCGTTGGCCTCTCAGTTGGTTTCAGAGTTGTCGGTTTCGCCGAAGTTCCCTCTGTGGGCTTAAGAGTAGTTGGCTTTTCAGTTGGTTTCAGAGTTGTCGGTTTCGCCGAAGTTCTCTCAGTGGGCTTGGGAGTCGTAGGCTTCTCAGTTGGTTTCAGAGTTGTCGGTTTCGCCGAAGTTCCCTCTGTGGGCTTAAGAGTCGTGGGTTTCTCAGTTGGTTTCAGAGTTGTCGGTTTCGCCGAAGTTCCCTCTGTGGGCTTGGGAGTCGTTGGCTTCTCAGTTGGTTTCAGAGTTGTCGGTTTCGCTGAAGTTCCCTCTGTGGGTTTAAGAGTTGTCGGCTTCTCAGTTGGTTTCAGAGTTGTCGGTTTCGCCGAAGTTCCCTCTGTGGGCTTGGGAGTGGTTGGTTTCTCAGTTGGTTTCGCAGTTGTCGGTTTCGCCGAAGTTCCCTCTGTGGGCTTAAGAGTAGTTGGTTTCTCAGTTGGTTTCAGAGTTGTCGGTTTCGCCGAAGTTCCCTCTGTGGGCTTGGGAGTCGTTGGCTTCTCAGTTGGTTTCAGAGTTGTCGGTTTCGCTGAAGTTCCCTCTGTGGGTTTAAGAGTCGTTGGCTTTTCAGTTGGTTTCAGAGTTGTCGGTTTCGCCGAAGTTCCATCTGTGGGCTTGGGAGTCGTAGGCTTCTCAGTTGGTTTCAGAGTTGTCGGTTTCGCCGAAGTTCCCTCTGTGGGCTTAAGAGTCGTAGGCTTCTCAGTTGGTTTCAGAGTGGTCGGTTTCGCCGAAGTTCCCTCTGTGGGCTTAAGAGTCGTTGGCTTCTCAGTTGGTTCCAGAGTTGTCGGTTTCGCCGAAGTTCCCTCTGTGGGCTTGGGAGTGGTTGGTTTCTCAGTTGGTTTCGCAGTTGTCGGTTTTGCCGAAGTTCCCTCTGTGGGCTTAAGAGTCGTTGGTTTCTCAGTTGGTTTCTTAGTTGGTTTCAGAGTTGTCGGTTTCGCCGAAGTTCCCTCTGTGGGCTTAAGAGTTGTCGGCTTCTCAGTTGGTTTCAGAGTTGTCGGTTTCGCCGAAGTTCCCTCTGTGGGCTTGGGAGTGGTTGGTTTCGCAGTTGTCGGTTTCGCCGAAGTTCCCTCTGTGGGCTTAAGAGTCGTTGGTTTCTCAGTTGGTTTCAGAGTTGTCGGTTTCGCCGAAGTTCCCTCTGTGGGCTTAAGAGTCGTTGGCTTCTCAGTTGGTTTCAGAGTTGTCGGTTTCGCAGAAGTTCCCTCTGTGGGCTTAAGAGTCGTTGGCTTTTCAGTTGGTTTCAGAGTTGTCGGTTTCGCCGAAGTTCCCTCTGTGGGCTTGGGAGTCGTAGGCTTCTCAGTTGGTTTCAGAGTTGTCGGTTTCGCCGAAGTTCCCTCTGTGGGCTTAAGAGTCGTAGGCTTCTCAGTTGGTTTCAGAGTGGTCGGTTTCGCCGAAGTTCCCTCTGTGGGCTTAAGAGTCGTTGGCTTCTCAGTTGGTTTCAGAGTTGTCGGTTTCGCCGAAGTTCCCTCTGTGGGCTTAAGAGTAGTTGGCTTTTCAATTGGTTTCAGAGTTGTCGGTTTCGCCGAAGTTCCCTCTGTGGGCTTAAGAGTCGTTGGTTTCTCAGTTGGTTTCAGAGTTGTCGGTTTCGCCGAAGTTCCCTCTGTGGGCTTAAGAGTCGTTGGCTTCTCAGTTGGTTTCAGAGTTGTCGGTTTCGCAGAAGTTCCCTCTGTGGGCTTAAGAGTCGTTGGTTTCTCAGTTGGTTTCGGAGTTGGCGGTTTCGCCGAAGTTCCCTCTGTGGGCTTAAGAGTCGTTGGTTTCTCAGTTGGTTTCAGAGATGTCGGTTTCGCCGAAGTTCCCTCTGTGGGCTTAAGAGTCGTTGGTTTCTCAGTTGGTTTCAGAGTTGTGGGTTTCGCCGACGTTCCCTCTGTGGGCTTAAGAGTCGTTGGCTTCTCAGTTGGTTTCAGAGTTGTCGGTTTCGCCGAAGTTCCCTCTGTGGGTTTAAGAGTTGTCGGCTTCTCAGTTGGTTTCAGAGTTGTCGGTTTCGCCGAAGTTCCCTCTGTGGGCTTGGGAGTGGTTGGTTTCTCAGTTGGTTTCGCAGTTGTCGGTTTCGCCGAAGTTCCCTCTGTGGGCTTAAGAGTCGTTGGTTTCTCAGTTGGTTTCAGAGTTGTCGGTTTCGCCGAAGTTCCCTCTGTGGGCTTAAGAGTTGTCGGCTTCTCAGTTGGTTTCAGAGTTGTCGGTTTCGCAGAAGTTCCCTCTGTGGGCTTGGGAGTGGTTGGTTTCTCAGTTGGTTTCGCAGTTGTCGGTTTCGCCGAAGTTCCCTCTGTGGGCTTAAGAGTCGTTGGTTTCTCAGTTGGTTTCAGAGTTGTCGGTTTCGCCGAAGTTCCCTCTGTGGGCTTAAGAGTCGTTGGTTTCTCAGTTGGTTTCAGAGTTGTGGGTTTCGCCGACGTTCCCTCTGTGGGCTTGGGAGTCGTTGGCTTCTCAGTTGGTTTCAGAGTTGTCGGTTTCGCCGAAGTTCCCTCTGTGGGCTTAAGAGTTGTCGGCTTCTCAGTTGGTTTCAGAGTTGTCGGTTTCGCCGAAGTTCCCTCTGTGGGCTTGGGAGTGGTTGGTTTCTCAGTTGGTTTCGCAGTTGTCGGTTTCGCCGAAGTTCCCTCTGTGGGCTTAAGAGTCGTTGGTTTCTCAGTTGGTTTCAGAGTTGTCGGTTTCGCCGAAGTTCCCTCTGTGGGCTTAAGAGTCGTTGGCTTCTCAGTTGGTTTCAGAGTTGTCGGTTTCGCCGAAGTTCCCTCTGTGGGCTTAAGAGTAGTTGGCTTTTCAGTTGGTTTCAGAGTTGTCGGTTTCGCCGAAGTTCCCTCTGTGGGCTTAAGAGTCGTTGGCTTCTCAGTTGGTTTCAGAGTTGTCGGTTTCGCCGAAGTTCCCTCTGTGGGCTTAAGAGTAGTTGGCTTTTCAGTTGGTTTCAGAGTTGTCGGTTTCGCCGAAGTTCCCTCTGTGGGCTTAAGAGTCGTGGGTTTCTCAGTTGGTTTCAGAGTTGTGGGTTTCGCCGACGTTCCCTCTGTGGGCTTGGGAGTCGTTGGCTTCTCAGTTGGTTTCAGAGTTGTCGGTTTCGCCGAAGTTCCCTTTGTGGGCTTGGGAGTCGTTGGCTTCTCAGTTGGTTTCAGAGTTGTCGGTTTCGCTGAAGTTCCCTCTGTGGGTTTAAGAGTTGTCGGCTTCTCAGTTGGTTTCAGAGTTGTCGGTTTCGCCGAAGTTCCCTCTGTGGGCTTGGGAGTGGTTGGTTTCTCAGTTGGTTTCGCAGTTGTCGGTTTCGCCGAAGTTCCCTCTGTGGGCTTAAGAGTAGTTGGTTTCTCAGTTGGTTTCAGAGTTGTCGGTTTCGCCGAAGTTCCCTCTGTGGGCTTGGGAGTCGTTGGCTTCTCAGTTGGTTTCAGAGTTGTCGGTTTCGCTGAAGTTCCCCCTGTGGGTTTAAGAGTTGTCGGCTTCTCAGTTGGTTTCAGAGTTGTCGGTTTCGCCGAAGTTCCCTCTGTGGGCTTGGGAGTCGTTGGCTTCTCAGTTGGTTTCAGAGTTGTCGGTTTCGCTGAAGTTCCCTCTGTGGGTTTAAGAGTTGTCGGCTTCTCAGTTGGTTTCAGAGTTGTCGGTTTCGCCGAAGTTCCCTCTGTGGGCTTGGGAGTGGTTGGTTTCTCAGTTGGTTTCGCAGTTGTCGGTTTCGCCGAAGTTCCCTCTGTGGGCTTAAGAGTCGTTGGTTTCTCAGTTGGTTTCAGAGTTGTCGGTTTCGCCGAAGTTCCCTCTGTGGGCTTAAGAGTCGTTGGTTTCTCAGTTGGTTTCAGAGTGGTCGGTTTCGCCGAAGTCCCTTCTGTGGGCTTAAGAGTCGTTGGTTTCTCAGTTGGTTTCAGAGTTGTCGGTTTCGCCGAAGTTCCCTCTGAGGGCTTGGGAGTGACTGGTTTCTCAGTTGGTTTCAGAGTTGTCGGTTTCGCCGAAGATCCCTCTGTGGGCTTAAGAGTCGTTGGCTTTTCAGTTGGTTTCAGAGTTGTCGGTTTCGCCGAAGTTCCCTCTGTGGGCTTGGGAGTCGTTGGTTTTTCAGTTGGTTTCAGAGTTGTCGGTTTCGCCGAAGTTCCCTCTGTGGGCTTAAGAGTCGTTGGCTTTTCAGTTGGTTTCAGAGTTGTCGGTTTCGCCGAAGTTCCCTCTGTGGGCTTAAGAGTCGTTGGTTTCTCAGTTGGTTTCAGAGTTGTCGGTTTCGCCGAAGTTCCCTCTGTGGGCTTAAGAGTCGTTGGCTTTTCAGTTGGTTTCAGAGTTGTCGGTTTCGCCGAAGTTCCCTCAGTGGGCTTGGGAGTCGTTGGCTTTTCAGTTGGTTTCAGAGTTGTCGGTTTCGCCGAAGTTCCCTCTGTGGGCTTAAGAGTCGTTGGCTTCTCAGTTGGTTTCAGAGTTGTCGGTTTCGCCGAAGTTCCCTCTGTGGGCTTAAGAGTCGTTGGTTTTTCAGTTGGTTTCAGAGTTGTCGGTTTCGCCGAAGTTCCCTCTGTGGGCTTAAGAGTCGTTGGCTTTTCAGTTGGTTTCAGAGTTGTCGGTCTCGCCGAAGTTCTCTCAGTGGGCTTGGGAGTCGTTGGTTTTTCAGTTGGTTTCAGAGTTGTCGGTTTCGCCGAAGTTCCCTCTGTGGGCTTAAGAGTCGTTGGCTTTTCAGTTGGTTTCAGAGTTGTCGGTTTCGCCGAAGTTTCCTCTGTGGGCTTAAGAGTCGTTGGTTTCTCAGTTGGTTTCAGAGTTGTCGGTTTCGCCGAAGTTCCCTCTGTGGGCTTAAGAGTCGTTGGCTTTTCAGTTGGTTTCAGAGTTGTCGGTTTTGCTGAAGTTCCCTCTGTGGGCTTAAGAGTCGTTGGCTTTTCAGTTGGTTTCAGAGTTGTCGGCTTCGCCGAAGTTCTCTCAGTGGGCTTGGGAGTCGTTGGTTTTTCAGTTGGTTTCAGAGTTGTCGGTTTCGCCGAAGTTCCCTCTGTGGGCTTAAGAGTCGTTGGCTTTTCAGTTGTTTTCAGAGTTGTCGGTTTCGCCGAAGTTCTCTCAGTGGGCTTGGGAGTCGTTGGTTTTTCAGTTGGTTTCAGAGTTGTCGGTTTCGCCGAAGTTCCCTCAGTGGGCTTGGGAGTCGTTGGTTTCTCAGTTGGTTTCAGAGTTGTCGGTTTCGCCGAAGTTCCCTCTGTGGGCTTTAGAGTCGTTGGCTTTGCAGTTGGTTTCAGAGTTGTTGGTTTCGCCGAAGTTCCCTCTGTGGGCTTGGGAGTCGTAGGCTTCTCAGTTGGTTTCAGAGTTGTCGGTTTCGCCGAAGTTCCCTCTGTGGGCTTAAGAGTCGTTGGTTTCTCAGTTGGTTTCGGAGTTGGCGGTTTCGCCGAAGTTCCCTCTGTGGGCTTAAGAGTCGTTGGTTTCTCAGTTGGTTTTAGAGATGTCGGTTTCGCCGAAGTTCCCTCTGTGGGCTTAAGAGTCGTTGGTTTCTCAGTTGGTTTCAGAGTTGTGGGTTTCGCCGACGTTCCCTCTGTGGGCTTAAGAGTCGTTGGCTTTTCAGTTGGTTTCAGAGTTGTCGGTTTCGCCGAAGTTCCCTCTGTGGGCTTAAGAGTTGTCGGCTTCTCAGTTGGTTTCAGAGTTGTCGGTTTCGCCGAAGTTCCCTCTGTGGGCTTAAGAGTCGTTGGTTTCTCAGTTGGTTTCAGAGTTGTCGGTTTCGCCGAAGTTCCCTCTGTGGGCTTAAGAGTCGTTGGCTTCTCAGTTGGTTTCGGAGTTGTCGGTTTCGCAGAAGTTCCCTCTGTGGGCTTAAGAGTCGTTGGTTTCTCAGTTGGTTTCGGAGTTGTCGGTTTCGCCGAAGTTCCCTCTGTGGGCTTAAGAGTCGTTGGCTTTTCAGTTGGTTTCAGAGTTGTCGGTTTCGCCGAAGTTCCCTCTGTGGGCTTGGGAGTCGTAGGCTTCTCAGTTGGTTTCAGAGTTGTCGGTTTCGCCGAAGTTCCCTCTGTGGGCTTAAGAGTCGTAGGCTTCTCAGTTGGTTTCAGAGTGGTCGGTTTCGCCGAAGTTCCCTCTGTGGGCTTAAGAGTCGTTGGCTTCTCAGTTGGTTTCAGAGTTGTCGGTTTCGCCGAAGTTCCCTCTGTGGGCTTAAGAGTAGTTGGCTTTTCAGTTGGTTTCAGAGTTGTCGGTTTCGTCGAAGTTCCCTCTGTGGGCTTGGGAGTCGTTGGCTTCTCAGTTGGTTTCAGAGTTGTCGGTTTCGCGGAAGTTCCCTCTGTGGGCTTGGGAGTCGTTGGCTTCTCAGTTGGTTTCAAAGTTGTCGGTTTCGTCGAAGTTCCCTCTGTGGGCTTGGGAGTCGTTGGCTTCTCAGTTGGTTTCAGAGTTGTCGGTTTCGCCGAAGTTCCCTCTGTGGGCTTGGGAGTGGTTGGTTTCTCACTTGGTTTCGCAGTTGTCGGTTTCGCCGAAGTTCCCTCTGTGGGCTTAAGAGTCGTTGGTTTCTCAGTTGGTTTCAGAGTTGTCGGTTTCGCCGAAGTTTCCTCTGTGGGCTTGGGAGTCGTTGGCTTCTCAGTTGGTTTCAGAGTTGTCGGTTTGGCCGAAGTTTCTTCTGTGGGCTTTGCAGTTGTTGGCTCGGTCGGTTTCAGAGTTGTCGGTTTCGCCGAAGTTCCCTCTGTGGGCCTTAGAGTCGTTGGCTTCGCAGTTGTCGGCTCGGTCGGATTCAGAGTTGTTGGTTTCGCTGAAGTTCCTTCAGTGGGCTTTAGAGTCGTTGGGCTCGCAGTTGTCGGTTCGGTTGGTTTCAGAGTTGTCGGTTTCTCCGAAGTTTTGTCGGTGGGCTTAGGAGTCGTTGGCGGAGTTGTTGGTTGCGTTGGCTGGAAAGTGGTTCTGATAGTGGTCTCCAATGTTGGCCTTGCCGTTGTGGCCCTACTCGTTTTCGTTGTCTCGTGTCCGCAGTCGTGCGGAGTAGTGGTAGCATGTGGGCAGTGTGGCTTCGTCGGAGCCGGACTAGTAATGCGGTGCTCGCAGGCTGGCGTGGTGGGATGAGTCGGACACGGTGGTGGTGGCGGCTTCAAGGTCGTGGTGCTGGTTTTGTTGTTACAGGGATTGCGGAAGTGGAGCACTATCTCGTTGGGCTTTTGGCCGGGCACGATACGTATGTGCGGGCCGAACATCGTGAATGCGGCCGTGGTGGCCGCCAGCAGGCAGATTACGAACAGTTGCATCTTGTCAACGTGGTACTGCCCTCTCCGTGGATTCTGTCCTGTTTGGGCTGGGTCAGAGTGCTGTTAACACCCGAGTTACACCCTCGGTACTGAGCTTGCCAGCCCTCTCAAGGGCATATTTAAGCAGTACCCGCGGGGGCGGAGTCAGGTCCCCAGTCTGTGCAAGAATTCGGATTCCGGACGGCGACCGAAAGCTCGATCGTTCCAAAACGGGAACGGGAACGGATGCTCTAGCCCGCCTCGGGCACGCACCTGTTCCGTAAGGTGCGAACGGGCTTGCATAAGCCGCGGATTATCGTAAATAAAGCGACGCAGTTCGGACCCGGAACGTGCGCCCGTTCCCCAAAACCATTCATTCATTAACCAGCCAAGAGAGTTTTTTTAAAACGTTCTGCAATTTCAACGATTTTTATTACGCTTCGCATTGGAAGGGGGAGGTCGCATTGAATGGGGCTTTGGCTATACTCGTAGTAATAACTTTAATATTAATTTGTGCTGAGTTCTTTGGCTAATCTCAAAATATCTTAATAGGCATCTCTCTCTATTTGGTGTCTGCTCATGGCTTCGTGTCTTCTGTCTTTGTCTACTTCTACTATTTGGTATAAAGTTGGCTAGTTCAAATTGGTATGAGATTCTTATTTGGTTTCCGGTTTGGCATTACTATATTCGTTAGCTACTTAATTTTTGTTGGCAACTTACAAAATTGAATGCTCCGTTGGTGAGGCAGCGCGCTTATAAATTTGCACTATACGTAAGACATATGCAATCCATATGCGATATACTCATATACATATATATAATATATATTTCTTTTATATATTTAAGCTATAACAAAGTTACCGACTGACTGATCATATTACCATCTAGCACGCAAACAACAACAAAAACGTAAAACTAATGGTTGCCCGATCTCTGTTACATTTTTACCAGTGCTAAACTATCGCTATACTCGTTAGAATTGTTAACCGTTAATTGTGAGGCCGATACATTTACAGTTATTAGGCATATACAAAAAAGTTCTAGGCCACTAGTTGTTGATAATGTTCAATAGGCTCCCCTGCGGTATTTCCGGCTGCACTTAACCCACCCACGTCCCAACCTAGCCCATTGCTAGATCTCGTCATCGCTGGTCTGCGGACAGAGCACCTGCTCCTGCCACCAGTCGTGCACCTCGTAGACGGCATTGGCCTGGTTGTTGAACGGCAGCAGCTTCCCGCTGCCCCCGATCATCTGGCTCATCATGGCCGAGGGGCTGCCCAGGGCGCCGTGGTGGTGGTGCTGCTGCAGCTGCTGGTGGTGCTCCCCGCCATGTCCGTGCAGGTGTCCGTGCCCGTGGCCACCGTGACCACCGTGTCCACCATGACCACCATAGCCATGCAGGGCGGCGGCGGCTGAGGCGGCGTTTATTGTCGGATAGTGGAACTGGCCAATCTCGCTGTTCACCTGGGCAAAGAAGCTGGCCGATTTGCCACCCTCGCCGCCCCCGCCCCGCTGCTTGGCCAGCTGGCCCAGTTGCCCGGCATGCGGCAGCGTGGTCATCGAGTTCTTCTTGCGCTGCTGGCTGCTGATGTGCAGCCGCTCCTTGTCGCTCAGCGTGGAGCGCTGCTGGGGATCGCTGGAGGTGGGCGCCAGGAACTTCCGGCCCGCCGAGCTGCCCGTCGAGTCGGATCGGTTGAGGGCATAGCCCCGCTTGCCCACTGCCATCACATGGCGGGCGGTGGCCACAGCCGGGCCAGCTCCTACTCCTCCTCCGCCGCCGGCTGGCGGTGGTACTCCCGTTCCGGGGATCGCTGGCTCCGAGTGGGGCAGCACCACGGCACTGCTGCTGCCGTCCTTCTCCTCGTTCTCCGTCGAGCTGAAGGTCGGCGAGAAGGCGTCGCTGGTGGGCGGACAGGCGCCCGCCACCGCCCCGCTGATCGTGCTGATCGCCGACTTGTCCGCCGCCCCCAACGGCGCCTTGTCCTCCTGCACATTTGGCCGCATCACGGGCTGCTCGTTGGTGGCCCGCAGGCCGGCGATCAACGAGTTTTGCTGCTTCTGCAATGGAAATTTGTAAGTTGTTATCAATTTAAAGCCGTCTTTGTCATCATAAATATTAAAATAGCTCTAACATTTAAACTCTGTTATGAAACCTAAAACCTTAATAAATCGAGATTTTTAGCCAAAAGTTTCTTAACAATATTTAAATAGGTTCCATTTTTGGTATAAAAAATTATATTCGTACTTTAATTAAAAGAAACTGTTGAGTTTTGGTGCTTCTACAATAGGTCAAAAAAAAATTGAATTAAGATTGTCTGTTATATTAAAAAAATTAAACATCTTTTAGAATTAAAAAAACAAATATAGTAAAAACCAAAATTTTGAAATAAAATTGAAAAGCGAAATGGAGCAATGCCATTTTTCTGATATATACTAAAAATGAGATTTCATTAGTCTATAATTAAGGATCAAAATTGGTCATACAGACAAGTTTTTTTTAATTAAGGTAAAATCTAAATGAATGTTATGGATCCATTTTTGTGATATTTGAAGGGTCAGCTAAACACAGATAAAGTAAATATAAAATGAGTCAATAAAAAGTATGGGAAATTACGCTAGCATTTTGGGCCCGAATCTTTTTTAGGCACCCCTCCAGCCAGGTGCGAATGGTCATCTTGGCCACCTCCTCCTCCACCAGGTACTCGAACTCCTCGCGAGCCAAGAGCTCCTCCAGCTGCAAAGCCTTGCGAATGTCCACAGAGCGGTAGCTCAGCATGCTGTAATGGAAATGAAAGGGATCTCAGATGAAATCAATAAAAATCCACAATCACTCACTTGATAACATCGTGGAAGGTCACATCCTCGCCGTTGTGCAGCTTGTCCAGCTCATAGCACATGTACTTGAACAGAAGCCGATCCTTCTGGGGATCGCACTCGAGTCGTCCTTTCAGCAGGCGCAGAATGAACTTCACCCGGCGCACGGGAATCACTCCCCGCTGATGGATGTCCACAATGTTCCAGGTGTTCTGGAAGTTACGTATGTCCGCATACGAAAGCAGTGCATCCTCTTCGTTGGAGTAGAACAGGGAAAAGTTCTCCATGATAATAGCTGAGGAAAGGGAAAAATGTTATTTAAATTTGATTTCACATTAAGAATTTTTGCCAAGCTAAGCAACATTGTTATTCGTTTTTAAATCTTTACTTAAGGCCAACATAATATTTCGGTTGAAATGATGAGGCAAAAGAATTTAATAACATCTCTTTTAAAGCTAAAATTGGAATTTTAATAAGTATATTTTTTAAGATTTTATTACTTTAAATAGGTAGCCGTGGCCACTAGACTCCTTATGTTTTTTTAATATTTGCATTTTGATGGAAGGAAAATAAAAGGTGCTGTAACGTTGATAAAATAAATAAATAAATTGGGCTGAAACATATATAAAACTAAATTTGAAATGCAGAAGGCTCAAAAATGTCCTTATAAAAATGTACTTATAGTTTTCATTCAGATGATTTGAAATAATAATAATAATTATGACTAGCAATATATGATATTATATCTTTGAAAAAATAGTAAAAATTCAAGTTTCAATAGTTGTAAGTACATTTTAGCTACGAAGAAATAAGTAATATTTAATTAGTAATTAGTACTAAGCCAAAAATAGTTCAAATTTTATAAATTCAACTTCAAGCTACTGGAATTTTAGCTTTATAGCTTCGGTAATGTGAACCAGCCTGACCATTCCGGTGGAGACCTAGGAGACCTACCCACAAGCAAGTTGAGCACAATGTACGTGATGATGACGTAGAAGGTGCAGAAGTAGATGAGGCTTGCGGTGAAGTTCCCGCAGTCCGTCTCCCAATAGTTGTTGCCGAGGGTGCAGTACGGCGGCCGGACCATGCAGTCGTGCATGATCTTGTTCCAGTCCTCGCCGGTGACGATCCGGAAGAGCATGGCCACCCCGGTGACGGGTGACCCGAAATTGGCCCGCCTGCCGATGCCCTCGCCATACTTGACGGTGCCTGGAACGAGAATCAGCCGGGTGGAGTCAGTTGGGACGGGTGGTTCTTTGGGCCATGGGGGCTGGCTCACTGGACATTGAGTATTGCACATTGCACATTGAACATTGGACCCCAGCTCACCGAACAGAATAGTCCCGGCCAGCGCATAGAAGAAGACTAGCAGAAACATGCCAAAGATAATGAAGAAGGACTTGCATACAGACACGCCCACGGTCAACATAAGCATCTTCAGTGTGGTGTGCTTGCCGGTGATGGTGAAGAAGCGCAGGATGACGACCATGAAGCCGAAGAAGTAGGACAGATCGTTCTGCCAGAGATCAGAGGTCAGAGAGGTCATTGGTCAATGGTGGTCAGTGTGGGCGGGGGATGGATGTCAAAGGGGGAGACTAGAGATCAGCAACTTACCCGCAGAATGGTCTGCAAAATGATCCAAATCACACCGGCAACGGTGACGAGGAGGTCATAGCGATTGCGCCTAGATTGCCAATAGCCGCGCGGTGTAAAGGCAATGTTCTTCATCACCACCTCAACCACAAAGACAAAGGTCAATACCGCACTGACGATCACCAGGCGTTCCGTATGCACCTCTCCCTTGATCCACTGCAGTAGACAATTGAGACAAGAGACGATAGACGATAGAAATCACCGCTCCACGTCGAGCTCCAAGCTAATCTCTAAGCTCTAAGCTCTAGGCTCTAGGCTACGCAGTCACATACTACAGTTTCAATTCATAACTCCATACATTCATTATCTTGCTATGTTTTTGGTTATTCGCAGTATCGCCGTATTCAGCGATAGTGGGTATCGATCCACCTTTGTATATTTGCGTATGTACAAACGTGCTGGCATGCAGTTAATATGACTTTGCGTCTATGGCGATTTTGATGGAAGCCAAAAGCATATTTTTTGGCGACTTACTTATATTGAAAATGAATCTTAAAAGTATGTGAATCTGATATTCAATTGGTCTAATTTCGTAATGGGTGTTATGTTACACATACATCCTATATTCAATTAAAAGCTTTTTGAGTTATATTGTACAATTTACTTTTTCAAAGGGTAACTTAATCTTTTTTGTTATTATTTATAACTTTAAAATGAGCATTATGATAATATTTTTTTTTATAGGGGATGCAAAATTGGTTGGGCTCTCTAAGGGTTTTTTTTAATAATGTGTATCAAATTGTGCCCAAGCCATTTAGATAGGACTTAATTTGCTAAAAATAAAACACACTTTTTTCGAAAAATTAAAAAAGGAATAGGCGAATGAAAAATAAAATGGCCAATAATAATAACTAGAGGACTTCAAAAAATTAAAAAAAAATTAAGTATTTTAAATCAAAAGAAAAACAACATATATTTTCCAAGCCCAGGTATTATAAAATTTAGCTACAATATTTCTACAAATTTAAATCAAATTTAATAATTTATCAACGAAAGAAAAAATAAACATATTCTTAAGTATATCACTGCTTTAAAATCCCTAGGCATCCAAATGACCTTTGATATATGTATTAAATTACCATGCATTTCCTTTGTTCATGCAGTAAATAGCTCGCTATATAAAAATATATTTAAGACATGGTTGCTCCTTTGGAATATTATTCGTCCCTGGCATTTTTAAGTAGCTTTTCGGGGCAACCGTGAGTAACACAAAAATATATTGGTGCATGCGGTTACTTCATGCTTCGCCTAATCCCCCAAATCCCCGGTACAAACCGTGATGGAGAGCAGCATACTGTTGATCAGAACCACCACAGCGATGACCCGCTTGAAGATAATGTGCTGGGTGATGTCGTAGGTGAAGGCCCTGATCTTGCGGCCATCCGGTCTGGGTGGGAGGTGGAGCGGCTGGGCGATCTTCAGACGCTTCTTGAGGTCACACCAGCGCCTCTGGTCGACGGTCAGCAGGGCGGTGCCCTTGTTCTCCGAATAGTTGGCAATGACCACGCCCACGAACAACGTCAGGCCGATCATGCAGCCCAAGAAAATGTATATGTGGATATAGACGGCATGCACCTGCAAGGGGAAATAGATCAGATCAGGAATCAAAAGCGGCCAAAAACAGTCGATTCTGTAAGAAAATTACCACTATCCAGATTATTTTGGAACATCAAAAACACAATTTTTAACAAACAATGACTTTAAAATACTGTTAAAGACTTTTTAAAAGGCCTGAAAAATACATAACAGTTTTTTTTTTTGAAATGGAATAAGAGAATTTAATAAGAATTCTTTTACTTATAATTTCGTATTTAGTTTTTGTAAAATGAAACTTATGACTTATAACTTTCAGAAAAAAAAATAATAACTAAAAATTGTAATAAAACAGAACTGCACAGCCTGGCAAAATAGTTAAGGTTTTTGGCTCAATTCATTTAGTGTCGACCGAAAAGGTTAAGTCATGAAATCTCCCATTTTAACTGTTACGATTTCTTAAGGTTTTGATGCATGATTAAGAGAAAAGTACTAATATGTTTTTGGTGGCATTTCTTGAGCACTCACCGGACCCACGGCCTTGATCAGGACATCGCGCACATCCAACCAACCCTTGAAGGACAGCACCTCGAAGAGCGTAAGCATGGCGTCCCCGATGTTGTCGAAGTTGAAGCGCCGCGGATTGGCCCACACCCGTGGCACCAGCATCGCCGGATAGGACTCGTCGGGACCCGGGGTCAGCTTCATTTTGGTGACGAACACGCGTCGCATGAAGACACCAACGCAGTCCTCCCGCCTCGGGATCGTGGGATCATTGCAGCGGGCCAGACGACCGCCGTATAGTTGGACGCCGTAGCTGGCGAAGATGAACATCAGGAGGATGAGCAGGGTGGATACGAGCAGGATCTCCTTAAAGCCCCGGCACAGCTCGTAGACCACCTTCCGCATGTGCGGCACCAGTGTGAAGATTCGCAGCGGACGCACGCAGCGCAGGATCATCAGAAGCTGGGCCGCCGAGTTGGTTGGTATTTTCAGGGGCATCCAGCACAAGAACGAGGTGGACACCACATAGATGAACACATCCAGGGCGGCCGCCACATCCTTGATGTAAGCCTTCGGCGTAAAGAACAGGCCGTCGGCCAGGATCTTCAGCGCCAGCTCCAGGCTCATGAAAATAACGAACCCGTACTCGGCGATCTGCAGCGTCGGATGATCCATCACCCGGTAATTGGGTGTCTCGAACATCATCGAGATGCACGATAGCGTCGTCGCAAATATCATAACCCAGTCCAGGTATGTGACTAGCCCCAGGAAGTTGCTGCAATGGATTTAGAGGTTTTTGATCAAACATATTGCCAAGGCACCTGCAACAGAATAAAATACTTTTGCCAAGTTTCATTCAAATAGCATTAATAATTGGGAATAGTTAGCGTAAAGATTTGAATAAAATTATAACAGTCACATAGCAAGATTTCATCGCAGATTTTCAGAGAGTAAACCCACAATTATTTAGCAGTGTGCCACTTTAAAAACTTATGTCTTTAAGGAAAGCTAATAAGCTTAGATGTGCAGTTTTTTGACCCTTTTCTGTAAAGCCGTTTTTCAAAAATTTTGAAAGGGGTTCATAAAAAAGTCGAAAAAATTGAGCCAAAAATACAAATCAATATTTTAACACAGATTTTTAGAGAATTAAACCGCAATCAAATGTAAGAATGTCACTGTGAAATCGGATGTCTGCAAGAAAAGTACAAAGCTTAAAATTCCAGGTCTTTGATCACTTTTCAGCAAAGCCATGATTTGAAAATTCGCAAAGGTTCAATTAAATATGTTAATTTCAGGATTACAAGAATAGAAAATTTAATATGTATGTTTAAATAAAATGAAGTTTTTTTATATGAGTCACAGAAAAATTAAAACAGCTTGGGCACCTAAAATTTTATCTTTTTTTACATGAATTAGATAAAATAGATACGTGAAATATAGATTTGATATAATAAAAGCTGATATTTGCGTATTATAATTTTGATATTTCGACATATCGGTTATAGATTTTCTTTACACCAGTATCTAGTCCAATATGATACAGGAAATCATCAAATTGAACTGAATATTGTATCAATATTTTGCTGTGCACTAGTTTAAAAGGCGGAACCTTAGGAAACCCAACTTACTGGAGGCTCTTGTACTGGACCTTGCGCTCCTTGCCGGTCAGCGGGTCCTTGAGCCTGGCATCGTAGCGCGCGTGGACGATCTTCTGGCAGATCTTCCGGAAGCGACTCTCGCGCGGCACCAGGAACAGCGGCGTGTCGAAGAAGGGGTGGTTCTCGCGCAGATCCTCCTCCCGCTGGTTGCGCCGCATCTCCGCCTGCTGCCGCTTTGCCTGCAGCAGCTTGATGTCCAGGTCATGGGGACGGGCTCGTCCGGAGTTGGCCCGTGGAGCGGCGGCGATGTCGCCGTTCTCCATCAGGTGCTCGTACGTCTGCTTCAGCTTGATAGAACCGGAGCGCACGCTGCGACGGATGGAGCGGGAGCCGAACCTGCGGATTGGTAGTGGACACACATCACACGGGTCGCGCCGCCTCGGTGGGGCAGGGCCCAGCTACTCACTTCTTCTGGTCGACGCGCCACGGCTTCGAGTGGGTGATGGTGCCCTGCGACTTCAGTCCGCCACCACCCTTCGTCCCCACCACGGGCAGCATGGCCGAGTCGCCCAGCATCAGCCGCTGGTTGTTGCTGTCGCTGGGGGATGGAAATCAAAATATAGGCATTAATTATTGGTAGAACTGGGGTATCATGTGTCTAGGTGATGGGCGATGATAATAAAATTACGAATGAATACAGCTTAGTTTTACATATTTAACATACTTGACTTATCCTTCTTATATTGAGTATTTTCTACCATATTTATCAACTTTAAACACTTTAAATTCTGCAAAGGATTTTTAACTCGAACTCGGATTTTTAACTCTTTTTTAAATCAAATTCAGAAGATCTGAACAGCATGTATCTCCAAACAATACCTTATAGTTTCGTAAGAGTTTTTCACCCAAATCTTAATAATAGATTTGAAATAATTAAAATATAAATAATTCCGATTTTTGGATGATAATTTGTTCAAAACATTTTTTACAATTAAATTAAGAGTTATTAATGGCTTATTTTCTTTCAAGGTAAATAAAATATATAACAAATTCAAAAAAGTCACTAAAAAAAAACAAATTATTTAGTTAACTTGTCCATTTTTATAATGTTATTTCCAATAGCTTAAACAATTGTAAGCCAATAATTAAATGTAGACCAATTTGCCTTTTAAAGCCAAATTCAATAATAATTTGAAATAAATATTAATCAATTCAAGTCAACCAGCTGGAACATTCAAGGCCATAATACCCCGTACTCACTTGATGATGTGCGTGATGGCCAGTTTGCGGAGACTACTGCCGGCGGCGCGCACCTTGGCCGTCTTGTTCATGATCCGGACGGGCTTCTGCTTGCGGAAGACCACGTTGGACTCCCAGCACTCGGACATGGGGCGCTTGCAGTTCTCGACCAGCGAGTCCTCCGTCTCCAGCTCGATGACGAAGTGCTTCATGAAGCTCTCGCGCACCTTGGGCAGCATGAAGTCGTTGGGGATGCGGTGCAGGATGGTCATCTGCGGCGAGTCCGGGAACTTCTCGAAGATGCGCAGGCGGAAGGGCAGCGTCTCCTTGATCTCGGCGCTCTGCTCGCGGAACTTGAGCTGCTTCAGCTTCTTGATGTCCTCGTCCAGCTCCAGATTGTCGAGGATCACCGCCACGAACAGACTGAGCACGATGAGGGTGACGAACAAATGGTACAGAATGAAGTAGACTGCCACCAGCGGGGTGAGGGTCTTGCTGGTCCGGATCATCGTCTCGTCCATCACCTCCACCCAGGCCTCCTGGGTGAGGATCTGGAACATGCTCATGAAGGCCTCCGGGAAGGACTCGAACTTGGTGAAGTCGCACAGGAAGCAGAACAGCTGCATCGAGATGCTCGAGCTGATGATCAGCAGGCACATGGTGAAGATAATGAGCGATCCGAGTTTCTTCCCCGGCCCAAAGATCTTGTAGACGAATCCCTCCAGCATCGGCGATGCCTTGATCAGCCTGACCACCCGCAGCACCTGGAAATAGGTTAGCCCCGAGGGATAGAACATGGGCACGATGTGCAGGGTGGTGCCCGCTGCGAGGAGCAGCTCGAACTTGTGGATCGAGTGCTTGTAGTAGCCCCGCCAGCCCAGGCAGTAGATCTTGAAGAGCGTCTCCAGGTCGAGCAGGCAGGTGAAGACCAGCTCGATGTAGTAGTACCGCTCGTAGAACACGTCCCGCGGCCGACCGTCGTGCTTGAAGGTCATGGTGGCCGTCACAATGCCGTTGGCCAGGATCACGCTCATCACCAGCATGCGGAAGTAGGGCGACCGCAGGATCGCGTGGCACGTCTCCGGCGCCAGGCCGCCGTGCTTGTTGTCATCGATGGTCACCAGTCGCCAGCCGGAGTCGTTGCCGCTGAGGATCTGCGAGGCGGCCGTCTTCTGGATGTGCCCCCGCGCCCCCCACATCTGCTGGAACTGTACTCGGATCTCGTTGAAGGTCTCCGTGATCACCGCTATGAACACGTTCTTCACCAGCCACGCCAGGAAGAAGATCATCGTGCTGAAGTAGAAGGCCGCCCGCCACGCCGGCAGCGAGTCTATCGCCCGGTACATGATGAACACCCAGCCCTCCTGCGAGGCCGCCTGGTACACGGTGAAGATGCTCGTCGCGATGTCCTCGAACCCGTTGAACCCGATCACGTAGCTGCTGAGGAAGTCCATCTTCATGCAGCGCATTCCCGGCGAGCACTGGTACCCGGAGTCGGGGTCCATCGAGCAGAACGTGTCCGGGATGGCGAGCGAGTTGATCGTTAGAATCCTGCGAGATTAGAGATAATCGGTAATTAAATAATACCCTTCAGGGGAAATCTAAGTCACTTATAAAAGTAATTAATAGTCATTTATGCATCACCCATAAAAACAAAATATTTAGGGCCGATTTCTCAATTACATGTTAACTTATGTCATTAAGTTAAATGATTGTTTTGGAAACATTTACTTTTTGAATACCATAGCTTAATAGAACTTAACTAACTGAAAACTCTTAACTAGAGGCAAGTTTCTAGGTAAATTTCGTCGAAAGGCAGAACTAAAATAACGAAGAAAACTTCGATTACTTATTTGGCTGTTCAAAGTTAGTGTAACGTAAAGAATTCATGTTCGAAAAATACCGAACAATTTATATTCATGTTTAAATTAACATTAACATGACATTTATAAATCCCTTAGACAAGAACAACAAAATAAACTGTTTGTAAATCGATCTTTTCCAAATTAAATAAAATTATGCCTAACAAATATATAAACCAAAAGCTTTACTTACGGTCTTTTTAGAATATCGTATTCCGTATTATTCATGACACAGTGATTTTTTAGTTCACCGAAGAACTGAACCCCAAGTAAACCGTACAGGGACATGAAGAAAAGGAAGAACAGTGTCACATTGTAAATTTGCTGGCTCGAACGTCTGTAGAGGGCGAATTAATTCATTAATTTAATTAACCTTTAACAAAACCACAAAGCTTACTTGAATATTTGGTTGATCCGACTTTTTGGCATACTGAATTTCAGGAAGACTCGTAGGAAGCGAATCATGATCAGGGGTCGAGGGGCTCTCATAATAGACAAATAGGAAAACTTGGGAACTATCTCGAGCACCTCGAATATTTGCAGAATGATCGATATCCACAAGAAGCTGACCATGGAAGCATCAAACTGGCACCAGTGATCTTTTAGATAAGGCACCTCACCCTGTGAAATAAAATATATTCATATTAAAATGTAAGAAACCTACATACATTGTCCTTAATGGTTTTAAAATTATTTCCCTGTTTTACCTAGACACTTCATAATTTATTTTGGCGCTTTTAAATTTTAATTTGACATTCAAAAATATAACTTAAAATTTCATGTTACTTGTTAATAATGTGATAAATTTAAATATTTCTCATTTCAATTGCTTAAACCTCGTGCGTGTGTGTTTTTAATATGAACAAATTAAATGAAAATAAATAACAATTAAAAACCACTTTGTAAAAATAAAAAATTTCTTGGAGGAATTATCTGGTGTAATTGCGTACGATAATAAAGTACGATCCGTACTTAGATCACAACTTTCACAAACTGCAAAACCACTTTGAATCCAAATTTTGGAATATTTATATGTACAAATTTCAATATTATACTAAAATCATGGTCCGAAAATCGTTTTTTGAGACTTGTAATCTTATAGTAATTGTAATTTAAATTTTTTACATATTTCACAAAGTGTATACAAATTGTGAATCAAATAAAACATTATTCACTTATGAATACAAAGTGTATTCAAAAATAGCCCAATTGATAATAAAACAGTCTTCAAATCCCATTAGTTTTAAAAAAGAAAAGTTTCTAATATCGATTATTCTCCGGCCCTGAATTATAATATAAATATGATTTTAATAGTAATTAAAAAAAAAAGAAAGCTTTGGAGCCCAGATGCTCTCTCTTTCAGCAAAGAATTCGGCTTGATTGAGCGCTATTTAAATTGCCAAATAATATGCAAATACTATATAATCAGGGAACTCACATGGAGGACGCCCCGGATGTGCATCTTGGCGATCATCTCGGCGGTGAAGAGCAGCGTGACGGCCGTGTCCGAGGCGAAGGTGATGAACTGCAGCGAGGGGTACCGCTCGAAGGTCTTGGGAGTGTTCAGGGAGACGGAGGTCAGGGAGACGAGGGCGCAGAGGCGCATCAGGCGGCGCACCCACAGCTTGTTCACCCACTCGATGTCGGCGCTCTCGTTGAGCGACTCCTCCGGTCCGTAGTCGGCCAGGAAGGGTTCGCCGCCCTTGAGGCTCTGCTTGCGTCCGAGCATGATCTTGTTCCCGATCCCGGTGGCAATGCCCAGTCCGATGGGCGGCACTCCGGTGATGGCGGCACTGCCCACGGTGCTGCTGATGCCGCCGCAGATGCCCATTCCGGCGGCAGCCGCTCCGCCGCCCATTCCGCCCATGCCGCCCAATCCTCCCAGAAGATTGAGCCCGCCACCGCCGCCTCCTCCGACGCCTCCCCCGCCAATCGTCGATCCCAATCCGGCGCCATTGTTGTGACCACCGCCCGAGGATGGGGCTGCCGTGGTGGAGGAGCCCCCGGCCAGGGACTGCTGCTGCTGCTGCTGCGGCTGCATCCCGAAGGCCACGCTGCTGCCGCCGCCGCTGCCGCTTCCGGAGTTCACAATGGTCGTGGGACTATTGAGTGCACTGGCCGCATCCTGGCGAGCGCCCAGACCCAGTCCGTTGCCAGGACTGCTGCCCGGCGAGGGATTGAAGCTGAACTGGCTGGCGGACGCCGGCTGCGAGTGGCGCAGGTGCGGATGCGGATGCGTGGGCTGGTGGGGATGCGGGTGTGGGTGGTGCGGATGTGGGTGGTGGGAGTGCGGATGGTGGTGCTGGTGCAAGAGTGGATGTTGCTGCTGCTGCTGCTGCTGGTGGCCGAAGTGGTGGGGTCCGTGGGGATGCGGGTGGGGCTGGTGGTGCTGCTGCTGCTGCGGCGTCAAGCTGTTGCCGCTGGAGGAACTGGTGCTGGCCGTCGCCGGCGTGTTGATGCCGCTCGTGGAGTACGGATGCGGGTGGTGGTGCTGGTGGCCACCGCTTCCGCTTGGTCCGCCGACAGGGGCCGCTCCTGCACCAGCTGCTGCTCCAGTTGCCACTCCCGATACCGCACCTGCCGCTCCCGGTACCGCCCCTCCGCCTCCTCCTCCGGGTCCTCCTCCTCCGGCTCCGGCTCCTCCTCCTCCTCCTCCTCCGCCTACGCCTCCTGCGCGTTTGTTTCTAGCAGCTGCACCCAAGCGACGAATCTGAAGACGGTCAATCATTCAAGCGGCGCATCCTGCCCCTGGAACGGTCGGTAGTTTATAATCGCTGCGGAGGAGAGCGAAAATTAATATCCCTGGATGGTCTAATTTATCTACATATTTAGTTATTTTCCGAGTAGAACACATCAACTAAGTTGTTTTGTTATGAATATGCAAATAACTGTAGAATGGAGAGAGATTGCGGGAGAGAGAGTGCTGGAGAGAGATAGTGTGCCAGAACTTAGCTCTCATTTTTCTTATCTCGTATTATCTTATCTTAAAATCAGATCTTTGGCAATCTGATCTCGAACAAGAAAAGAAAACTAACTTCGGGCGGAGCCGAAGAATACTCCCTTGCAGAATACTCTGTAAATTATATTTTCCAAAATTATTCATATGATGCATTCTTAATACTCATAAAAAATCCCAACTTCGTAACTTTAAAAACACCAAAGTTATGGCATTTCCAATCGTTCAGTTATATGGCAGCTATAGGATATAGTCGGTCGATCCTTATGAAGTTTGGTAGGTCGGATTGATTGGCCAAAAATAAAACCCATAGAAAATCCCAACTTCCTAACTTTACAAACACCAAAGTTATGGCATTTCCGATCAATCAGTTATATGGCAGCTATAGGATATAGTCGGTCGATCCTTATAAAAATTGGTACGTCAAATTGATTGGCCAAATACAAAACCCATAGAAAATCCCAACTTCCTAACTTTACAAACACCAAAGTTATGGCATTTCCGATCAATCAGTTATATGGCAGCTATAGGATATAGTCGGCCGATCCTTATAAAATTTGGTACGTCAAATTGATTGGCCAAATACAAAACACATAGAAAATCCCAACTTCCTAACTTTACAAACACCAAAGTTGTGGCATTTCCGATCGTTCAGTTATATGGCAGCTATAGGATATAGTGGGCCGATCCTTATAAAATTTGGTACGTCAAATTGATTGGCCAAATGTAAAACCCATAGAAAATCCCAACTTCCTAACTTTAAAAACACCAAAGTTATGGCATTTCCGATCGTTCAGTTATATGGCAGCTATAGGATATAGTCGGCCGATCCCGGCCGTTCCGACTTATATACTGCGTGCAAAGGAAAGAAGGGTGTGTGCAAAGTTTCAATTCGATATCTTTAAAACTGAGAGACTAGTTCGCGTAGAAACAGACAGACGGACAGACAGACGGACAGACGGACAGACGGACGGACGGACAGACGGACAGACGGACAGACGGACAGACGGACATGCTTATATCAACTCAGGAGGTGATCCTGATCAAGAATATATATACTTTATATGGTCGGAGATGTCTCCTTCACTGCGTTGCACACTTTTGACCAAAATTATAATACCCTCTGCAAGGGTATAAAAATTAAGCCTGCAATGCACAAAACATAACTCAACTTATCTAAAGTTTATCTATGTATGTATAAACATATATTTTCTAAAAATAAAAGCCATTCACAGTTTTGTACCGTGTTTCACATTTCTTATATATGTACATATGTTGAAAAAAATATATATCTCAACATAGTCAAAAATGCTTACATTTTTTACAACCATTTCGATTTGAAAAGGGCTTCCTTTCTTTCTTCATAACTTTTTCCAATTTACAAATTCTTATGGACACTAATAGCATATAAAGTATAATATTAAATACAAACGATTCTAAAAATAAAACACTTTTTTTAAAACGGTAAAATCGTTGTACATAACTAAAAAAAATTAATAATTTTAAGCGATATATCCTTATATTTATAATTGAATGGCTGTCGTCTTTAAATAACAAGTAATTTTCCCTGAATATGAATCAAAAAAGTTTCTTCTGGTTTCTGTATATCCAAGCATCGACAATTATAAGCGAATATTTGGCACTCCTATTTTCCATGGATCACTTTTTCGACCAGTCGGCAATTAGAGCGAAAACCTGTGTCAATATTTACATTCGAACAGCTGCCAAGGTGGGCTGAAGGTGCACCACTCAAACTTACTCACACGTTAACTTACTGCACCGTGAGAAAAGTTTAGTTGGTTCGAAAAAGGGTCCCAAAAGTTTCCAAAATATAAATACATCTTATTAGTTTTAAACTTGTGTGATATTTACATTATTGACCATATTTCTATGGGATTCATCAATAATAATTCAAAACTTATGCCAATATCAAACATTTTCTTTAAATCTCTAGAAATATTATTATTACGTTTTATAAAAATTATAGCTCTTCTCATAGTAAAAAATAGATATTATTTGTTTTGCTTTAATATAATATTGGCATTAATCCGTATGAGTATTTTGTTTTAGCTTTCTTCAAATTCCTGCCGATGATTAACATATATAAAATTTTAAATAAATATTCTTTATGATTATTAGATGGAATTGGTTTTTCACTTGGTGATGAACTGCTTCGAGTGGATCTTCGAAAGTATCATCATTTATTTCTGTGTGGATCAAAGTCTGTCAAGGAGGCGGTTTGCATTTGCAACCCCCGAATGAGCAACCACTTCTCGCCGTATAGTATATGTATGGTACAGACCCCATCCCCATCCCCATCCCCGTTCCCATCTCCGTTTCCGTTCCCGTTGCCAAATCCAAGCCCATTGTCATTACCAACGCGAACCCAGAGCTATGCCCACTCCACTCCAGTCCCAGTCCCAATCCCAATTCCAATCGCAATCAACTCGACTCATGTGATGGCATTTTTCTTGCTCGGCTTTGTCTTGCCCATTGTGTGTCGTCTACTCACTTTTCGCCTGGTGGTGCGGGCAAAGTGGTGCGGATTTCGCGCGATTGCTATCACAGGAGCCACATTAATGGGGTGCACCGCTCAGAAACACTGCAACAGTCATGCTAAATTTCGGGAGCCGCACTTTCCAGTTTCCGGTTTTTGTAAATGGGGAAAAATCACTGTCTTTTGTGGCAAACACGCGCCGAGGTCTTGGCAAACGGGATTTGTAGACGCGGATTGGGAGTGTCGGGCACTCGGTCGTTTAGTCAGGCAGTGCCTCAGTCAGCCAACTGAACTGGCATGACAGCTCCGCTGGCGCTGTCATCCTGGTGTGTGCGGTGTCCAACCCCCAAAAGGACGACGCCTGCGCACTTGGCCGGGTCGATGGGCCACTGACGGAGTGGCAACTCCGCCGGAGTGGCCAGCACCAGACCAGCGATTCCGTGAATTCCGAGCAGCAATCGCAGCGAAATGGGTGCCACGGCCTCGTGCAAGAAATCCAACGGCAGTGGCTATCCGGAGCACGATGATCCCAGCTACCGCAAGTGCCAGGAGCTCAAGGTGAGTAGTCCGTCGCCTTCCGCTTTACATAATCCCCCGACCTGAAACGACCCGTTCCGACACGACCTGATCTTAGATGGAGCGCTGGATCCAGATGCACTACCAGATCAAGCAGCGGGAACAGGCCCTGGCCATCGCCCAGCACCGGGAGCTCTTCTACTGGCTGAGTGGCTTCTACCTGAGCGCCGTCTACGGCTGCGCCAGCTACTACCAGCGGGTGAAGCGGGTCTCCGCGCTGGCTCCGCTCCTGCCGCTCACCTTCGTGGTGGGCTACTACACCGACTGGGCCTACGGCAGCAAGCTGCACCGCATCCAAGGTGGGTATGGGTATGGGTAAGGGTTGGGGATGGCCTTAACTTTGGGTCATTTCCAAACACAAGCCTCGACTTAACCATTATAATCTGTATTTTTAATCTGATTTTAAAATCACTCGAGAAGTCTGTTTTTATTGCGGCAAAACATCATTATTTTAATAGAAAATTAAATATTAATTTCCACAACATTAGTTTTGAAAAACAATCAGAAAGTATGTTTATGAAAGAAATGTATCAAAGAATTCTCACACAGAAATAACCACATCATTATTTAAAAAGTAATCACAAGGATACTAGAATTTATATATATGTATTGAATTTCCACATAAGTGCCCTGAATATCAAACAAAAAAATCAGTAAATAGAATTTCCATACAGATTAAACTACATCATTATTTAAATATTAATCATTAGAAAGTCCAAAATTCTAGTAGTTTATGTAGCAGACAAGTGAGGATTGCTTTATGGTAATAGGTAATAATATAAATACATAACAAAATCGAATTTTTATTAGTACGATATCCAAAAGCATATCATCAATGCTGTTTTCTTTAGTAGTTTTTTAATTTTTCGATTAGACAATTTAGATCAGACAATCTGACCATTTCCTTATGTCTTGCGAACATTTTTAAATCTTATCCCCGAACTGTTTTGTCTTGAATCCCTAATAGCGGAGGCCAACATGATCATGGAGCACGAGCAGGAGCTTCTACATTGGCCAGGCGGTCTGCCCACAGTCGCCGGAATCGATGAGGCCCGCGTGGAGACCGAGATGGAGAAGAAGATGCATCCGCACCACATGTAGAGGCAAAAGGCTGCCCCTTTCCCCATTAGTCTGTAGGCGGGATTGGGTTCTCGTTCTCAGGTCCCTATTGAAAATAGAACATCAAAAAAGGCACAGAAATCAGCAAACAATACTCACACGCAGTTTCAGGCATTCAAAAGCCCTTAGCTAGATTGTACATTTCTTAGCGTCAGAACTCACGAATGCTGAACTGTAGGGACCATTCAATAACACTTCAAAACTATCACCACCATCATCTAGAATCACACAGTTCATTAGAATGCTAAATCTGCACAAAAGGATAAACAACGAACATATAAAAACATTGTATGATTAAGCATATGAAAATATGCAGTTTAAAACCTACTTTTAGCTTACCAAAAAGAAGAGAAATCGGGCTGCAATATTGTATGGTAAATAATGGAAAAAATCTTTAAGTTTCCATTATAAATAACCATTTTAATCAGATCAGAATTATACCAATTTAAAGAACTTTTCATTATTATAACTATTATGGTTTATAATTTATATAATTATTTTAAGCCTAAAAGCATGATCATCATATCATAATGCTCCCAGGGAGCAATACTTTATTTTTTTACGATGAATTCACCTAGCTTCGCAATATGATCATCTTGCATTGCCTCATCCTGCACAGAACCCAAGCAGCCTACAGCAACAGATAGCTCAAATATAGGCCTTCTTATAATATATATTAATATTTAGACCTCCTCTGTAACGACCATCTACTTAGCCGCAGTTTACTTGCCCCTTCTCTCTTGCGCTTCACTTTTCCAGCAATTTTTTGAGACAATACTCCTTATATTGGATAGTTAATGATGGATATATATATATATTATACATATACTTGTGTACACTTGATACAAATTGTAGTCTAGAATGTCTAATAAATGTTTTGCTCCTGAAGTATTGAACTTGGCTCAAAAGGCGAGATCCTCGTCCAGCAGTCCGTGCTCGATGAAGGCGCGCGAGTCCTTCTTGAAGTGGCGATCGCAGAACTCGGCCATCCTGGAGCAGGCCTCCTCGATCATCGGCCCCGGCACCGTCAGCACGATCCTCACGTATCCCGGATACTCGAAGCAGCTGCCCGGTAGGCAGAAGACGCTCTGCTCGTTGACCAGCTCCTGGACGAAGTGAGTGTCGTCCTTGAAGGCCGGGAAGCGCTCGATGCTCACGCCGATCATCATGTACATGGCCCCGTTGGGCATCACGGGGTTAAGGCCGCGTACCGTCTTCAGCATTTTGTAGGCCAGTGTGGCATTAGACTGAAGGTAATGAGGAAAATAATGGTTAATATATATATATATTAGCAGCCTATTAATTTATCTTTCTAAACTTTGAATGCAATTCACATTCAGTGATAGTTAAAACATATTTGAAGGCTCCGAATACATGCTCCAAACCCACAAAAATGTTGACCGGAAAAAAGTACCCAAAAATATTTCAAAATATGACTAAAATGGTATAAAATGATTGATTTGCAAAAACTTTGAATGCAGTTCAAGTGACAACTAAAACATATTTAAAGTCTTCAAATCCACAATCAAAACAAATATTTTTAAATGTTGGCAAATATAAATTATGAATTGGTATTAATGCTTCCTTTGATATTTTTGATCCCAAACTAAGATGGCAATAACGAACTTTTCATTTAAATGAAATTATATTTCATTTTAACGTCATTTACACAACTCTATTCTCATAAAACTGGATGTGGATTTTTGTCTATAATAGTTCGTTTATTAGCACGGATCTTGAACTCAAAATTGGTCTTATTGATAGGCAAAGATAGTTGGGATTTGGGAAAGATTTTTGTTCGATTAATTAGTCTTACTTACGTGTAGCACGTCGATTACACCGTCAAAGTAAGACTGCGGTGTTTTGGTCAAGATCTCGGGCAAGGCACCCTGGATGATGGTGTTGGAGCCCAGGATGCGACCACACATGTTCTTCAGCCCGACAATGGAATTGGCCAAGCGCTGCTTGCGATCGTGGATGATGATCCAACCCATTCGCCATCCGGGAACCAGGAAGCGTTTGGTCAATCCACCGCAGGAAAGAACCGGAACCTCCTTGGTCAGGCTGCTCACGGCCACGTGCTTGGAGCCGGGGAACACAAAGTGCTCGTAGATCTGAAAAACAATTAAGTCGGTTGGGCTTTTACAATAATTTAGAAAATACTAAATTTAAAATATACCCTTTAAACTCCTAAACATATTATCGATTCGGCTTTAAAAATATTTATAAATAACACATTGTACCGAAACTAAAACGAGAAAATGTCGCAGAAATTATTAATTTAAATGATTTGGGCTAGTTAGAATTACATAGGTTTCAGGGAATGAAAACAAACCCTTTTTGAACATTACAAAAATCAAACTAATGGTAATACCATCTGCTGGGGTATACAAATAGAGATATATAAATAAATAAAGAGAAGATAGACCACAACAAAACAGATACATGAATAAAGAAAATAATTAAATAAACAATTATTATAATTACTTGCTTTCACATATATTTAAAATTTTTCTGCAAAAATAACCGGTCCTAAAATATGTCACCTTTTTTAGGTTGCCAAAAAATCAAACTAATGATAATAACATCTGCTGGGGTATTCAAATAGATATTTATATAAATAAATACAAATAAGATAAACGAAAATAATTAAATAAACAATTATATCCATTTAAATTTTTCAAATATCTAAAATGTTTCTGCAAAAATAACCGGTCCTAAAATATGTCACATTAAATACCCACAACCTTTGCTTAGGTTGATACAAGTATGCCAGTATGTGCGGACTTTTAGCATTTTTAGTTGGCATGGACCACCATCTTCATAGGGTTCCCGTCGGTCACTCACCTCGTCGGCTATGATGGGCAGATAGTGCCGTTCGCAGATGTCGATCAGCTGGAGCAGGTGCTCCTCGTCGAAGACGCTGCCGCAGGGATTGCTCGGATTGTTGATCAGCAGGGCGGCGGTGTTCTCGTCGATCAGGCTCTCCAGCTGGACGAGATCGGCGCGCCACTCCTGATCGGGCAGGAGGTCATAGTAGCGCACCTCAATGTCGAGTCCCTCGGTCAGGGTGCCGTACAAACAGAAGCCGGGTCGCGGCACCAGCACGTTCTGGCCGCGATCCGCCAGCGCCAGGATGCAGTACTCCAAGGCGGAGGAGCAGCCGCTGCAGAGCACCACCTCGTTCGGGTCGATCTCGCCGTCGGGTCGCTGGTGGGCACTGTACTTGGCCACCGCCTGGCGGGCCACCTCGTGACCCTGGGTGTGGGCGTACCCATTGAACTTGCCGCTCTCCAGCGAGTGCAGCACCGCCTTCATCGTCTCGTCGGCGGCCTTCAGGTTGCCAAAGGTTGTGGGATCACCTGGGGGGTGGAAGTAGTTCCGTGGTTATTATTCAAATTATTGCAAAGAGGTTTAGGAAATATCCTAATATATTTTAAGATAATTCTTTGCAAAAAATATTTTCTTCAATTCAAAACACGAAAATTCGTTTCCACTACTTATAATTAAATACTTAAAATTACTATTTATTTTGCTTTGCCCAGCAATATAAAAGATTACATTTCTGCTTGAGAACAATTTAATTGTATTAATAATAACAGCCCAAATTTTATTCTGCTTATCAATTTGTTATGCTTTTAGTGATGAGTAAGGAAATAAATATTATAATAATTATTGTGAAGTATTTGCTAAATATGATAATTAGCTTATTTTTTTCTTTTAACAAAAAGTAAATAAAACATTGCAATAATCTATTTGAATGATTATGAGTCCCGCTTAAATTTGAACTGTTAATTATATAAAATTTGAAAAAAAAATATATAAAAATATAGCGTTGCAGCACGTTAATTATTGGAATGGGTCTGCCCGTGCTAATCAGTCTATTTTGGGGGCTTGGATTTAGTGCTGATAAAAAAAAAACAGGTGGCTCCGCACCCGAATAGCAGATTGCATTGGGTCAATGGCTAACTCGATCGTTTCCGCCTAGCTTCGATTCCCGATCGAGCATGGATAAACAAGCGGCAGAATGTTCTGGTTGGGATCCCTAGTTCGATTCTCGACTCCGCCAAACAGGTGGAACTACATTTTATGCAAATACCCCTCAAAACACAAATACAGTGCGCGTGCCTGCTACAAATATAATATGATATTACTAAAAGCAAGAACAACAAACGAAACAACAACTGCTTTACAGATTTTATATATCTGGTATCTGGTATCTGGCATATTTAAGCACGAATTTAGAAACTCGCGCCGGTCGGCGAGTTGCGTTCATCAACTGCATATTTGTGAGCCGTCTGTAAATTTCCTTAGCCAAAAACAAAACCCGAATTTCATCAGAGGAGTACCATTTTCGACCGAGGATCTGCCGCGATGCAATCACCGATCTCTGATCTCTGATTGGCCCGTTTTTGTGGGTGTGTACTGACCAAAACTGACCACATATGCATCGCTTAACTTACTCCACAATCGAATTCACTTCGGCGTTCATTTTTGCGCCAAACTAGTTTTATCAGTGAGTGCCAAGTCATCTGCCAAAATATTCAAATTAGTCTAAAAACTTGTGGCACAAACGTCAGAGATGTTATGGGAATATGGTAAAATGGACAGCAGGTTCCCGACGAAACTGGATAAGTTCACACTATTATTGGAGGTTAATCATTCCCTAGTTTTAGGAAAAAAGCTACTTTTGAGGTCCAATCAGAAAGTTTAAGTGGTGAATAGTTGAATTAGTCTTTCGATTATAAAAACATGATTAAACCAACAATTTACAAAGTTCTTAATAAACTAAATGATACGGAAATGCTTAGTTTGCACTAGATACTCAGATTTTGTTCAGAATTTGGCGTAATTAAATATAATAATTATCGATTTAAACGATATATGTACAACAAATTATAAGAAACTGGATGTTCGCACTACCTACTTATTTTTTTGTAGAATATTAAGAATAATTTGTTCCCAATTCTGGGAAAAGTTTTCTTTTAGAGACTAAAGCTATCATTCTATTAAAAAAGCAGATAGTTCGTACTAGTAAACTATTAACTGATAAATATCAGTTTAAGCTTTATCAACCAAGCTAGTTTGTATCAAAAAAGTTCGCTGTAGACGTCCAGGGTGTCGATGCTTATCGATAATATATATATTTTATATCCTTGGTGGTATCTTGGGTGATAATCATAGAAAATTTTGTACTAGAAAAGTATGCTACAAAAAATGGTCTTTTAAAATCCCTTAGAATATTATCTTGAATCCCAAATCAAAAAGCATTTGTCATTGAAATTCCTATAAAAAATAGATTTTGAGCTGATTTATTATATATTTTGGGATCGAAAATTGTGCTTATGAGATTTCTAATTATCCATAGAAGTAAGTTATAACTAAAGTTATAAAGTGCCTCAGAATTATCAATTTATTGAATCAAATTTGATCTAATTTTTTTCGTTTTCTTGAGACACCGAATCTTGGTGCTCATAAGGACATAAATATAAATATAATAATTAACTCTATATAAATGTTATAAAATATATAATATAGCAAAATCAAGACTCGGTTATGGACAATGCAAATCTTTAATAACTCATCATCTAATGTTATCTAATAATCGGTTAAACTAAATATTGGCTTTATAGAATAGTTTTTCTATTTAACTTTATATCCCTCCTATGACCCCGTGCAACCAACTTTGCAAGCTACTCACCAATGGACAGCGGTATCATGGGCTTCTCCGGATTCGGCTTGATCTTCAGGGACTCGACAATGTTCCGGATGCGATTGTGCGTGTTGATGGACAGCTGGGAGGCCTTGATCTGCCAGCCGGAGCGACCCTGCCTGCTGGTGGACGCTACCAGGAGGTCCTTCTCGCTGATCTCCTGCGACTGCAGCTGCAGCTCGGCCAGCGCCTGGTCCACCACATCGCAGCTCGGAGTGGCCGCCGGCGAGTCCGGCTCACTGGGAGTCCGGCTCGGACAGCTGGCCCTACTGCGGCTGCTCTGGAATCGGAACTGACTCTCGTTGGCAACACTGCTGGGCATTATCACCGGGCCGGGCTTTTTTTTTCCAAAAAAAAAAAAAAAAAACAAAAACCGAAAAAAAAAAACAAAGAAAATTCCAAATATTTGGGTTCAGCGGTGTCTCCGGTCCGATTTGTGGCTACCAGAGCAGAGGGCTCAAATGAAGGTGAAGTTGGTATCCTGTTTATCGTTCCAGACGAGCATTAGATCTGCAATCTGCGGGGGTTTCTCTGTTGACGGCGGAGTTGGCTGGACGGTTGGACGGCTGGGGGGTCAATGAAAATCGGACCGATTAAATCTGGCTTGGGATTTCTTGGGTCGTTTGCGAATTCTGAACTAAACTGATCTACTTCGGAGATCTCTTGGGGCTTTTATCGCCTCTGGCGGGCTCCGCTTTGCCGACGCCATATAGGCTCTATATAGCTCGGTATATAGCCCACACACTCACATCGGATAGCGGATTGTGGATTGTGGACTGCGGATAGCACGCGCCTGACTTTGGCTTCGGATCGGATCGAGAGCCGAGAGGGCCGATCGAATGAAAGAACAACAACTACGGTGCGCCGACTGATTTGAATACCCGCCGCTTCGAAATCATATTCATATAATGCCTGGCCCGCCTCGGAACCAGATTTTAGTTCGATTTGATATAAACAACAACAGCCGCATCGCATCGATTCATTTAAATGCGCCAAAGTTGTCTATAATGTCTTGGGCCCAATTCGAACAGCAACCAACCAAAACCATCAATGCATATCGTGTGGCCGAGGACCGATGGATTTCGCCGCCGCCCTTCCAACCAAAGTGCATTTGGATGGCAAGACACTACCCCTATGATTTCCAGGTTCTCCGATCTCAGCGGTCATCGATCCGACCACCTACATGACTGAACATTACTATTTAAATCAGTTAGATGCTGTTCAATAAAACACTAATGCTTTTTTCGGGCAAATTATACACCCAATCTACCCCACAGTATCTAAAACGTGTGTTTATAAATCTAGCTTTATAGATTTTTCTTAGAATTCGAGGATTATCACCCATATTTTGAAATTTATATACAGCAAATTATAGAGAATTTATCAATTAGTTTGGTTAAAACAACTTCGGAGAGAAATCAATTTGTAGTTGCTAATCAGAAAGTCTAAGTGGCGGATAGTTTAATTTTTTCTTGATCATAAAAGGCAGTTATAATGAAAAATATACAATATTTATATATGAGCATGATACTAAACAAGAAAGGAAAGCTAACTTCGGGCGGAGCCGAAGTTGATATACCCTTGCAGAGTACTCTGTAAATTATATTCTCCAAAATTTTTCATATGATGCATTCTTAATACTCATAAAAAATCCCAACTTCCTACCTTTAAAAACACCAAAGTTATGGCATTTCCAATTGTTCAGTTATATGGCAGCTATAGGATATAGTCGGCCGATCCTTATGAAATTTGGTACGTCGGATTGATTGGCCAAATATAATACCCATAGAGAGTCCCAACTTCCTAACTTAACAAACAGCAGAGTTATGGCATTTCCGATCAATCAGTTATATGGCAGCTATAGGATATAGTCGGCCGATCCCGGCCGTTCCGACTTATATACTGCGTGCAAAGGAAAGAAGGGTGTGTGCAAAGTTTCAATTCGATAGCTTTAAAACTGAGAGACTAGTTTGCGTAGAAACAGACAGACGGACAGACAGATGGACAGACAGACGGACAGACGGACAGACGGACATGGCTATATCAACTCAGGAGGTGATCCTGATCAAGAATATATATACTTTATAGGGTCGGAGATGTCTCCTTCACTGCGTTGCACACTTTTGACCAAAATTATAATACCCTCTGCAAGGGTATAAAAACGGATTGATATGCACTAAATTAAATTAATTCTCAAAAATTGTAAACTTATATACACGAAATGACACGAAAGTTAAGGATTCGCGATAGCTTCTGAGGTTTTTTAGATTTTAGATACGTTAGTTTTTTAAGTACATTAGTATTTTCATTAGACAGCTGAGTTACTTGAAGTTTGGCTGATATTTCCAAATTGTTGATCGAATCTTTCCCAATATTACTTTTTAAATAAAATAACTTTAATAAGTCTAGAAACTTACCAAATAAGGATATATTTTTAACAAGAAAGGAAAGCTAACTTCGGGCGGAGCCGAAGTTGATATACCCTTGCAGAATATTCTATAAATGATATTCTCCAAAATTATTCATATGATGCATTATTAATACTCATAAAAAGTCCCAACTTCCTAACTTTAAAAACACCAAAGTTATGGCATTTCCGATCGTTCAGTTATATGGCAGCTATATGATATAGTGGCCCGATCCGGCTCGTTCCGACTTATATACTACCTGCAATAGAAAGACAACTTTTGGGAAAGTTTCAAGCAGATAGCTTTAAAACTGAGGGACTAGTTTGCGTAGAAACGGACGGACAGACGGACAGACGGACAGACGGACAGACGGACAGATGGACAGACGGACATGTCTAGATCGACTTTCCTGGTGATGCTGATCAAGAATATATATACTTTATAGGGTCGGAAATGTCTCCTTCACTGCGTTGCAAACTTTTGACTGAAATTATAATACCCTCTGCAAGGGTATAAAAATAAACAAAATAATGCGGCCGTAAGTCATCCGTGATAAATCTTTTAACACCCTAAGTCGTTACTAGAATGAAAAGGACCAAGAACTGTAATATTCTCCCAGTGAAAAAGAAACGTGTGATTTTTTTATTTATTTTCTTTGAAATTATATTGAGCTATTTAAATATAGCCGAGTCGATTTATTGTCGTCTATATAAATTTGAGTTTCGTCTACCTCTTTTGCATGTGAACTTTAAGTCATGTATGATTTAATTGTAACCTTTACTTGGCACACACGTTAAAGGTAGCCCGATTGTTATAACAAAAATATTTGTAATATAAGAACGGTATCCAATATTTGAACTAAACCAAAATAAAGTAAACCTAACCCTTGCAATTTAAAAAAACACGTAAAACTAAACTTAACTTTTACTTCTAAGAAAGTCAAAATGTTGAGGATAAAGGAATGTATTATTTTTCGAACCCTTTGATTAATTAATTTATATTGCACTTGTAAATGCGTATTAAATACCTTAACTATATGCACATCTGGGCAGAAGTGGAATTTACAGAGGTATTCAAGTCCATTGATGTAATCGCATTGATTTGCATAATGGAATATGCATTGGAAACTATAGCCAGACCGATCTGAACCCGATCAACTAGATCAGCTAGATTAACTGGCCAACCACACCTGTCGACAATGACAACGCAGTTCCAGGGATTTGCGGAGCGGGGATCCCGGTAATTTTGGAGTTGATCCCCAGACAGGAATCGTTGGCAGTTTCAAACTGCGTCAAAAAATTTTATAAACAAGAGCTTAAGTCAGTTGACGTTTGAATTCACTTAAATAGACTTTGACAAAAGGAGACGTTTTAAACGATTGAGAACCACACTTAACATCTCGCTACTGAACAATGTGGTGTCGTATATTAGACTTTATTTTGACTGGAAATTGGATTAGTGTCATGAACGGATGGTTCGAATCGAAAGGTTGGTTAAGCAATAAAGTTATTCTTCTATTTTATATTTTTTAATTTGCTTAAATTTTTCAGTGACAGGCAAAAATAGAACATTAGTGCTACAATGAAAATAACCATTTGGCTTTGATGGGATTTGAATTCTATGAAATTTAATGCACTTTGGATCCGATTCGGAATCTTACGAATTATTTGTATAAAATAAATTTAAGTTAGTGCTAAGCATTCGGCTTTCGGTTGTTCATTTAAGTTAAAATAAATCTTTACTATGCCTTCATTGGAGTGAAAAAATCAAATAAAATAATAATGCTTTGCGGGCGGCGATATCCTATTTCACTATTAATTGAACATTAAACTTCAATTTCATTACAGCGTATTCATCAAAAAGAAAGTTTTTAAATAATAAAGATCACTATAAATATCTTGACGGATCAATACACCGTTGTTGCAAATAGATTTGTTTTTATTTTGATCCCACCAAATAGTTATGGTTATAGTATATGGTTGTAAATATTCTTTGTAATTGGAAATTCCTGGCTATTATGTTAATATTATTCGTGTTTTTATACCCTTGCAGAGGGTATTATAATTTTGGTCAAAAGTGTGCAACGCAGTGAAGGAGACATCTCCGACCCTATAAAGTATATATATTCTTGATCAGGATCACCTCCTGAGTTGATATAGCCATGTCCGTCTGTCCGTCTGTCCGTCTGTCCGTCTGTCCGTCTGTCCGTCTGTCCGTCTGTCCGTCTGTCTGTCCGTCTGTCTGTTTCTACGCGAACTAGTCTCTCAGTTTTAAAGATATCGAATTGAAACTTTGCACACACCCTTCTTTTCTTTGCACGCAGTATATAAGTCGGAACGGCCGGGATCGGCCGACTATATCCTATAGCTGCCATATAACTGATTGATCGGAAATGCCATAACTCTGCTGTTTGTTAGGTTAGGAAGTTGGGACTTTCTATGGGTTTTATATTTGGCCAATCAATCCGACGTACCAAATTTCATAAGGATCGGCCGTCTATATCTTATAGCTGCCATATAACTGATTGATCGGAAATGCCATAACTTTGGTGTTTGTAAAGTTAGGAAGTTGGGATTTTCTATGGGTTTTATATTTGGCCAATCAATCCGACGTACCAAATTTCATAAGGATCGGCCGACTATATCTTATAGCTGCCATATAACTGATTGATCGGAAATGCCATAACTTTGGTGTTTGTAAAGTTAGGAAGTTGGGATTTTCTATGGGTTTTATATTTGGCCAATCAATCTGACGTACCAAATTTCATAAGGATCGGCCGACTATATTCTATAACTGCCATATAACTGAACGATTGGAAATGCCATAACTTTGGTGTTTTTAAAGTTAGGAAGTTGGGATTTTTTATGAGTATTAAGAATGCATTATGAATGATTTTGGAGAATATAATTTGCAGAATATTCTGCAAGGGTATTTCAACTTCGGCTCCGCCCGAAGTTAGCTTTCCTTTCTTGTTTTACACTGTTTTTAATGTTTGTTTTTGACTGTAATAATTTAAAGCTGTTGTTGTTGTTGTGCTTGGCAATTATTTCTCGATAAACAAAAATATGTTTTTCGCGCTAGCCTTGCCATTGCATCATAACAGTCCCCGATTTCTCAGAGTCAGGCCAGTTAGTCAGTAAGTATGCCGATCGGTGGAGCGAGCCTCCAGCTCACCTTGTCCGGAGCAGGTTTTCTTGAACTTCTTTTTTCTGGCCGGTGCTACTGCCGTTTTCACGCCCCCCGATATTGACGGCCAAGTTAACAACAATCAGTTAATAGTCCGGGCCTCCCTTTGATATACACGAAATGGGAACCGTCTTGCTTATGTAATTCTTGAAAATCTCTTAATCCAAATCGGCCATATTTCATGACAATTGTCGGTCACAACGGTAATTATAATTGTGGTCAGATGTTTGAAACGCAGACAGTTAAAACATTACAATTGAACCAACTAAAGTAATTATTACGTCATTGTTTGCGAACTTTCTTTTAGTCTCACGGATCTGTTATAGAAATCTAACTAAGGAATGTTTCGTTTTATCCTTAAAAATCAATCTTTCAATATAACATTATTTTTTAAAATATCGAAAAGCAATTTGTATAATACAAATACGGAACAGAAGAAATAGATCGTCGGCGGGTTAAATTGATTTTCCTGAATGCTCAGATGTTGCCGATCGTTCCGCTAGTTGATCTAGAAAATCGTCAAATTACAATAAGTTTGTGGGATAGAGAACAAGTCATTTTCAATCATTTCCACTCCCCATTAAATGATAATGATTTTATAATAATGTAATTATCACAAATCCACATTTTTTTCGCTCAATGAGCGGAACACAATTTTTAAATAATAACTGATTAGTTTATTTTCGTGAATATGTACATATATAAATTTATTTTTCATCTTATGTTCGCCTCGATATTGTACCATTGAAACATACATTTTGATTTCTAAATCAATATTAAATTCAATTGAAATTAAAAAAAAAATTAACGTAAATAATAATAAATAAATATTTGAAATACGAATTCGAGTTTAATATTTTTCGAAAATTAAGAGTAATTGTTAGTAGTTCCCAGAGACTGCGAGGACCTGCTTGGGGTGTGCAGGATTTGACATTTATGACTGCGAAGGCGCCTATTTGCGCTTGAACATGTTGCTGAGTCGTCGTTTGGGCGGCGAGTTCTGTAAATGTACAAGACATATGAGTACACAGTGCGAAACGAGTTAGTGAGATTTGTGCAATTTCCATTGCTTTGGTTTGCGGCCGAAAAAGGAGATTGTGAGGAGGACCAGACCCATTCCAGCGACTACGGCGGTGAACGCCAGCACCACCCTGTCCGCCAGCTGGGAGCACAGTCCCACGATGGCCAGCAGCACCAAGCCCACGGTCAGCCGCTCGCCGAGACTCAGGTGGCGCAGAAGGCGTCTGAACTGAGTCCACAGCGAGCGGTTGAGCGTCGACGTGTGGAGCTGCGAGTCCGTCGGCTGGACATAGGTGATGTTGATATGCGGCATCGGCTGCATGTGCACGCTGCCGAACGAGTAGACCGTGCACGACTGCCGGGACGAGGTGCTGGTCATGTTGGTGGTGCAGCTACCGCTGGTCATGTTGGTGGTGCAGCTACCGCCGGTCAAGTTGCTGCTGGAGGCGGCCAATTGCGGCAGTTTCAGCTCTACCGGCACACCAACTGGCGCGTAGACGAGCGGCTGCAGTTGAAAGGGCGCCGTGCACTCCGTTTCCCTGCACAGCTGCTCGAATCGCCAGTCCTCCGGGCTCTCCTCCATCTCCATCCCCATCCCAATAGCACTCTGCCCATTTTCCAGTGCCCACGTGGCCAGGTTCTCGGACTCGAACTGCTGCTGCAGCTGCCATGTCTCGCTGAGCGCTTCCCCCACGCTGAAGGTGGTGGCCACAGCCGGACTCGGTGCCCTCTTGTCCAGCACAACCGTCTTGCCCAGCACGATCTGCTCTTCGTTGCGATTATGCATACTATAGTTGTTATTATCAGGGGAATCTGGCTTCTGAGCCGCATTAGAGAGATTAGCCGAAAGCCGGACCTGGTCGAGGTGACGGGCCTGATCGAAGCGGCCCATCCGCTCCTGGCGCAACTTCCGGCGCTGCTGCACCCGCTTTCCGAGCACAGCCGGATCGGAAACCTTCAACGCAGCCGGACGGCTCTTGGCAAAAATGTTGCCGTGCAGGCAAAGCGAAACGCGGCCATTCCGTGATTTGGCATGGCCGGTAAGACGACGGGTGTTGCCCTTGGTCAAGGCGAGCAACGCTGCCGTGGACAGGTGTGGGGTACCCTCTTGATTAGCTTGATCTTCTGGAGGCACTGTCTCACCCTCATCCACCTCATCCACCTCTTCGACCTCATCCACATCTTCCACCTCATCCACCTCCTCTTCCTGCTCGGCGGGTTCAGCCGACGACGTGTCCGCATCGCTTGCACGGATCAGACGCTGCTGATCATAGTAGGAGCGGCTCTTGCGAGGCGTGGATGTACAAAACAAGCCCACCGCCTGGCGCAACTTGCGACGCTGTATCCCAGTCAGTAGATTCGACCGCTTGCGATGGGGCAGCTGTGGAAAAGGCCAGGTCAGTTGCCGGCAGTGGAGCCACACAAAGGACAACACATGGACGAAAATAATACGTGGACAAAGCAGCTATGGCACACTTCACCTTTCCTATGCCCCATGACACTGAAACAAAGCAAGACGCTATGGACCGTCTATCTAACCAATTTCGGAATAGTTTTCCTCTTTTAACGTTTTCAAGTCACTTCAAATTTAAGGTTCATGTTATTTTCCATTATATCAAACATAGTGTTCAAAACCTAAGAATACCACTGTTTTCTAGCGTATACATATATTTTTTTAGTATTTAAATTCCGAAAACTAATATATGTATAATACTCCAATTTTAAGACTGTAATCTTTTTATCTGAAACCCCTTTTTTAACATAACATATTCCTAGAGAGCTTTTCGGTTTGCGGAAGCCAAATTACGAGTATTCTACGAAATAAGCGGTATATATTCACTTGTTCAGTGTCACATGGGCATACCCAACATTGAAAACCAAAACCAAAACATTGAAAATCACAAATCTACTCAACTTGAGCACGAAACCTTCCGTTCGTACTTACCTCGTCTCGGGGCAGACCGCTGCTGCCAACGCTGAAACGCTGCGTCAGGAACTTGAAACGCGCCGGCGTCTTGGAGGTGTTGTTGTGGTCGCCGAACTCTCGCAGAATCTCACGCGGCGGCTCCGAGCTGCCGAAGGACAACCGCCCGCCGTTCTTGCTCGGTGTGGGCGGTCCTGGTCGCTTGTAGTGGGTGCCCATGGTCTTCTTGCGCGTTCCTGTGCTCGAAGAGCTTAGCAGAGCGCTCATGCTGTCATCCAAACTGTGGGGTCCATCCTGACAAACCAAAAAAAGGATACATTCAGAAACGATTCAGATACAAAACCGAGACATGTTAGGCTATGGACAGCAACTGGATTATTGTGACACGAATATAAAAAAACAAAACATATATAACAGACAAAAACAAGCACAGACTGAACGGAACAGAACGGATACTGCAAACTTCGGACTTCACAGTGGACAAAAGCTCACTCGGTCTCTAGGTTAAGGTTAGGATTAATTGTTCTACTGCGGACGTGTCATGCGGGCCCACTGTGCCCTGATGGCTGCCTGGCGGGCCTTCAAGGGTGTGCCGGGTGTGCCGTCTTTTGTCTTAATTTTCCTGCTGCCGCCACTGCTGCCGGTGATTCTGCTGGCGGAGCTCGGAGTACAGCTAACGCTTACTTTGAGATCTTCGTCCTGGCTGCCCAGATCATACTGGGCCGCGTAGGCGCTCTTCAGATGTGGTGGCTGCAGCGAGTTCCGATAAATAAGCTCCTCGGCCCTACGGATAAAAATGAGTTTTTAACTGCGAGCACACACAAATCGGAACCAAAAGATCACTTACGTCATGTCAGGAACACGGCCCAATTTTAAGTCTGTCAGGTACGTGTTGTTAAAGACCTCGCCCTCTTCGTCTTCCATGGCCAGATTAGAGGATGGGGCACTGGGCCGCTTGAAGGGCTGCCAATCTTCGCTTGCTGCCGCTGAACTGGAGGAAACGGTGATTGTCGCGGTGGATGGCTTTGGTTCACTGGCGGGCTGCATCTGCAAATGGCGCAACTTGGTGCTGATGATGGCATGCTGCTTCTGCTGCTCCAGGATCTTCTCATTGAGGCGGACAATCTGGTTGGACAGCTTGCGAGTGTGCTCCTCATATTTGGCATTCTGGAATGGAAGGGAATTTATATCTTCACGGTCTGTCATGCTCCTTTAGAATTTAGAATTAGCACGGGGTTTCCAAAAGTTTGCCCTTAGCTCTCTTTTCCTATTTTCTTTTAATTTAAGAGTATAAATTCTTTCAAAAATGTATATTAAAGAATATTTTTATTTAATTTAATTGTAATCAAAAACAAAATAAAAAACACCTTTAATTTTGAACTGTTGAAATATCTTTGGAAAGCATTATGTTTAATCCGAATTCCTATGCTCATACGGCTCAAAATACCCTTATTTTTTTATGGACAACTTTGATATCTTTTAAATGTTGCAGAATAAATAGAAACAATTACTACTACTCGGTTCAAGTTTGAATAGGCGAAACAATATTTACCTGGGCTTTGAGGGTCTCCAGCTCCGCTGCGCTGCTGGCCGCGTCCCGTTCCTGCTTCTCCTTCATGCGGGTCACCTCCGCCGTGTACAAGGAGCGCTACGGGTGGCGCGTCAAGAGTCCGGGTACGTAAGCAAACGCGCATGAATTATGGCAGTGTTAATTCAGGTGTAGGTGTAGGTGCGGATGTGGGTGGGCGGCACGCGGTTCGAAGGACGAGAGTGAGTAAGACAGCAGTGAGGACAGCACAAAAAAAACAAGTTTTGGGTAATGCCAAGGTATGTGCATATTACATTTATGAAATATAACTAAGTACGTGTAACAACATTGGTAAACAGCTAATAACAAAAACTACCAAGGATTGAATGGTCAGTCCGGCCTAAAACTGGCTGGGATTGCGTGAGTGTAGTTCGAGGTTGACGTCGTTGTGGTACAGAACCATATGAATTAAACCCATCAAAATCGCATGCGTGGCGGCCAGGAACAAGGCCTTGCGTGTGCTGAAGCACGGGCAGTTGCGTCCGCCCCCGCGTCGGTTCAGAAAACCGCTAGCCAGGTTGCGCCGAACTTGAATCCTCTTGTTCCTGACCGCTGGACGTGCTGCTGCCGCTGCTGTGGTTTCCCTTGTGCCGCCCTCCACTACGTATCCAATAACACTCGGACTGCCAGACAGAAGCGTCTGGGACTTCAGGTTTCGGGGGATTGGGGGCATATTGTGGTTTAGGGATTGGGAATGGCGATGTGGTGCAATTGTGTGTGGGATGGGTTGTAATTGGCGGAGTGAATGGAGAGAGGAAGGAAAGATAAATGTGATTTTTAATTCCATGATGTGACAATTGAATTGAATAAATCTACTAAGCCGCACGCAGTTGCCAAAAGCAAATATGCAAGCAACGCAGCAAATATGGTAATCTGATTTTATATCAAAACTAACCGATTTTTAGTTCTTTAACATTATTGAATACTTTATGGCGAAAAACTATATAAATAATTTCCCCCCTGTATGACATGAAAAGGTGCAAGTGGAATAACAAAAGTGTGTAAACAGCTATGGGTTTTACATAATTTTGTTATTTAAAAAAAAACGGACAGACATGACAAATATGCAAGACAGAACAAATCAAGATTTTAAAGTTCTCTTAGTTGTTATCCCACTAAAAGGCTAATTACAATGTGTTTTCCCGTCTGCAGAAAAATTTGTCGCCATATTAAGACATTTTAAACGTTCCAATACGAGTATTAGAGGCATTTTGACTGATAGTGGGTACCTAGGTTGATTTTCTACGTACGTCTTATCACTGGATAAATTTTGAAGTCGCCGACGAATTTGGTAAACCTGAAAAAGCAGCACATACACATCGATAACGCTACCAACAACAACACCCACCCCTAGATTTTGGCCAAGTTAGTAAAGCAAAACAACGACAACAACATAAACATGCACATACACAAGCCACCATTTCAACAACAGGTGAAGATGGCATGGTCCTGCGATCAAAACACTTATTCGACAACATTATGCCACGCATTTCTTTATTCTGGGTTTATCAGACAATCGCAGAATTCGCATGATGGTCGACACCAATCTGATGCTGTGCAAGCGATGGATAAGGCATCCGAGTGCGGAATAGACACCGCTCGACCAGCGCGACCATGCCACCTCGACGGAACCCGATTCGGTTCCAGTTTCACGTTCAAATAGTTCGCAACGACTTACCATCTTGGTCTTCATCTTGTCCAACTTGCCCTCCATCTCCAGTCGCTGGTCCTTGATCTTCTGCTCGCAGCGCTGGATCTCGTTCTTGGCATCGCGGTACTTGGCCTGCAGGATCTGGCAGTCTAGCGCCAGCTGGTTGTTTCTGGCCGTCTCCTGGCGCAGCTGGCCGAGATTGGCGTCCGATTCGGGCGCATCCGACTTGCTGTAGGTGGCCCCGAGATCACTCGGACCCTGTGTATGGCTTTCGTTGGCGGATCGCATCTCGGCCAGCTCCTGATTGCAGTCGGCCAGCTGCCGTTCGAGATTCTCCAGGCGGCGTTGATAGCTAAGGTTGCGCTCCGCCGCCTCTGCACGTTCCATCTCAATCTCGCGCGTCTTCTCCTCCAGCTCGAAGTGCTGGGCCTCGTGGACGAGCCGCGTGCCGTCCAGCTCCTGCTGCACTCCGGCCAGCTGCTCGGTGATCTCGGCCAGCTGTTGCCGGGCCTGTTTGCGGTCTGCGATCTCCGTCTCCAGACGATGCTGCAAATCGGCCACAGCCTGCTCTGAGGCGGACATCTGACTGCTTTGCTGCTGCTCGACTTCGTCCAGTCTCTCGGTGACCTTGGCCAACTGTTCCTGGGCCTGATAGCGGTTTTCAACTTCCGCCTCCAGGCGATGCTGCAACTCCATAATCTGGCCGGCCCGCTCGGACAGCTGTTTTTTTTGCTGTGCGATATTACAATTGAGGCCACCGATCTCACAGTTTAAGCTGTCCTTCAGCTGGTCGAATTCCGAGAGTTGCTTGTTCAGTTTGACGATATTCTCCTGCTGGAGGTCACGTACATTTTTCAGCTTGCTGATCCGCTCGTGGGCAATGGCACGGTCTGCTTCCGTTTGGGTGTGGCGCCCCATCAACGTTTCTAGCTCGTCCTCGAGCGTGGCCAGTTTTACCTGGTGCTCGCGCTCTTCATTCACCAGTCGCTCCTTGACCAGGTGGATCTCCCGCTGCAGAGACTCCTTCTCGGCCAGCAATTTAGTCGAGGATTCGACCTGTGACTCGAGGGCCTTCTTCGTCTGAGCCAGTTCGTCGGCCTGCTGTTCGATTAATTTAACCTGCTCATCGAAAATCTTCTCTGTGTAATTTCCATCGCTTATCACTTGAGCCCTCGCCAGGCGCAGCTCATCCAACTCTGCTTTAAGCTGATCCGTTAGCTTCTGTTCGTGTCGAAGCTTAGCCTGCAGACTAAGCAAATCTTCCTTACAGCTGTCAGACAACAGCTCTTGCTCTTGCTGGGCCGATTGCTGCTCCTTGGACATTTTCTCTTTTAACTGCTGGAGCTGCATTTGGTTATCCCTTTCCGCCTCTTCGGCAATCTTCTTCATGCGACTTTCTTCGCCTATCAATTGGGCCTTGGCCTTGCACAGCTCTTTCTGCCGCTCATCCAGCTCTACTTTCAGTTCATCCGTAAGCTTTTGCTCGTCCTGAAGCTTGGCCTGTAGACTAAGTAGCTCCTCCTTGGAGTTGTTGGACAACATCATTTGTAGGTCCTGCAGGGCAGAGTGATGCTCCTTGGCCATGGTCTCTTTTAACAGGCGGAACTGCGTTAGGTAATCCCTTTCCGCCTCATCGGCCATCTGCTGCATGCGACTTCCTTCACTTATTAATAGGGCCTTTGCCTTTGTCAGCTTATTTTTCTGCTTTTCAAGCTTGACTTTGAGCTGATCTGTAAGCATCTGTTCGTCTTGAAGCTTAGTCTGAAGACTGAGCAACTCAATGTTACAGGTGTCAACCATCTTTTGTTGTATTTCTAGCTGCTCCTTAGCCAAGGACTCTTTCAACTGCCGGAACTGCATTTGGTAATCCTTTTCCACCTCATTCACCATCTCCGCCATGCGACTTTCTTCGTTTTTCATTTGGGCATTGGCCTTGCACAGCTGCTCATTTTGCTTTTCCACCTCGACTCGAAGCTGCTCTGTAAGCTTCTGCTCGTCCTGAAGCTTTGTTCGTAGGCTGAGCAACTCCTCTTCATTTAACTTCGGTTCTTGCTCCTTGGGCTTTGACTCCAGCTTGACGTGATCTTTGTTATCCGTTTGCCCCTGTGAAACTTGCGCACGCAGCTTGGCGACCTCAACCTCTGCCTTCTTTCGCGCATCCCTCAACCACGCCAACTCGTTACTCGACTCTTGCATCAACTCCTTGTGGGTAGCAATGGTCTGGCGTAGGGTTTTCTCCTGGAGGCGAGCCTCGTTTAAATCGGATTTCCAACCGCTCATTTCTTGTTTGTTGGTCGCAAGGGCATCACGGTGCTGCTGCTCCTGGAGGCGAGCCTCTTTCAACTCCGTTCTGATTGCCGTCACTGCTTCCTCGTGGTCTTTGACCAACTGCGAGGACTCCGTTAGCTGCCTTTCGAGATCTTGACAACGCTGTTCGCACTCATCTTTCGTAGTCTTTAACAATTGTTTATGCTCCTCCTCCTGTTTCAAAAACTTGGCTTCACTTGCCTCCAGTTTCCCTTCCAACTCCTGCTTCATGATATCAATTAGGGTGTCATGCTCTTTGGACACAAGTGAGATCTCGGCAATCTTATCCGCCATCTCGTTTTCGAGGTCCTTACAACGCTGATCATGGTCAACTTTTAATTGATCGATTTGTTTCTCATACATATCCTTCAACTCCGACATTTTCTCGTCTGTTTCCTTCAGTTGCGCCCGCAGTTCTTCCTGCACCTTTTGCGACTCGGACAACTGTCTTGCCTTATAATTTTCCGAAGTCTCCAGCTGAGAGATTTGATCCGCACGGCGATTCGACTCACTGTGGACCTTAAGTAGAGACTGACTCATGTCCAGTTGGAGGTTATGCAGCTTAACGTTGTCCAAGCTCAGCTTCTCGTTCACCTGCTCAAGGTTCCCGATGGTGTCCTTGAGTTGCTTTATCATGGGACTATTCTGACCAGTGCCCAACTTGTTCTGCAGTATAGCCACTTCCTCTTCCAGACGCACCTTGGACTGGCCGAGGTGCTCGGCCAACTGTGTGACCCCATCGCACTTCAGCTCGAGATCCTGGCGACACGCATCCAACTCATCATATATGCTTATAAACTGGACAATCCGATGACGAAGCGCCTCGGAGCTGTTTGCACAACCCCCATCCGGAGATTCTGGTTCTGACCCAGCTTCTAAAAGACGAGATTCAAGGGCGGCTGCTATCTTAGTGACCTCCAAATTTTGGGCCTTCAGGTGCTGCTGAGTCCCGACCAGTCTATTCGTCGCCTGCTCCAAATTGGTTCGCTCCTCTTGAAGAGTCTTCTGCAATTCAGCCACCTGCCTACTGCTGTTGGCAATCTCGGTATCTTTGTGGTGCAGTGCAGAACGCAGCTTGTCGGCAGTGAGCTCTAGAGAAACGATGAGCTCCTCACGCTGCTTCTCCTCACGGCTGAACCTGAAAGCCCATTGCCGGCTCTCGCTAAGGACCGCTGCGTGCTGCCGCTTAACATCTGCCAAGTCCTCCAGCAGATAATCCACCTTCGCTTCAAGACTGTCGATTGTTTGCTTTCGCTGCTCGAGTATCACTTCAAGCAACGATTCAACCGCATCAAATCGATTGCTATTTTCCTCCGGTCCGGAAGAGCAAGCGGAGGATCTTGCCGAATTGCCCCCATCTAAGAGGGCAGTGATGCGGTCCAGGAAAAGCTCCGTCTCCTGCTGAGAGTTGCGCTGCTGCTCGATAAGATACTCCTTCTCCTGATACAGCTCCTTGTGCTGCGTCTCCCGCTCCAAAAGATCGGACTCGATCTGCTGGGTGAACTTCAGATTGGATTTATGCAATTTATCACATCGGTCATTAGACGTGTCCAGCTCTAACTGAAGGTCAGACAGCTTCTGCTCCATATCCTGGCTATGCTTTAAACTTAGCTCCAGGCGCATACCCAGCTCCGTTGCCTCCATCGCCTCCATCGCCTTTTGCTCTAGCTCAAGCTTGAGGGCCCCGTGTTTCTCCTCCGTTTCAAAAAGCTCGTCTATACGCTGAAGCGCGCTCTCCCAGTCGGCTGCACCCAGCTGCATGGATAATAGCCCCATGTCCGCGTTGCGGGACATTAGCTGGTTCCGACACAGGGTATACTTATTTCGTAAGTACTCCTGACTGCGCTGCTCCTGCTCTAAAAGTAAAGATATTTCTTTTCTTTCTGTACCAAGCCGGCTGATGCTACTTTCCAGAGATTCGTTTTTTCCGCGTAGATCTGTGATTTCGGAACTCAACCTTTCTATCTGCTGTTCTTTTTCAGCCAGCTCGACCTTAATGGTGGTCAGGCAATCGTCCGCCACAGCTACCTTCTCAATCAACTTTTCGTGGGTTCGGATTATCGATTGTAGGTGGGACTGTAACTGTTCCTGCCTGCAGTTCTGACTGTGAATCTTATCCTCGTACTCCTTTTGCATATTGCAGACTTTTTTCATATGATTCTGGCTTGTGTCCGCAGCCGCCCGCTCTAGCTGGACAATTTTGGCCTTGGCCGCATCAAGCTGTTTGAGCTGTGTCTCCAGATAATCCCCAATTGTTTGACTTTTCTCCAGAAGTTCATCGAGGTTCGAGGACTGGCTGTCGCAAAGCTTCTTAAGTTTCGAGCTCCTGGCCAACTCGTCAGCAAGGCCACTCTCGAGAACAGAAATGCTGCTCATCAGGTGTGAAAACTGATCGTTTGCCAGGAAATCCTGATCGAGCTGATACTTTCTAAGAATGCTCGTCATAGCTTCGGTCAGTTGCTGCACCGAATCGTTCTGCCTCTGAAGCTCTTCCCTCAGCTCGGCGTTCTCGTGTTCTTTCTCACGTAGCTGCTTGTCGATCACAGAGCTGGCTAGATTCTCTGGAGTGACGTTCGGCGACAAAGACAAATTCAGCAGATCAGAGGATGCGTTGAGCACCTCACGTCGGTTATGAAGATCCTCGCGCGCCTCCTGGAGGCACTCATTTAGCTCCTGCTTGTCGCGCTCCAGGCAGCTAATCCTATCATCTTTCGTTGATAGGGATTGGCTGAGATCCTCCACGCGCGATTCAAGCTCCCTTACGCGGTCCATGCACACTAGCAATTGCTCCGCCGACATTTTGAGCTGTTGAAACATAAATACATTATCAATAAAAAATATGATTGCATATTTGATTGCATATGATTTTAATTATTAAAGCAGGCTGATTCGATAATTTGTTAATTCAGACGAAATGGCTGATATATTAGCTAAGTTGAATTCTTTTTTACTATAATATTAGTTTTGAAAACTTTATATACATATATGGTGATTAACCATTAATCATTAAATAATTCCTTTAAGGAATTCACGTGGAGATGCAGTACTAAATGTCGATTCCAAACAAGTGTACAGTCGCGAGCAAAATTCGCTATTTCTTTGACATATATATGCATTTTAAATAAGGTCTATAAAACCAAACAGGTAGTTTACCTTCTCGACCAGTTCGGATTTTTCTGTTTGCAAATCCTGCAGCTTATCGTTGTTCTCAGTTATAATTGCCTCCTTTTGGCTGATCTCTTTCATGAGGCTTCGCTTCAACTGAAATGAGGTAAAGTTTTATTAGTTTATGGCTCCCACTACCTGTGACCATATGGTGGTCTAGGTCTACCTACATGATCGAAGTCTTTTGGTGCGCAATCGGTGATGACATCCTCCTCTTCTTTAGTCTTGGCGTTGTCCTTCAGTTTGGCCAGTTGTGTCTTGACCACGTGATTTTCTGTAATCCGAAAGAAGAAGAAAATATGAAATTAATAAAAGGAACAAGCCAGCCAACATCAAAGGGGAATATATATAGTGTTGAATTGGAGAATCACCAATTTTAAATTGTGCCCATTGGCCCAGATCGGGTAACAAACCTTTGTTCAGGGATTGGATCACACTGTCCTTTTCCACATGCTGCTCCTCGAGGACGTTCTTCTCGTAGCAAATCATCGCCAGCTGGGCGCGAACACCGCGCAGCTCCCGTGTGCGTTGCTCCAGGAGCTCCGTCTTGGGGGTCGGTGGCGCAGGCATTTCGTTGGCGGACAGCTGGAGGCGCAGGCGTTCCCGCTGTCTGTCCCGGTCGCGATGGTGCATATGTGGCGTGCTGCTCGGTGGTTGGGGCGAAGTTGGTGTGGACGAGGTTGGAGACGGTGTGACGTCACTGTGGAGATCGGGACTTAAGGAGCTGCTGGGATGGCACGGACTGACTTGAGCGCCCAGCCGGTAAACGCTGGCCACATTGGCAATGGTTTGGCGTAGATAATCTCGCGTCAGCTGCCGCTCCACCGTCTTTTCGAACAAGGCGGCGATGCAGGTCTGCATCAGCTCCGGCAGCTTCTTGCAGAGACTATGGAAGAACATGCTGGGCTGCTTCACGCACGAATAGTGCAGGAGTAGCGTGTACACGTACAGGTAGTCAGACTCCACCAATTTCCCACGGCCACTTATGTGCGCGCAAAACTCTGGATAGATTTCTGAACAGAAGTATAAATAGGTTTATTAATAAGTAACTAACTACTTCAAAATAAATAAACTATTATATTAACAATGGCGAACAGAGGTTTATATACCCTAACAGTTGTAAACGTGTTTAAAAGCTTAATCTATTATTTGACTCATTTGGATATATTAAAATAATAATTGAAATTGTCCTGAAATCGTATATACCATAAACTATAACTATAACTTGAAAAAGTCGAAATGTTTTAAAGTCGAAAGAGTGAAATTACTCATTCCTAATGTCGAATTTTTTGTTTGGTAGTAGAATTATTGTATTGCAAATTGTAATCTAAACTTTTATCTTAAGAGACTGTAAATTTTTAAATGTCATTAATGAAAATATATAAAAGGGAGTAATTTAATTTCTATTAATTACTAAAGGCTGATTCTGATCCTGGTTTTAAACAAAATAAATTGTGGGTAGCATCAATGGTATTTTAACTCCCTTTCCCGTTGCCATCCACCTAGGATTGCAATTTTGATTTAAGGAATACATGACAAAGAAATGGTCGAAAAAGGAGGGTTGTCAAATGGAACACATCGGAATTTGGGAATTTATACCCCCGAAACACAACCACTCACCTCTGATGAATGCCTGCAAGGGAGAGCGGTGATTCTTGGGCTGAGCCTGCAGCGCCTCCTGCACCACTGCCTCCACCTGGGCCTTTTCCACGAAGACCGCAAAGAAGGCCTCGATGTCCGTCTGCTCCAGGGTGATGTAGTTGGCCTCGGTGAAGCGGCACTCGCTCACCTGCCGGAGAATAGGTTAGTAAATTAGCCAAGGCAATCACCCAGGCCCTCAAGTTATTCACTTACCCATTGGAGCAGGACCTTCCGCCAGCTGCGTAGATCCATGGTTCACCAACAGAGGTCAATGGATCCAAAAGCCAAGGGCAAGCCAAAACGGGACTTTTACCGAGAAAAAAAATCAACAAGGCAAACGAAACAAACGGGACTTGAACGACTGAAAATGTAATTTTTGCCAACTACTTTTTTGTTGTGGGTTACGCTTGAAACACTGATGTAAACTGACTACGCCTTCGATTAGGACTCTACAAATAATTTTGACACTTCCACGACGAAACACGGACTACTAGATACGAAAAAAAAACAAAAAACGGAGGCACAAACACCTTTTTTCGGCGCGTCGTTTAATTCAAATGCCGACGCGGTGCGACGCCAAGCGAGGTAACTCTCAACAGCCTATCGGGATATCGATACTTTCTAGAGCGAGTAGGGGTATTCATGAGGTTAAACAACTGATATCGATATCAAGATATCGCTAGACCCTGAACGACACGTTGACACAATATTGCTTCTTGCGTTGTAAAAACAGATGTTAATTTTTATTAATAATTGGAAAATATTTAAGTCAAGTTAAAAACGATCAGTTTAAAGCATAAGACTCCAAAGCCACAAAAAGAAATAATGCTTAAAACCTTATTTGCAATACACACTATCTAATCAATGTACATGTTGTCAGAAGACTGTACATCCCATAAATAATATTGTAATTCATGCACTTATTAAATTAACATTGTTAAAAAAGTAAAAAATGTGGATGTCAAAAATAAAATATAAAAATATAACTATTTAGAAAAAAAATTGCGAACAGTTAACTAGTTATAACTAACCTAGTTAATTTGAAATTAATTTTATTATATTAGTAGAAGATATATATGCCAGAAATAAACAAATCAAATATTCAAATATAATCAACATAGAAAGACTATGAAACCAGTTAACTAGGTTTAGAGGATCTCGGTGAATTTTTATTGTGCACTCACTAGTGTGCTATATTTAAAAAAAGTTTATTCGAAATCCAAACCTTGCCCTTTACTGTTCAATCAGCAGCAATATTGACAAGCAAAACGTAAACAAATAATTTGGAAAACAAAATTTTTTAAATTAAACAATTATATACAGCAAGATCAAAGAACCCAGGATTTTTACATTGCATAATCTCTTTGCTTATATACAGACATACATATATAGAGAAAGATAATATTTTTTCAAATATTTTTTAAGCCCGTCAACTTAATTTAAATAATTTTTTTTTTTATTCCTGAAAATGTGATTCAAGTGCTTTTTTTTTACATTTTTCCCCTATTTTTTAAGAACTATTGATCTAAATTCGAAATTATAATGGTGTGATATGAGCACAGCCCAATAAATTCTATATCTGGATTTTTTGCGCTTAACTGAATACCCAGATATGGGATGCAAAATGTTAATCCATAAATTTGGCCACTTTTATGTTTTTTCCAGTCCGTAGATGGCGGCACTGATCTTTGCTACGGAAGGCACACCGCGTAAACAATCAAGTGCTTCTGGTTCTGGGGGATTTCCGAAAAACCAGGGGGCAACCAGCGGCAGAGTGTGGCCCACCACATGTAAGCTATTAAACTGTAATAACAATTACCAATGACCGAAAACAATGTGCCCGGAATTATCGCCCACTCCGTGTCTCAGGGCACGCACACGATCACAGGAACATTTAGGGATAGTGCTGACTGTTTAATTTAACGCCATCATCAATTCGGACAAACAATGGAAATGCATCATATATTTTTGAAGGTGATTTAAACAGTTTACAACAAACTTTCCAGTCAGGAAGTAAGAAAATTTCTTAATGAATAAAATATTTGATTGCTCAAAATCATTACTGAGGCGGGTGGGACAAGACCAACCGGAGGTTCAAAACCGGCGATGGCGTAAAAATTCTCTATAAATCAAAACAGGAGTTTAAGTTAAAACACTTAAAAAACTTTGAAAGAAACCATTTGGAAATCTATTTGGGTAATCTGTTTCGAAAAGCACGTTGTATGATATGTTGTTCACATAAAAGAAATTTATATCAGTGAATTTAAAAAATGTGCAGCTTATGAAACTCGATAAAATTATATTAATAAAAAATTTTTTTCGACTATACAATTCAAAATGATAGAACCCATGGGAATCCAGCGGCCAAAAATCAGATAAATGAGCAGAACTGTTTGCATAATAAAATTCTCACGTATTTAGCATTGATTTCGATACGGAGATCGGATCATTTCCTTCCTTTGATTGCCGTCTATTTATAAAAGCGAGTTTCCTGTTTATATTTTTTATAATACATTTATTTACGCGATACAATGGCGAGGCCAGCCCTCCGACCCCAAAAAACCCAAAGTACCCAGATCTACGGCTCCGAGTTGACTCGCACCACCTGCGGCAGCGGCAGCGTGTCCAGGCGCTGTAGCCGCTGGCGTTTCTCGACGGGATTGGGATTGGGAGTGGGAGTGGGTCTCAGACCCGGACCTGGTCCGCCGGCGGAGTCCGTGCTGTCGCTCTGGGCCTCCACCAGCTTCACATGGGCGATGGTCTGGCCGAAGAGCTTCTGCCGGAAACTGGGCCTCTTGGGTGCTCCACGATGCACCCCGATCTCCGGGACCTGATGGTGATGATGATGGTGATCCTCCCGGTCACCGGGCCGCTCCTTGTGGCGGTGGCGTCGCTGCTTCTTGCGGTGCTCGCCATTCGGGAGCAGCTCATTCACATAGTGCAACGTGCTCGATGCACTGCCCGTGGAGTCCGTGCCGGACTGGCCAGGATGTGGACGGGGATGTGGATGTGGGTGTGGATGGGAATGCGAGTGCTTCGCGTGGCGAGCGTGCTTCTCCTCCAGCTCGATTTTGTTCTTCAGGGCCACCTCCTCGATGTGCCGCTCCTGCAAAATGGAAGAGCATCTCTGGGTGAACTCGGCCACTTGGCTCGTTGGACGTGTCCTACAAACATGGCCCGCCGGTGCTTGTCCCGCTTGGCCAGGACGACCACCCAGGCGCCGTAGGAGAGCATGATGCCGGCCGGAACCAGAACGCCCGCCAGCGAGTTCTCCGACTTCCGGACGCAGGCGTGGTAGACGGCCAGGAAGAGCACTGCGAAGTTGGGATCGGGATCCGTGAAAGTGATTGTGAATGTGAATGGTGGGAATTGAATATATGGGATGTACAGTCGCACTTCGCTAACACCAACCACTTCCGGCACAGGTGGGTTTCAAAAGTGTAATCAGCATTTCAACCGTAAAAAGATGGGAATTTGGTTAAAAAATATTTGTGGGTCGGTTATATTTCGGGGTGTCACTGAAATCTCTTCCAACCAAAATTGCTAGGAATTTTTATGAATGTACGGTTCGATTCCAAGCGAAATTTCTTAGGACGGAGATTTCTGTAACACCCCGAATTGAGTTTCGTTTTAAACCAATTCAGTAAGCAATTCGGTAAAACAATGTCGTGTTTTTACTTTCAAATATTTTTGAAATGGTTATAAAATATCTTAAGAAATGGTAAAGTTTTTCCTATGTCTTCTAAATAAAATATAAAAAAATAATTTAGCAAAGTAATGTATTAGTGTGACTTAATCTTGTATTATTTTAATCGTATTATTTTAAAACCATTTGATCATCTTATCGCTGATATGTGTACATTTTAGGACGTCAATTGGAATTGAATCCAACTTATACAATTACAATAAAGTCAATTTAGTAAAACAAAACCAAAAATGAAACAATATTTATGTTCCAGCTGCCAATTGAAACCCTTTGTAAGCCACTTTGATGATGTGCCAGATGTTAGATGGTGTTAGAGGAGATCGACTTGTCCCAATCCCGTAACATACCCAGAAAACAGACGATGACGGCCACCAGGCGTCCGTTGGCTTTTCGCTCCTCCTGCAAAAGGACAACGGAAATGGGAAATGGGGTCACCAACTGAGTCTCTAATGGGAAATGGAGTCACCAACTGAGTCACTAATGGCAAATGGGGTCACCAACTGAGTCACTAATGGCAAATAGGGTCACCAACTGAGTCACTATTACTGAATGCAGTCGCACAGTTTTCAGGGCTACTGGTGTTCCTCTTTTCTGTTTTTGTGAGTGATGCCATAAAACAATTGTTTACAATTTCCACGTTATATGCATATAGATGCTTATACACAAGAGAAAAACAATGGACTCGCAACTACAGACTCTACAGTGAATATTAGTAAAATAAAACACTCAATGAGCATTATAGTTTGTAAAAAATATTTAATTGATCGCTTAACTCCAAAAAATGTTCTAAGAAGTTTGCAATTCTCATGGCAGGCGCAATTCGAAACAATATCATTGCTCCCATTTAAATATAAAGTCTTTCTATAAGACCTTGGGCCCAAATATTTTGCCAGTCCCCACATTGTTTAAAATCCCCATCTTGACCATTAAATTTATTTTAATTGCACACAGGAATTCCAAAATGAAAACCTAATATAAGTTTGATTGTCTTACACTTCATAAAATAGCGTGATTTACACATACGCCTTGGGATTGTGTGTATCGCTATATGTTTATCTGATCGCTATATGGATTTGACCAGAAGCTAACTTTTTTGTTGATTTTACTTTGTTATTTACTTGTTTGTTATTGGCTGGGTTTGGAATATTTTCGGTAAAAATCTTTCCGCTTTCTTAGAACTTAAGATATCATACATAAGTATCAAATCAAAGTCCTAGTGTTTGTCACAAAAGTTATCAAACTTATTAACAGGAAATAAAAAAATTACTTGTTTTAGAAATATTAGGTTCAAAATAAGTTAATTCAACTAAACATTTTTAGCTAATGCGGCATTTCTGAATAGAAAATTTGGCAGAATTTAACCCTTTTTCTGATCTTCATAATAAACTAAAAGTAGATTTAAAACTGAAAAAACATATGGAGTTTTGCAGTTTAAAACCATGAACATGAGCAAAAAAAACCCCAAGGCTGAATAAACTTTAAATTACAAAGCAGTTCATGGCTAATGCGTTTCCGATATTCACTGTAAGCGAAAAAGATCTAAGGCAAAACTATAGAAACATTTCGGGTTTTATGTCTGACACATTCGCGAACTGCTGGTAATGACGGCGCCACAAACGATGGCGTCGCACAAACTTTGAGAGACGGCTGCAAATCTCAGCCAATCTGGGAGTCCAAATATCCGTAATGACGTGCTCGAAAATCAAGGTGTTTCCGATGAATCACAGACACACAAAAAAAAAACACTGAAGCAATGTCCATATGTTTAATGTCCACATTGATACGTTTTAGCATGGGAGTTCCAACAGGAAATCACACTAACCGATTCAGTATCACACCCGGAATCGGTATAAAAACCCGTTACCGATTACATTACAAATTTAATCATTTAATTAAACTTGACAAAAGGGTTTTATTCCAAATATATATAGGTTTAAGGAACACTGTATTCTTCTAACACTGTTTTAAGACTTTTTAGCAGATGACGTTTGCAACTTTATAAAAATCGAATTTCAGACCAAGAAAATAACCGATTCCAAGTCCGTAACCGAAACAGTAAAACCAAACTTAAAAAGTATATAACAACTAATATATGTTAGTTGCCGTGTGCAAACACAAATTCCTTTTGTGAGGTAAAAGGTACTAAATTTTCAACATTTCTTAGAATTCAAGAGCTTTAGAAAACATATGTGGCTGACAAATTTCGGAAACGAGTTGCTGGGAGAAAAGTCTTGAGACTTGAAAACTATTTTTTTTAATACTTCCATATGGTTTTTAAGGAATTGCATTGTAGGTAAAGAAACAAAGATAATTTAAGATACAATATCTGTGAAATACTTATTCGTTCTAATTTCCTTTTTTTTAACATTAATAGCTAAATGCTGATTTAATAGATTATTGTTTCACATAGCTCTAACACATTTTTCTAAGTTATTGTAAAAAGTACTCCCAAATAGATACATGGGTATTCACCAAGCCAGATTATATTGGCGTTGAAAAACATGATCCCGAACTTACGCGCGACTTGAGGTCGAGGATCTCGTTGAGGTTCTCCTGAATGATCTCCTCGTCCGACATGGACGTGATGCTCTTCCTGGCCACCAGAGCGGTGAGTCCGTCCGGGGATTTGGGCACTGCCACTGCCGGACTGGAGCTGACCGTGCTCGCCCTCCGCGGCATTGCGGCCGGGAATTTGGGCTCCGGCTGACGCCGTGGGGATTGGGAAATGGGACCGGTCGCGGCCATGGGGAACGGAACTGAACTGTACGGCGGAATTAATGGCTTACGGACCAGTTCGGTTTAATGGGCCGCAAACGATCGAGCGAGCGAATTCAAACGGAAAATCGCAAATATAGGAATTGTTTTCAATTCGGAAAATCGGGAAATTTCACACTTGCAATTTTGGAATGGAGATCGCGCCCGGCCAGCGATCAGGGATCGAGTGAGGAGCGAAATGGCTATAATGGTGCGGTGGTGGGCCCATCTCCTCGTCTCCGCGTTTCGGACTTCGGGCATTTCTGCGGCCGAGCATTTGTTGTTAAGTATTCGAACCCAAAAACAATACGGCTGGGACGCCTTGTTTATTTACACTGCAGTAAATAATTCTCCGGCCGTGCGGATCTGTGTGTCTGCCCCCCAGTTCATAACGAATCGATGCGTATACACACCGACAGAAATATGCAGCAATTAAATTGTTTATTTTTATGCAAAACGTTTCACAGCCATTCTGCAGCCCGTGTGAATTTTGAAAATCGATAATCGATACAAGCTAGCGGGAAAAGGGCTAGAAAGATTAAAAAAAACATTTTTGGCGGCAAGGTTTCACATAAATCATTTTTTTGTTTTGTTTATGTATCTTACTTCCGTAAAACTCGGAAATCTCCGCTGGATTTAGCTTATTTATTATTCTCTTTTTAATTTGTTTGCGAATTTTCAAATGTATATATTGAGCCGATTTACTCTTACAATAAATTAATCAAACTCTAGCATCGCTGGCAGTGACTTATTTAACTTTACTTTTTTTATTTATAAATATTTATATATTTTTAACAATGACTGAAACAAGCATGTTTCGGTTAGTTGAACAGAATAGAATTCGTGGAATCAACAAGGACACACAAACAAATATAAAATAATTTGTAAAATATATCAGTGAACAAAGTCATAAATTATATAGTTTTTGGTTAGTATAAGATGAAATAGTGACAAAATTTCATTACTTAATTACTGGTACTATTGAATTACAGAGCTAGATGATTTAGGAGCTTATTACTGTTCTTGATTACCTAAAATTTGAATTATACGGTTTGGGGAATTCCCCTTATAAGTGTATGGCGCAGTGTGAACTAGCCGATCGACAATCGATATTAGCGATTAGAATTGACCATCGGTCTTGTCGGTTGTGCCATCGCTGGTTTGCCAGCTCTGCCACAACATATCGATAGGATCGGAATGCGTAGCCTGATATCGATTGCTCGATAGCCTCGGACAATTTGGGAGGCTAGGCAACCAGGGCGACAAATCCTCCACAGCCGGCGAGCACCCGCTGCATAGGAATCCACATCTGCACCTGCCACTTGCCCGCCATCCGCGACGTGACGCCCCTGTCCCCGAAGAGCACCGTCGTCGTCGTCAGCAGCCCACAGCAGGAACACCTGCATCATGGCCCAATCCCATCGGGATCGGGAGCGTGGCTCCGGGCCACTGCCCAATCGCTGGCTGTACTGTCCGCGCAAGAGCGACTCCATCATCGCCGAGCGGTTCCTGGCCTTCAAGACGCCGCTGAGCCAGAGCTTCCAGGACAAGATGCCCATCGAGTGCACCTTTCGCCCCGAGATGCTCTTCGACTACTGCAAGACTCTGAAGGTAGCTAGCCCCTCCCCAAGTCATAGTATCCACATCATCCACTCACCTCTCCTACTTACTTGCAGCTGAAACTGGGCCTCTGGGTGGACCTGACCAACACGAAACGTTTCTACGATCGGTCGACGGTGGAGGAGCGCGGCGCTCAGTACATCAAGCTGCAGTGCCGCGGGCACGGCGAAACGCCCTCGCTGGAACAGACGCAAAGCTTCATCGAGATCGTGGACAACTTTATCAACGAGCGTCCCTTCGACGTCATCGCCGTCCACTGCACGCACGGTTTCAACCGCACCGGCTTCCTGATTGTCTCCTACATGGTCGAGCGGCTCGACTGCTCGGTGGAGGCAGCGCTCGCGGTATTTGCGAACGCCCGGCCGCCGGGCATATACAAGCAGGACTACATCAACGAGCTGTACAAGCGCTACGAGGACGAGGAGGACGCTCCGTCGGCCCCGGAGCAGCCCAACTGGTGTCTGGACTACGACGACAGCAACGGCGATGGTTCGGCGACGGACAACCGAAAGCGGCACTTCGACGACAACAGCAGCTCCTCATCGCAGCAAACTGGGGAGCAGGAGGAGGAGACCGAGGAGCTGGAAGGGGAGGAGGTGGACGGCGACGGCGATGCCTCCACGTCGGACGGACAGCCGCGAAAGAAGCGACGCCGCGAGATGGTCATAAAGAACGCCACCTTTATGGCCGGGGTGCCCGGCGTGCGACAAGTGAGTGACCAGCCGCGGCTAAGCGATCTGCAGCGCAAGGTGCAAGACTGGTGCAAATGGGAGAAGCACGGCTTCCCGGGAGCCCAGCCCGTGTCCATGGACAGTCAAAACATCAAGCGCCTCAGCGAGATACCCTATCGGGTGTCCTGGAAGGCGGACGGTACACGCTATATGATGCTCATCGACGGCCGGGACGAGGTTTACTTCTTCGATCGCAACCACTCCTGTTTCCAGGTGGAAAACGTGGCATTCGTGGATGGGAAGAACCTGAACGACCACCTCGAAGGCACTCTCCTCGATGGGGTAAGTGGCACTCGGAGATTCGGATTCGCGATTCCGAAATCGAAGATCTAATCATTTTTTGCCGCGCAGGAAATGGTGCTGGACAAGATCGGCGAGACCGTAACGCCGCGCTACCTCGTCTACGACGTTGTGCGGATTTCGCATCGCGATGTGCGGGAGGAGCCATTCTATCCCAACCGACTGGACTACATAAAGAATGATGTTATAGGTGAATGAACTATCCTTTCTGAGGTTCCATTCTTATGGAATATAAGGAGTATTCCATCCAAACTTATCGTTTGAGTTTGTACTCACTTATTTAAGCGTTGGTTTTAGCTAGATACCATTTCATATAGTTCCAACCTAGCTCAGCGCTCATTTTCCCCAGCTTGCTGAAGCTAATTATATTGTTTCCTTTGCCACAAAAAATAAACGATTGGTATTGCAGGACCCCGCATCCTGGGCATGAAGCACAGCATTATTAATCAGCGGCTGCAGGCTTTCAGTGTGCGCGGTAAGGACTTCTGGGACATTTGGATGTCCGCCCGCCTGCTGGGCGAGAAGTTCTCCCGGACACTGGCCCACGAGCCGGATGGCCTGATCTTCCAGCCATCCCAGCAGCCGTACACGGCCGGCGTCTGCTCAGACGTTTTCAAGTGGAAGCCACATGAGCTCAACTCGGTGGACTTTCGGCTCAAAATTATCACGGAACGTGGCGAGGGGTGAGTTTTAGCCAGGAGTACTCATGGCCTGAACTAATACCCATCTCCTCTTGTCTCACCCAGCCTGCTCACCAAGAAGGTTGGCTTCCTCTATGTGGGCGGTCACGATGCCCCATTCGGGCGGATGCAAAAGCTGACGAAGGAGATCCGAGACTTGGACAACAGGATCGTTGAGTGCACCATGAATCAGTTTGGCAACTGGGAGTTTATGCGCGAGCGCACGGACAAGAAGCATCCCAACAGCTACAATACGGCCCAATGTGAGTAGTATTCCTTTTTAATTATAGGATATGTAATTTTATAATATACAAATGGGCTGGCTGGATGGGACTGCCAAGTTGAATTGACGTTGCCTGAATCGTTAGGGACTATCTTAAGTTATAAGGGATTATTTAAATCATTGTTTGCTAAGTATTAGCGTCATTGCAAACTCTTTAACTCATTTTAATTTCGTTACAGCCGTTGTGAAGAGCATAAAGAAACCCATTACTAAGGACTACCTATTAAATTATATCGCGAGCTGCGGCTTTCGTGATGACCATGCCATGATGCCGCCGCCACATCCTCATGGCCATGGTCACCACGGCGGACCGCAGGGCCAGCGCAGGCCCCACTGAGCAGCTAGCAGCACCTCACGCCTCACCTCTCCATCTCACCATTGAACCCGACACTAGGAAATTAAACAGCCCCTAATAAATATAATTCAAAACGAGAATTACACTCAACTCTGTGTTGGCCGAAAAACTGTTTGAATATGATTGTTGATGGGTTAGTTGGACTTCAAAAGCGAAGCTGAAGAGGATTATATACAACCAATATTTTTTGGCCGTTTCCTCTTTATTGACAAATTACACATAATATGAGCCCGACGGATGTAGTCCTAGTAACACAAGTATTCAACAACTCTCAACATAAAGTGCATTTGCAATATACACTGCAATAATCATACAATTGAAGACCTGACAAAGAGGTTGGTACATAGCCGAGTGGGTAGCATTTAACACAATTAACCGATTGATGCTGGTCAGTTGAGGAGGCTGCCATTATCGCGCAGGACCTCCGCCTCCAGCTGGCCGAGATGGAGGAGGGCCACCAGAGCAGCTCCTTGCTCCGCCTGCTTCTTGTTCTTCTCCCAGAAGGAGCTGCTGAAGCGCTGGCCGTCGTAGCTGCAAATGGACCGGAACAGCTTGTCGCACTGCTGCGTCTCGTAGGCTGGCGGCGATTTGCCAGCCCTTCCTGAGTAAACATACAGCTGGGTCTTCGGCAGGTGGTTATCTGTGGGAGAATCGCAATCAGAAAACTATATATTTATTTTTCGGAGTGACGCTTTTGAAGTGTTCCACAGAAAAAGTTCGTTTTAAGAACGCGTTCTTTACAACTTCAGCTTTTCCCATCGAACACTTACCACTGGGATAAGTAGAGCGCAGGAAAGGCATGTTCCGGCAGATGACGCCGGCGTACTCGTCCTCGATGGCGGTCGCCGCCTCCTCCAGCTTCTGACGCTTGGCCTGCGCCTCCGGCGGCTCGACCTCCGCCCGACCTGAGTTGCCCAGGGTCTTCAGCTCCCGCTGCTTCCGCCGACAGTAGTCGCCCAGTTGCCATATCTCACAGATCTGCTGCAGCGTCTGGCACTGGAGGAAGCGTTTGCCGCGCGGCGTCTCCTGCAGCTCCCCAAGGATGCTCTGCACACAGTACTTGGAGTTGTGCGGCGCGTTGTCGTAGTCGACGCACAGGCGCAGGTACTTCTCAATCAGCTCGTCCATGGGCAGCAGGCCCTCCGGCCGGAAGATGCTCACGTTCAGCTGGGCAGCCCGGGCCACCATCACACTGTCGGCGCCGCACTCCACCTGGAACTTGCGCAAATCCTCGTAGCAGTGCATGCTCTTCGATCCGCCATTGGCTATAATCGGAATGTCCACCGCCTGGGCCACGGCGCGCAGCACCTCGGGATGGGCAGGATTCTGGGGTCGCTCGTCGCGCGTCCTTGCGTGAATGCCAATTGCTGCAATGCCCGTGGCGGCCAGCTTTTGCACCAGGCCAATGGTGTCCTCCACGTCCGGCAGGATGCGTATTTTGCAGGTGACAGGAATGTCCAGGCCGGAGCACAGCGTGCGCAGAATGAGCGCCGCCTTGTCGGGATCGGAGAGCAAAGCGGCGCCCATGCCGCCCTTGATGGAGAATTCTTTGGGGCAGCCCATGTTGATGTCCAGCCCGGATATGTCGCGCTGCAGCAGCTTGCCCACGGCCAGGGCTCGTCCGGCATCGCTGGTGCCCATCTGCAGGACCAAACGGGACGTCTCCTGGGCACAGGTGCGGAACACAATCGTGCCATCCGAGGGATCCACAAAGTCCACCGTTCCCAGGGCCGCTGCAAAAGTATTGCCGGGTTAGCTTGAATATTAGAGGGAGGGGTCCACTTACGGTTCGGTCTGCGAATGCTCTTGATCAGCTTGAGGTCCACCAGCTCCTCCGTGTAAACGATGTCCGCGCCCATCTCCAGCGCCAACAGCCGCATGGGCAGTGTGCCCACGCGCACCATGGGCGCCAGAATCAGCTTGTTGCGGTAGTCCAGTCTCTGGCGCGTCTTCATGCTCAAGGACTTCCTGAGAAAGGACGACAAGGGCAATCGCAGCATGGAGTGGAATCGCGGATTCAGCTGTTGCATGCCGTTGAGTTAGGAGGCCTAGCCACGTGACGACGGCGCTGCCCTTGCACGGTACGACCAGCCATCATGCAGTGTACTATTTTGGTTAGCTTTTCTCCGGCTGTTTTTTTGTTGCTGCTACTTTCTTTTTACACATCACTAAGGTGTATTTATTGAAACTATGAATTGCACGGCTGAAATTCACCTTTAAACGCAACATTATATGTCAATATATAGCGGCAAATCAATTGTCAAATAATCTTAACGGTTTTCATTTACTCGAAAAACCCATTGATAACTTAATGTATCTAGATACTTTTAAGTTATAACAAAATGTAGCTGTTTATCTTAACACGGTAAGACAAGAGTGCCCAAATAAATATTCTCCCAGCAGATAATGCATTTGTTTCGGCAGACAATTTGGATTCAAGTGGCGCCATCTGCCGAGCTGCAGGGCAAACTCTCTTCAAGCCTAAAGCGATAAACATTTTCATTTTGCATAATGAGCCTTTTGTTATACCCTTGCAGAGGGTATTATAATTTTGGTCAGAAGTTTGTAACGCAGTGAAGGAGACGTTTCCGACCCCATAAAGTATATATATTCTTGATCAGGATCAATAGGGGAGTCGATATAGCCATGTCCGTCTGCCCGTCTGTCCGTCTGTCCGTCTGTTTCAATACCGTTTGCGAGCTCAGTTTAAAAGCTAGCGATCTGAAACTTTCACAATCGTCCTAAAACATGTGTACGCAGATCAAGTTTGAAAATCGCCCCGATCGGACGTCTATATCCTATAGCTCCCATAGGAACAATTGGATATATCTTGCAAGAATTTATGATATTTCGCGCAGTGTAAAAGCTATTGACATTAATCTTTACAAATCGTATTTTTTTATGCATACCTTGATCAGGGTAAAAGCGCGTGGCGATCGGACGTCTATATCCTATAGCTCCCATAGGAACAATAGGGTAAAATCGGTTAAAATTTAATGATTTTTAGGATATTTCGCGCAGTGTAAAAGCTATTGACATAAATCATTCCAAATCTTATTTTTTTAATGCGTACCTTGATCAGGGTAAAAGCGCGTGACGATCGGACGTCTATATCCTATAGCTCCCATAGGAACAATAGGGTAAAATCGGTCCAAATTTGATGTTTTTCAGAATATTTCGCGATGTGTAAAAGCTATTGCTGTACATTTTTTCAAATCGTATTTTTTTATGCATTCCTTCATCAAGGTAAAAGCCCGTGCTGATCGGACGTCTATATCCTATAGCTCCCATAGGAACAATACGGTGAAATCGGTCAAAATTTCATGTTTTTTAGAATATTTCGCGCAGTGTATAAGCTATTGACATACATTTTTCCAAGTCTTATTTATTTACGCATACCTTGATCAGGGTAAAAGCGCTTTGCCGATCGGACGTCTATATCCTATAGCTCCCATAGGAACAATAGGGTGAAATCGGTCCAAATTTGATGATTAGCAGAATATTTCGCGCAGTGTGTAAGCTACTAACATAAAATTTTCCAATTCTTATTTATTTACGCATATCTTGATTAGGGTAAAAGCGCTTGCCGCTCGGAAGTCTATATCTTAAAGGAGATAGGAAAAATTGTTAAAGGCTGCGAAAGTATCCCTTTTTTTCTATTTGTATATGACATTTTTGCAGTATAAAAGCAATTGACTTGAAACGATGCAAATCTAGTTTACTTATGTATACCTTATTCCTTTCGCTACTTTTTCACTTTTAGCAATTTCGTCAAAGTCTGCAAGGGTATTCAAACTTCGGCTTGCCGAAGTTAGCTTCCGTCCTCGTTTTTAAGATACTATTGTAGATTATTTTTCTTTCCACTTGGAAATACCTTTTGTAACCATTCGTTCTGTCAAAATGCTTAATAATAAAATAATTATGTTTTTTATTTTATTGGGTTCTTTAATACAGCATCTTCGTTCCCATGACGTCAGAATTACGCAAAAGGTTTAACATTGACATAGTGATAACCTATATTTAAAGATAAGGTATAGCCTCGTTGTAAGCTAAAATTTGAAAACACAACAAGCGAAATGTTTGCTTCCCAATTATTTATTGTAATTAAATTAAATTCAAAATGTGAAATTTTTTCATCGTATTGTGGTAGATCCGATCCAGATGCGTCGAATTTAGTATCTGATTGTATCCTATAAAGTGTTTTTTTCATACATTCATATGTAGTCAACTGAACCGTCACCGCTACCACTACTTTCGTCAACGTGAATCCTTAAGTCCCTGTTTTCGTTAATAATTTTTCTGATTTGGATATCTTTCTTATTTATCAGATCTTCTTTTATTTTGATTTGTTCATCTTTTTTGTTTATAAGATCTTCTTTAATTTTGTTTTGCTCATCTATATTCTTTATAAGATCTTCTTTGATTTTGATATGCTCATCTTTTTTATTTATAAGATCTTCTTTGATTTTGATTTGCTCATCTTTTTCATTTATAAGATCATCTTTGATTTTAAGTTGGCTTTTGAGTATGTCGTTGGCATCAGCTGCTATTTTTAGCTGTGCAAAATGATAAGAAAGGTGTTAGGGGAAGGCGATAGGAAATAACCCTAGAGTACTTACCGCCCTAAATGGTTCCCTCGATCTGGTCTTGATCTTACAAGATTCGAGCCGTGTCTGGAGTACGAGAAATTGGGCATCCATCTTGGTCTGTATCTCCCGAAGTCCCTTCTGAAGTCCCTCCCAAAGATCCTCTTGCGACGTGGTCCTACCGCAGGAGTCCTTGAGGACTGACTGCCCAGCTTCGATTCCGTCCAACCTGTTCCGGATATTGCTGGAATCGTCAATGAGAGGGTGGAGTGCGGCCAGGCAAAAGTCGCCACACTGCTTTGCACGACTGTTACCCCGAGACTCAACAAATGGTCTTTGGAGTAATAGGAAACAGAATACAATGGATGGCAGCTTCAGCATTTTGATTAAATACAAACGCCCGAATTGAAGTACAAGAAGGTACTGAAATTGAGCAGCTTGTCGAAGACAGAACGAAATCTTTAATATTGCTGATAATACTTGTCAAAATATATATATGTACAGTATAATATAAAAATTAATCAAATGATGACCGCTGCTGCCCTGGGATTTATTATGTGTATAAATTAATTTATATATTTCTTAATGAGTTCATAACTGAATATTGTTTCTAGAAATATTATTCCCAGATTCCCCGACAGTCAGGAACCCGTAAAACGATCACGAGCAATCCCGCTGATAGTGGCAATTATAGTTGACACCTACATATGTATGGTCACAGGAAACTGGACTTTGGTAGAGTCGGAGTATCTTTCATATGACAGCTACATTATAAAGTCGACCAATTTGAATAAAACTAAATTTATATTAACAAAGTAATTTTTTTTGTATTTATTTTTCGTATTTTTCCTACGGCAGTTTGATTTGTCCCTTTCCGACCCATTTATATACTACCAGTAAGAAAAATAAGACTTTTGGGAAAGTGTTATCTAGTTAGCTTAAAAACGAAAAACTCAATTACTTAGAAAAGGACGGACAAGACTATATCAACTCTTGATGCTGATCAAGAATATATTTATACCCTTTACAGGGTCGGATATGTACCCTTCACTATGTAATAATTAATGATTTAAATTCTGAATCCCTAGATCTTTGAGCTGTTAGCCAGTCGATCCTTTAAAATTCAATTTTCAGAAATTTCAGTTGTTAATTAACCTATATTACTAGTATCGCAAAACGATTGTTTTACTTTTAACTAATATAAATCATTTTAATTGATATTGCATTTAGGTCCCAATAATTTGAAGATATTCAATTTTGGTGTCGTTCCCTCAAATGTAAAGCATTTATGTTGCATTTCCAGCGATTTAGTCGTTTGGGGAATCCCCTAAATTAAATTCAATTAATGGAATATAAATGGTATTTCTTGAAGTATAATGGTATTTATTCTTAAGCCAGATGGTATTTTTGATCGTTATCGGTACGGTCACACGCTGGCATTGTTGTTTTTACGAGCCAAAATTTTGTTTTGTGATTCGTTTTGCCACAAAAATAGCTGACCAAAATAGAGGCGCCCAGCGGATTACCCCAAGCAGTGACGCCCTCAGTTTCGAGGATAGAAGGGCAGAGGTCAGAGGTCAGCGGACAGTGGAGGAAGCAAAAGCGAGGCGCGGATAAAGCTGGAACCCAAAGTGGACTCCGCAACTGGCCATTAATTGGATTAGCGTCCAAGCACAGCGACTTAAACCGGGAACAAGAGCCATTGAGGTCTGGCCCAGCAACGTGACCGAACCCAGGCGTACCTGTACCCCACCCAAGGCAATCCCAAGGACAGGACGCGCTCAAGGACCACAATTACCCTTGGCACACAGGACGCTCCAGCGGAAGGACACCGGGATCAGCGGAGTCAGCAAAATCGGAAGTGGGATCAGCGACAGCGACTCTGGCTTGGTTATGCCCATCGCCTGCCCTGGTACGCGGGACGGGAACTGGGGCTTGCGCGCTGCCTGCAGGCGATCGACACGCTGAGGCTGACCTACGGCCCGCGTCCACGGCAGCTGGCGCTGGCCATGTCCCTGCTGGCCTACGTAGAGCCTGGGGAGTCCAGCGACACGGAGCCGGAGGCAGAGGCGGAGCCAGACGCCCTCGTCGACTTCACGGCCATGCTGAGGCAGAGACAGCGCGAGTACGGCGGCTGGTTTGGCTGCGGCAGCAAGATGCAGGCGGAGCAGTCCGACCAGGGATACTACCTGGAGCAGTATGTGCTGGGCGTGCTGGACTTCAGCTCGCAGTATGGCATCGACTACAGCATCTCGTATACGGCGGCCAATGTGATTGGACGGCCCACGAAGTTCCCAGCCTACGGCGACTATCCGGAGACCTTCCCCATGGTGAGTCGATCTGGCCCGTGCAGAACCGTCCGTTCAGAGTTCCCCTTCAACTCTCGCCCGCAGCGCACCTACGGTGACTGGTGGCAGCGGGCTCCGTCGGCCACCCGAGAGATTCAGGCCCAGAATCTGCCAAAGCTGGCCACGCACGACTACATTGGTAAGAACCCTAGATCCTCAATGAAACACCTTGACATTAACAATAAAGAAAAGGTTTATATTGTCCAGATTAATACTGCTATTCAAAAAGGCTGCCTTAAAACTGTATGACCGATTGATTATTAAACTCTATAATTAACACCATATTTTTGCTTTAACTTAACTGCTTTTATACTATTAAAGAGCATATTTTAATCAACTTATCCCTTAAGATAAGTATCTACAATTATCACCAGTTAAATTACGTGTTATTATTTCCGACATTCCGCAAAAATATTTACTCTTAAGGTGCATTTAAACATATTACATTACTGGGTAAGGTTTTCCTAGAAAGGCTAGGACCTTAGCACCAATATCCTTTTATAAAAATAGTAATAACAAAACAATAAATAAATATTTTTAGAACAAGGTATCCTTAATATTGCGAAAAATAGACCAGAATTCAAGAACGTATTAGGTTTATATACAAAATAAGTTTAGCATATTCCAAATTAGATGCAGACATTTTTACATACTCTAAAAACTCTAACCACGTTTATTTATCCAAACCATTCCAGTTGTGTACTTCGAGGAGTTTGTGGTGCCGACGGAAGTGGCCATCTTTGAGACCTTCAATCCGGGCGCAGTAGTGCGCATCTGGGCTTACGGTCTGACCAAGCACTGGACATGTTTGTGGGAGGCAACGGAAAGCGATCTGGCCCGGCCGGCACTCGACTCGCGTCGCTTTGCTCCGGCTCTCAAGAAGACTACGATGATAACGAAGTGAGTATTTACTGACTTAAAAAGGCTTTTGATGTTACATACAATACAATATAGACACACAGCTCAGGCACGCAGTCAGATATAAACTTGTAAAACATGGCTATTTAATATATTTCGCAATATTACGATTAAAATAAGTTTATAAGTTTATTTATTAAAATCCTATGATGTTACAAATAAAACGATGTTATTTAACTTAAGACAGATTACAATCTGGTTTAAGCAGTAAGAAGTTAGCTTTCGCTTCGTTTCAAAAGTAACTACACCTTCCTGTAATGATGATCCCTCAATCTGGCAGGACACTGCGCATCGACTTCAACCACAGCCGACTCAACTACTACACGGAGATCGACGCCATAATGCTCTGCGGTCGCACCGTATCCAAAACGCAAAGCCTTCTCGGCAGGCAACAGCGGACGAAGCAGTCGCATCAGTCGCAGCGGCAGGCGCTCGTGTCCCCGCCAGCGGAGGCTGCCGGACCACCTGCACCCGATGGCAGTGGGGGACCCATTAGCTACAAGCTGCGCACTCTGAAGTTTCAGCCCAAGTGCCACGAGGACGGCGCCACCAAGCTGCACGACTTCATCAACAACGACCTGAGCCAGTTCCTGATGGAGCACAGCGTGGAGGGCGGGGAGCCACCGCCACGGGTCTGCCTGACCGATCTGCCGTTCGAAATCCTCCTGCGCATACTCAGCTACCTGGACCTCAAGTCCCTGTTCCGCGTGGGCCAGGTGTCGCGCACCTTCTACGACATCTCCACGCATCCGCTGCTCTACGCCGAGCTCAGCCTGAAGCCCTACTGGCATGTGGCCAGCTCCGAGCTGCTCTGCACGCTGGCCCGCCGGGCCACCATGCTGCGCAAGCTGGATCTGTCCTGGTGCGGCGCCCTCGGCAATGTGTCGCCCACCGAGTTCAAGAAGTGAGTACCGATGCTGACGGAGCAATATGATCAATATGCCAAAATCTTGTTTATCACCCTTTTTAGATTCCTGACCCAACGCGGCGATAATCTTACCCACCTGCGACTGAACTCCTGCAAGTTTCTTAATGCCAGCTGCATTGAGAATGTGGGCATAGTCTGTGATAACCTGATAGGTTAGTTTTGTTAATTACCGCTGGTTGAATAAATAGTTATGTAAATATTTATATCGTCCTCTCAGAGTTGAGCCTGCGCAACTGCGCCACTGATCCGCCGTTGCTAAATTTCTCCTGTCTTGCCAACCTCAAGAATCTGGAGCGTCTCGATCTCTTCCAAACGGCCTTTGAAACGGAACTGTTGCTCAGCATGCTTGAGGGCAACCGCAAGCTGAAACACCTGAATCTTGGTAAGCGAAAGAACCGAAATTGAATGGAGTATATTGTATATATATTCCTGTAGCATTCTGTGGTGTCTCCGTGAACATGGACAATGTGGCCGCCCATTTGGCCACGTACAATACGCAGCTGATCTCCTTGGATCTGTGGAAGGCGCACTTCCTGTCGGCCAGAGGACTACTGTCGCTGACGCGCCTGCATCAGTTGGAGGAGCTCGATTTGGGCTGGTGGTAGGTGAAAGTCTTGCCTTGAATGCCTTTAAATTACATGTTATCCCAACCGCACAGCTTGAGGGAGGCATCGCTCGGAGATGGCCTGTTCCAGTTGCTGTCCAACTGCCCCAATCTGAAAAAGCTATTCCTGTCGGCGGTGCGAGGAACCACCGAACGCGATCTCATGCATATTGCCGCCCTGGGCAAGAATTTGGAGCAACTGGACCTCATGGGCATTCTGAACATAACGCACGAGCGTGTTTATGAGTGGGTATTTTTCATTATTTTTACCTTTGCTTATTGTGGTTGTTTGTGATAGAGTAAATGGAAATGCATACCAAGCGATTAATTTGATCAATTTAAGAGATTTTAATCACACTTAATAATAGTTCAGATGTTGGACTATTATATCCTAAAGATTGAAAGATAAGTTCACACAAAACAAGACAATTTAGTACGACTTGTTATTTAGTTTTGTTGGTATTCTATACTGATCTAGTTAAATAAGTTTTGATTTTTAAATTAGCTGTGGTCAGATGATATTAGTTAATGTTTGTTAAAATATTCGACTTCATTTCAGCATTCTAGTTCACTGTCCGAAGCTGCAATTGCTCGACCTGAGTTTCTGCGATAATATAATGGATCGGGATGTGAGTGAACGTAAACTGATCTAATTTTCAAATAAAGCTAAAACTTTTCTTCCCTCAGTTCGATTTGCTAGCGGAATGGTCGCATCAGTTCACCGTGGATATCAAGACCAGCCGGCGTTACTAGCCCTTTAATTCGATTCCCCAATCATTGGACTATGCAGTCCTAGTAGCTATTATCTCTGGTACCATGATAAGTGTACTTTTAGATCCTATATGTATGTGTGTCACTCTCTTTCTGTGTTTATAGTAAAATGTTATCTATCTACTGTTATAAATATGAAACATTTGATATTAAACGATTTAATAGATTATTTAAAGCACTTAACTTAATGCTAAATAAATATTAATACTTTTAGTGGGCGGGAAGAAGGACAAATATTGGGAAGATGGTTTTTTAATATCCCAAATGGCTAATTTTTGATTATAGAATTGTAAGGCAAGATATATTGATTACCAAAGCGGGATAAAAATAAATATGAATATTTTGTAAATTGCGTTTAGGTAAATCAATGCTAGCAATGGATTAATTAGGGGGAAATATATAAAATGAAACCTTTTTTTCGCGATTCCATAGTTGGCCAAGAAGAACAAATTAATTATTTTTATGAGCCATAAAAACTGAAAGTATAATTTCACTTGATTTACTCTCGTAAACCGTTAAAATATTTTCAATATAATAACTAAAGTCTGTTTTAATAATTTGCACATGACATTCAATTTTGTATTTTTATGAAATATGTTAAATGATTATTCAAAACCCGATAACATTATCGTTCTTTAATTTCGATTGGATAATAATTTTTGTGCGATACCCATGACAACGTTTGTCATCGCTAAAGCGTCAAGCTTGGACGCTGCCCAACACTGTCGCCAACGGGAGATTTTCCAATATGAAGCTGGAGCGCAGTGCGCTTATCTACTGCCAAATTTAATTAGTTGTTTATTATTGGCACAATTACGAGATTACGATTACGGCGCAGCCCGGGGCAGTCACTCCGAGCGACGGATGACCCAACCCGTTGGCCAGCAGGAGCAGCCAAAGAGAGAGAGACGAGATAAGTTGGCATCCGCAAACAGCTGGGCTGCAGCAACAACAACAATAACAAGGCAGTAACGAGGTCGCAGGACCAAAAAGGAGGTGTGTATGTGTATCCTTGGCACGCCCACAGCCCACAGTACCCGCGCCCAGCCCCTCCCCATAAAAGCTGGCCAGCCCACGCCCACTGGGCACGTACACATCGTGTAATTGCCGTGAATTATTGATGTGGTCGGGCTGCGGGCGTGCCCGTCCATCTACGGAGTACTAATCGAATGGGTTGTCCACGCAGGGTCGCCATCGCCATGCGCTTTAACAAGTCGGAACTGAACTCCCTGGCCAGCAATCCAGCAACCCGGTTCGACAAGGAGGGCCTGCTCATTATCATCGACCGCCAGGAGGGATTCCTGTGGCGCTCCAGCGAAGGTATCCCCAATTACACACCACCCATCTAGGCACTCACCCATTCATTCAGCACCGTGCACCTGCACCCTTGCACTCACACCACATCACACCACACCACATGTCCTGTCCAGGCACTTGGCTTATGCACTTCATTCTCCCGCCCACAGTCAGAGTTGAACGTTGGTGTAAACTGCGTGGCAATTTACTGTTCTACCTCAAGGATAAGGACCCCAAGTCAGCGGTGGCCGGCCTCTTGGTGCTGGAGAACTGTCGTCCGCGAATACAGAATGAAGAGCGTGATCCCGAGGGCTACGTTTTCGATCTAGGTGAGTGGCGGTATCTGAGTGCCCAGTATAATTGGGAGTGCCTTTGATAATTGATTTTCCCCTGCAACGACAGACTTCAAGGACAGCGCATCGGAGCGCTTCATCAGCCGTTCGTCGGCCGAGCGCCTGGCCTGGGTGCACTGCATCGAACAGGCATCCAGCGAGAAGCTGAACGTGCTCATCCGGCAGCTAAAGGATCAGATCGTCGCCAAGGGCCGCCAGCTGAACGGCCCGGGAATGGGGAATCACATTGACTTGGGAATGCCCTTGGAGCAGCAGGTGCAAGAGCAGCTGCAGGGCCAGCCGGCGGAGGAGTCGCCCCCCTGGAGGTGGTGGCGCCGTTTGAAGGTGATCTTATACAGTTCTAACCTAAACCAAAAAACCAAACAATCAGCCAAGGAGCGCGGAGGTCGTTATCGTTTCAGTTCTGTTAACCAAATCCAAATATTTACCCATGCTCTGTTCCACTCACCCACCCACACCTGCACTCCAAGCCTCTCGCTCACTTCCATGCACCCACATCCGGTCTGTTGTCATTAGATTCCATTTTCGATTAACTCAAAAACGCTTCATTCGCAAACATTCTGCATATATATTGTTAAATTTTGTATTTTGTGAAATCTAATCGTAACCGGAGGTGGGTCGCGATTGAACTGAAACGTTTAAGATTTTGCTCACAATTTTTAAATTTATATGTTATATTTTTATGTGTAATCCAAAGCCATTTGGATATGGAATTTAATCCATGTGATGGAGCTGAAAAGATGAATTTATTCTTGGAATAAACTTTGTTTTGCTAATGAATTTAAACGGAATTAACTGTTGTTTGTTATTTAATCCTAATCCCACCCGCTTTAGCACTGCCCCCTTCAAATCCCTCCCCTGTGATCTCACCTGGTCTACTCTTCTTCTTGCAGAACTCGATCTCTCGGAGCTGCCCATCTGCGAGACGGCCCTCTCCTGTGATACCCTGCCCCTGGACACGGTGGGCCGGTCGCCCAACCCGCAGGTGGTATGCTCGCTGCTCCCGGCGTCTGGAGAGGATTGCCTGTGGCGAGAGCATGCCCGCACCGAGCTGCAGGAGCGCACGCGCAGCCCGCAGTTCCTGTGCACCATGCGCTTCCAGCGCAGCACCGGCTTCTCGGCCGCCACGCGCCTCCGCTTCAGCGTCTACGACGTCCGCGAGCGGATGACGCTCACGGCCCTGCCGCTGGGCCACGCCGAGGTGGCCCTGGGCGTCATTCAGGACACCAGCCGGCTGCGCCTGCCACTCACATCGCCGCGCGGCGAGTGCGGCTTCATCACCCTGGCCTCCTGGTCACCCGACGCCGCCGTGGAGCCCGGCCAGTCGGGGAACGGGCCCCCGCGCTCCAGCACTCAGCTCTTTGACGGATCGGGCGCCGCCACGGGAGCCACCACAAGCAGCAGGCGAGGTGAGGTTATAGATATGTTCATCCCGAGACTCAACAGTAAAATTCGTTTAGGAAAAAAATCCTTTAAAATTGTCGAAATGATAAATCGTACTGCGTGAATAATAGGAATCCATTTACTCATAAGGTTTTGAATCAGCTAAATAATTTTAGCATATGAGGCATATTAAGTTTGAAACATTTTATCATTGAAACCTATTTGTCATATATGGGCTTTAAGATTCGACGGCGTCCCAGAATTCAAACGAACTTAAATCGGGAGTGCATTTGCCCAGAGTTTAGAATTAGAATTATTTAATTATCCAAGGAATGATATATGAGAATTACCACTATACCATGTCGACTTAACTGATCCACAGCCCATCGTCGCACCCAGTCGTTGCCGCCCAAATTGGGAGTTCGGTTGTTTGTGCCGCAGCAGTGCGGCCTGCAGCGGGTGTGCTCGAATCCGCGCCTGCGCACCTACCGGCTGCACTCGTCCCTGGGGGCGGACATAAGTGTGCAGGAGACGCTGCTGGAGGCGCGCCTGTGCTGCCTGCTGCCCCAACAGCTGCTCTCCATCTGGATCCAGCGCGAGAAGGAGCTGCTGCAGGAGATCTCTGGAATGGGCGAGCTGAGTGGCGAGTGGCGATGGCGCCAGATGAACCTGCTCGAGGAGCACCTGCGCCTGCTCAAGGACTACTCGCAGGCCAAGCAGAACATCCAGCAGCTGGCCCGCGACGGCATCTCCTTCAAGCGCTCCTCGGCGAAGGCGGACGAGGCGCTGGAGTTCCTGCCGGTCAACCTGCACGTCCAGCGGATGTGGGCCCAGAACGACACGCTGCAGCGGCGCGGCCTCCTGGACGTGGTCACCGTGGGCGCCTTCACGCGCCACGACGCCAAGGGACGCAAGTGCGGCGGCCTGATCAAGTGAGTGGAATATGTCATTGGGTAAAGAACCTGCACAAACAGAGGGGTTATTATGATGTCGGTCGAGAGTTTGTACACATTTTCGAAATTAAAGCAGTAGAAAATTCCGAAAGATATTTAACCACTGTCTGAAAACATCATCTGTAAGCACAAAAAGTAAAAAAATTCTCTATCCTTTAAAACATTATTATTATTTTGGATTCTCTAATGCAAATGTGATCCATAACAATCGTTGAAAAGAAATAACAAAAGAGATTTGAGCAATTCTAAAAGTTTTGCCTTTTTTTTCTCTTCGAAATTCTATAATTTGTCTTTCTAAATCTAAAACAGTTTCATAATAATTAAAAACAAAAAATGTAACGATTAATCTGCAATATTGCTATATTTTTAGTTATGGTTATATTTTAATATTTTTTTTCTTATTTTTTTAGTTTGCAAAATTGGTGTGAAAATTTAGTATCACAAAAATCCTAAAGAATATTGTCTTTCACATGATTTCTGTCTCTTTTATAAAAATTAAAACAATACAAATCGTTAAAAAGAAAATTGAAAAATCTAAAAAAATAATTAAGATTATAAAGATCCTAAAAATGTTTTAACTAGATCTGCTTACTAAATAAAATTTGTTTGATAGTCATAGAAACAATTTTCCTTAAGTACACTTTTTTAGTTTTTTTTTAAATTCGACTATTACCCTTTTTTTTGCTGTATAATTTGTTATATTGTTTATATTTGGAATGATCGGGTGTATCGGTATTTTCCTAAAGTCAACGAGGGTAACTCTCGCAACCCTTGGTTCTTTCTTTCTTTTTTTAAATGAATAATAAGAGTACCGACCTTGAGGCCATCCTTAATGATTTATCCTTTGTCCGACAGGCTGCTGCAGGAGAGCAAGTCGTGGAAGCTGGAGCAGAGCAACGCGTGCAAGGTGCAGGCGGCCAACGACGCCGTGCAGGCCACCAAGCAGCTGCGCAAGGAGATCGTCGAGCTGATGTCGCAGCTGCTCCAGCTGGCCAGCCGGCGCAGCTCCAAGGACATGATGCCGCTGTGCAACCAGATGGTGGCCCGCACACGCACGCTGCTCAACATCTGGGAGCCGAGCATCGTGGAGGAGGCGGTGACCTTCATCGAGCGCCATCGCATCATCGAGGAGCCGGAGAACGTGCTGATGGAGCCGATGTCGCCCTTCCGCAAGATCACCCAGCAGCTGACAGCTCTGGAGCTGAAGTCGCCGGAGCTGGAGGACTTTGCCACCCCGGTGGTGGCGCCGCCAGATCTCTGGCCCCGCGGTCAGCCACCGCTGATGCGCTCCAACAGCTGGCATCCGAGTAACAGCTCTCCGTCCAGCTCGCTGGACATCCGGGCCATCGACTCGCTGCAGCATGTGGTCAAATGCTACAACGATCACCTGCGCAGTCTGGAGCAGGGCAGGAATCCCCGCGAGGCCGAGGAGGAGGCCACATATCAGTCGCTGCCGCTGGCCTGGCAATCCCAGTACGCGGCCACTTCCACGTCCACGTCCCAAGTCCCAGAAGTGCCAGCCAATCTATCCGTGCTGCAGCTAATCGATCTGGACGAGATCGGGCGACGGGAGCAGAGGCAGCGGCATCAACAGCCACCGGCCGGGTTCCTGGACACCAAGCTGATGAGCTCCTCGCCGTCGGCCAACTACTACCGGCCCACGGAGGAGCCGGAGCCAATGGATCTCACCCAGCTGAACATTGAGGCGAGCGTGATGTGCCTGGTCAGCAAGCTGAAGTTCTTCTGCGGCCGCTGCGACAGTCCGGCGATCCGGTTGCGCCATCCGAAGGTCCCGCTTAAGCGGGAGGGCTTCGCAGTGGCGCCGCAGCAGGCGCCGGACGTGATCTCTGCGCCAGCAGCCGGGAAGCAGCCCCCCAAGCTCGATCTGGATCTCAAGCCGACGGCGGAGAGTGGATCCAGTTCCGGCTGCCCCGGATCGGTGGCCGTGACAGTCAAGAAGGGCAACAAGTTCACCGACGGCCTGGACCTCTCAATGACCACGGATTGGGCGGCGGAACTGCGGCCCAGCATGCGCAAGCTGCGCCACGCCATGGACCGCCTGCTGAAGACCGCCCGGCTGATGCACTCGGTGCAGCGCCTGCAGCAGGACATGCGCTGCAACCGGCTCCAGGCGAGCATCACGTACCGCAGGGACGTCTGCTTCTCCCAAGCGGTAAGGAGAAACCTAAGGAAGTTGGGTTATAACCAAATTCCTGCACCCGAAACCTAAAGTCAAACCAAAAACAGAGTAGACCAAACAAACACAAAATCGGTTTAGGAAAAGGCAAGATAATAAGCCAGTTTCGGCAAGACGAAGCTTATATACCAATGCAGCATTTAAAACAATTTATTAGTCCTATCAAGACAATCTCTAGAAAATATTTAAGTTATGTCGGTTTCTTTTATGATCCAGTCTTTCACCTAAATGAAAAAATACATTTTTAAAAGCAAGTCGTATTTAAGTGCAATCCACCATTTGACCAGTGCAAGTGTGATGAAGTTTATTATAAACAATCAATCCTCGATTTATGTATAGATATGAAACAATTTCTAAAGGCATTCCGATTTGCCTAAACAGATGAATGTCAGGTTTTGCCCCAAAGAATAAGCTACATTCTTAGCCAAACAGTCTCATATATTAATATCCAATTTTTCTTTTTGTTACATAGATTCAAAGAAACTAGAGATTTTGGTAGAGTTTTGAGTAGAGTCGTAGTCTTATCCATAGAGGACCTCGTAACTCGACTGCTTTTTTGAAAACCAAAATATTTGAATAGGTATATTTGCGACCCAGTTGGGTTGCATTTCTGTGTTGGATCTACGCATTCCCGAATACATTTGGGTGGCCATCTCTATTCCCGCGCAGGCCGTGGCTGCAACTTCTGACGAAAAACTAACGAACATCCTTCCTTTCAGCTAACCGCGCTGGTCAGCTGTCTGATGGTCCGGCTATGGGGCAGCGAGCTTGACATGGGCTACTTGGTCATGCTCCGCGATTTGGGGCCGCTGGCGTACTTCGAGGGCCTGCTGACGCTGTACGGTAACGAGGCAGACATGTTTAGCGACATGTGTATCGCCATTGAAGACTTGTCCGCCGTCAGTTTCCAGCTGGTTCGAGCACAGGGCGAGACGGCGCTGGCGCCGACGCCCCGGATCACAGGATCGCGGCAGGCGTTAGAGGTGCAGCTCCCTGTGCCGGAGCACTCGCTTCCGGGAAATGGCACCTCCATCTCCTTCAAGATCACGCCGGTCTTCTTCAACATCGGCATTAATGAAAAGGCCAGCTTTGCCGAGACGCTGGGTCAAACTCGTGAACAGCACCGCTCCAACTGGGACAACTTTCTCCGCCTGAGCCAGTACTTCGGGCGCTACCGGAAGCTGGGCCTCGGCTCCGTCGACTCCGGTGAGTCGCTGCAGTCGCTCCTTGGCTTTATGGAGCAGCAGCTCCGGGCGAACGTCTCAAAGAACGTTAAGATTCTTCACCTGGCCGAGGACGCTTGCCGGCTGATGGACGGGCTACGATTCACGTCCTGTAAGAGCGCCAAGGATCGCACCGGCATGGCGGTGACCCTGGAGCAGTGTCGTGTGCTGGTCCGCGAGTTCCAGTTGCCCGCCAAGCACGTGCCCTACGCGCTTGGTACGATGAGAAGGTGAGTTTTGAAAAGGGAATAGGGATGAGTAGATCCAAGTCGGGTTTTAACTGTCTGAATTTTGTTAACCCTCTACGCTACAAAACAGGATATGTTGATTAGGATCCTATAGGAATAGGTCACTTCTTCTTGGGCTTTGCACAAGCCGCCTTCTTGGGCTTTGCAGCCGCCTTCTTTGGCTTTGCACAAGCCGCCTTCTTGGGCTTTGCAGCCGCCTTCTTTGGCTTCGCACAAGCCGCCTTCTTTGGCTTCGCACAGGTCGTCGCCTTGGCCCTCGCAGGACTTTTTAGCTTCACAAACCTTTTTCTTTTTTCCACAGACATTGGCTTGTGCTTTGCGGATGCTCGCTGTGTCTTTACGCGCGGTGTGGCCTTACGCTTCCTGCCTCCCATGTCACATCCTCTATCGGTTTGCGGAGCGTCACTCTCATATTCCTCGCTCGATGTGGGGTAAAAATATGTATCGGACCTACCCATGTTTACTAAGAAATTTGTTCTACTATCTGAAAGGAAAAATACGTTGATTTAAACTGAAAAATACCACTGGATAAGTTTTCTTCGTGAGAACTTGCGACAAAATGTGGACGTGTACTGAGTTATGGGAAGCAAGTTAAATAGTAAATATCTGATCGGGCTCACAAGGGTTGCTATGGTTTAAAAGTTGTATGGGACTGTCACAAAACAATTTCTTAAATGAAATTTGTAAATTGTTTAAACAATTTGAGGTGTTTATTCGTCGAAATACGGACGTGTACTGAGTTATTGGAAGCAAGTTGAATAGAAAATACCTGATCGGGCTCACGAGGGTTGCTATGTTTTAAAAATTGTATGGGACTGTCACAAAACAATGTCTTACCGATTATAAAATTAAATGAAATTTATGAATTCTTTGAAAAATTTGAGGTGTTTATTCGTCGAAATACGGACGTGTACTGAGTTATTGGAAGCAAGTTAAATAGAAAATAGCTGATCGGGCTCACAAGGGTTGCTATGTTTTAAAAATTGTATGGGACTGTCACAAAACAATGTCTTACCGATTATACAATTAAATGAAATTTATGAATTCTTTAAAAAATTAAGGTGTTTATTCGTCGAAATACGGACGTGTACTGAGCTTGGGAAGCAAGTTAAATAGAAAATACCTGATCGGGCTCACAAGGGTTGCTATGTTTTAAAAATTTTATGGCACTGTCAAAAAAACAATGTCTTACCGAGTATACAATTAAATGAAATTTATGAATTGTTTAAAAAAAATTCAGGTGTTTATTCGTCGAAATACGGACGTGTACTGAGTTATTGGAAGCAAGTTAAATAGAAAATAGCTGATCGGGCTCACAAGGGTTGCTATGTTTTAAAAATTGTATGGGACTGTCACAAAACAATGTCTTACCGATTATAAAATTAAATGAAATTTATGAATTGTTTAAAAAAAATTGAGGTGTTTATTCGTCGAAATACGGACGTGTACCGAGTTATTGGAAGCAAGTTGAATAGAAAATACCTGATCGCGCTCACAAGGGTTGCTATGTTTTAAAAATTGTATGGGACTGTCACAAAACAATGTCTTACCGATTATAAAATTAAATGAAATTTATAAATTCTTTGAAAAATTTGAGGTGTTTATTCGTCGAAATACGGACGTGTACTGAGCTTGGAAAGCAAGTTAAATAGTAAATACCTGATCGGGCTCACAAGGGTTGCTATGTTTTAAAAATTGTATGGGACTGTCACAAAACAATGTCTTACCGATTATAAAATTAAATGAAATTTATGAATTGTTTAAAAAAAATTGAGGTGTTTATTCGTCGAAATACGGACGTGTACTGAGTTATTGGAAGCAAGTTAAATAGAAAATAGCTGATCGGGCTCACAAGGGTTGCTATGTTTTAAAAATTGTATGGGACTGTCACAAAACAATGTCTTACCGATTATAAAATTAAATGAAATTTATGAATTGTTTAAAAAAAATTGAGGTGTTTATTCGTCGAAATACGGACGTGTACTGAGTTATTGGAAGCAAGTTGAATAGAAAATACCTGATCGCGCTCACAAGGGTTGCTATGTTTTAAAAATTGTATGGGACTGTCACAAAACAATGTCTTACCGATTATAAAATTAAATGAAATTTATGAATTCTTTGAAAAATTGAGGTGTTTATTCGTCGAAATACGGACGTGTACTGAGTTATTGGAAGCAAGTTAAATAGAAAATAGCTGATCGGGCTCACAAGGGTTGCTATGTTTTAAAAATTGTATGGGACTGTCACAAAACAATGTCTTACCGAGTATACAATTAAATGAAATTTATGAATTGTTTAAAAAAAATTCAGGTGTTTATTCGTCGAAATACGGACGTGTACTGAGTTATGGGAAGCAAGTTAAATAGTAAATATCTGATCGGGCTCGCAAGGGTTGCTATGTTTTAAAAATTGTATGGGACTGTCACAAAACAATGTCTTACCGATTATAAAATTAAATGAAATTTATAAATTCTTTGAAAAATTTGAGGTGTTTATTCGTCGAAATACGGACGTGTACTGAGCTTGGAAAGCAAGTTAAATAGTAAATACCTGATCGGGCTCACAAGGGTTGCTATGTTTTAAAAATTGTATGGGACTGGCACAAAACAATGTCTTACCGATTATAAAATTAAATGAAATTTATGAATTGTTAAAAAAATTGAGGTGTTTATTCGTCGAAATACGGACGTGTACTGAGTTATTGGAAGCAAGTTAAATAGTAAATACCTGATCGGGCTAACAAGGGTTGCTATGTTTAAAAAATTTTATGGGACTGTCACAAAACAATGTCTTACCGATTATAAAATTAAATGAAATTTATGAATTCTTTGAAAAATTGAGGTGTTTATTCGTCGAAATACGGACGTGTACTGAGTTATTGGAAGCAAGTTAAATAGTAAATACCTGATCGGGCTCACAAGGGTTGCTATGTTTAAAAAATTTTATGGGACTGTCACAAAACAATGTCTTACCGATTATAAAATTAAATGAAATTTATGAATTGTTAAAAAAATTGAGGTGTTTATTCGTCGAAATACGGACGTGTACTGAGCTTGGAAAGCAAGTTAAATAGTAAATACCTGATCGGGCTCACAAGGGTTGCTATGTTAAAAAAATTGTAAGCAACAGTCTCAAAACAAGGATTGCTTTGATTTAAACAATTTTATAAGACTTGAACCTCTCTCAGAGGCAGGTCATGTGAAATGAGTTTGAAGCGTGGGCGTTGAGTTAGTTTCAGCATGCCACTTTTCCGCTGATCACATGTCGCCTTACTCTGGACGGGGTTTCCATCGATCACTCTGCCACGGTTAAGTACTTTGGGCTTACCCTAGACAGGCGACTTACCTGGAAGAAGCATTTAGCATATTGGAGCTGCTGTGCTCCCACTCGGCAAAAAGCTTGGAAGATGAGATGGCTGATTCGGTCGGGCAGTGGACTATCGCTGACGGCGAAATCAAAACTTTTTAAGGCTATTTTGACGCCTACCCTTTCTTGGGGAATCCCATTTTGGGGCACTGCCTGTAACACCTCCATAAAACTATAAGAATAGTGCCCAGCCAAAATTTTATGACATGATGAACGCCCCTTACTATATACGAAACTCCACTAAAATTTAATTGAAAAATATATTTATTGTTAAATAATTCAATTCTGCTCTTCCATTTTATTTCAGTGAGGGAACGCGCATGGATAACGTACTCAAGAACATTGGGAAGCGGAAGTATGCCTTCAATCGAACTCAGGTCTCTTTTCTGCCGGCCATGTACAGGCCACCAGTTGGTAGCTACGGCAAGGCGCAGACTTAAGGGCTCCACTCGGGATCCCCATCCGAATCCAAATGTCCAAATGTAGAGCGGTCCGGTCGATCCAATGGCGGTCAAGTACTTAATGGACATGGGACAACTTAACACAGAGATATGTATATCAGCGAAGCGAAGCAAAACAAAACGTATAAAACTGTGCCAAAAATACATACAAAACAATTTAACCAATTTTGCGCGAGGCAAGCAAAACATAGAAACAAGTGAGAGGAAATAATAGGTAACTAATTAAATTAGCACATTGAAGGAGTCACTTCCGGACAATTGTTAACGCATCACACAATTCCAATTCCAATTCGGTAGTATGACCCGCTATATCCCCCTTCCCATATTTATTTAGGCTATATCCACGTAGTTGTAGTTTGCAAAAGAGGCAACCGTACTCTAGCGACTCATTTACTTCCAGTGAATAAAAAACAAACTTGTTAACCACTATTACCCACAAACCTAACAGCATTGCATCCCTAATAGTCCTGAACCCGTCCGGTGCCCAGACGCTGCTTCCGGATCTCTGTCTTCAGCCACGAGGGTACATCGCGAATGGGATGGGCGTTGGGGAAGCGCAACGACTGCTCCGGTCCTTCGAAGGGGTGTGTTTTGGCCAGCTTCCGTTCCAGGTACTCCTTGTTGACCTGCTTTTGGTCGCGGTGCTTGTCCATGTACAGATTGAAGGGCTGTTTCAGCGGGAAGAACTTCTGGTCGGCCAGATACGGCTTGGGGAAGTCGTACTCGTAGACTGGCTCCTTGCTCTCTGCGCGATAGGTGCCAAATTATTACTGTGAGATCTGACGAGATCGCCACCGCTTAACTCACTTAAGACATCATGGTACAAATGGGTCAGCGACTCATCCCAGTTGGTCTGATAGAAGGCCAGGCCAGCCGGCGTCAGCTGCTCTTGGTGCTGGCGATAGAAGTCAAGGGTACTAAAGGTGCGCTTCTCCAGGTTGTTGTAGTCGGCATCGGCCAGCTGATAGGAGCCGAGATCCAGACGCGCCTCCTGCTTGTAGAGCACGAACACCATTCGCTGGTAGCCCACGCCGCGGGGCGGAAATGGCGGTAGATACTCGGCGAGCACCTGGCCATCGCCCACCTTGCCGTTGGGTATGTTGGCACTGCAAAAGACGGTTCAGGAATGGCGTCCTCTTCAGAAAAAACTGAACTTACATGAACCAATGCAGGCATTCCGCCGTCGCGTTTGTGTAGTGCGCATCGGGATTGGTGGCCAGCAGGGTCCAGTAAGTGTCCTGGCCGGCGGCTTGCCCGGTGATGGGGTCCAGCAGGCCATCGAAGCTGATCTGCGGCGCCTTGGCCGCCTCCGCCGGCTTGATCACGTTGCCATTGTAGACGGGGGCCAGACTGTCACCGTCCACCTCGTAGCTTATGCTGAGCGGCACCCGGGGCACAAAGTAAGCGCTGCCGAAGAGGTGCTCGAATATGCCGTAGTGATCTGCAAGCAGACGCAGATCGTGCTGGCCCGTGGTCTTTACGTAGGTCCGCTGCACCTTGTCCAGGTCAATGATCACTGCGGGCAGGAGATAGGGGAACAAAATAAGCGATTGTGGGTACACCTTCCCATGATCCCTGGCTCCACTCACACTTGTTGGTGCGCGCCAGCTGCTCCAGTTCCTTGCTGGACCGCTGCGCCTTCAGGTGCTCCAGTCGCGCCTTTAGTTGCGCCGATCGCGACTCCTTCAGCTGCGGGAAGCCAATGTTGATGCGGGCCGCCACCTCTGGATCAGTGGCGGTCTCCTCTGCGCCAAGGATCGCACCGGCATGGCGGTGACCCTGGAGCAGTGTCGAGTGGTGGTCCGCGAGTTCCAGTTGCCCTACGCGCTTGGTACGATGAGAAGGTGAGTTTTGAAAAGGGAATAGGGATGAGTAGATCCAAGTCGGGTTTTAACTGTCTGAATTTTGTTAACCCTCTACGCTACAAAACAGGATATGTTGATTAGGATCCTATAGGAATAGGTCACTTATTCTTGGGCTTTGCAGCCGCCTTCTTTGGCTTTGCACAAGCCGCCTTCTTGGGCTTTGCAGCCGCCTTCTTTGGCTTCGCACAAGCCGCCTTCTTTGGCTTCGCACAGGTCGTCGCCTTGGCCCTCGCAGGACTTTTTAGCTTCACAAACCTTTTTCTTTTTCCACAGACATTGGCTTGTGCTTTGCGGATGCTCGCTGTGTCTTTACGCGCGGTGTGGCCTTACGCTTCCTGCCTCCCATGTCACATCCTCTATCGGTTTGCGGAGCGTCACTCTCATATTCCTCGCTCGATGTGGGGTAAAAATATGTATCGGACCTACCCATGTTTACTAAGAAATTTGTTCTACTATCTGAAAGGAAAAATACGTTGATTTAAACTGAAAAATACCACTGGATAAGTTTTCTTCGTGAGAACTTGCGACAAAATGTGGACGTGTACTGAGTTATGGGAAGCAAGTTAAATAGTAAATATCTGATCGGGCTCACAAGGGTTGCTATGGTTTAAAAGTTGTATGGGACTGTCACAAAACAATTTCTTAAATGAAATTTGTAAATTGTTTAAACAATTTGAGGTGTTTATTCGTCGAAATACGGACGTGTACTGAGTTATTGGAAGCAAGTTGAATAGAAAATACCTGATCGGGCTCACAAGGGTTGCTATGGTTTAAAAGTTGTATGGGACTGTCACAAAACAATTTCTTAAATGAAATTTGTAAATTGTTTAAACAATTTGAGGTGTTTATTCGTCGAAATACGGACGTGTACTGAGTTATTGGAAGCAAGTTAAATAGAAAATAGCTGATCGGGCTCACAAGGGTTGCTATGTTTTAAAAATTTTATGGGACTGTTACAAAACAGTGTCTTACCGATTATATAATAACATGAAATTTATAAATTCTTTGAAAAATTTGAGGTGTTTATTCGTCGAAATACGGACGTGTACTGAGTTATTGGAAGCAAGTTAAATAGAAAATAGCTGATCGGGCTCACGAGGGTTGCTATGTTTTAAAAATTGTATGGGACTGTCACAAAACAATGTCTTACCGATTATAAAATTAAATGAAATTTATGAATTCTTTGAAAAATTGAGGTGTTTATTCGTCGAAATACGGACGTGTACTGAGTTATTGGAAGCAAGTTAAATAGAAAATAGCTGATCGGGCTCACGAGGGTTGCTATGTTTTAAAAATTGTATGGGACTGTCACAAAACAATGTCTTACCGATTATAAAATTAAATGAAATTTATGAATTCTTTGAAAAATTGAGGTGTTTATTCGTCGAAATACGGACGTGTACTGAGTTATTGGAAGCAAGTTAAATAGAAAATAGCTGATCGGGCTCACAAGGGTTGCTATGTTTTAAAAATTTTATGGGACTGTCACAAAACAATGTCTTACCGATTATAAAATTAAATGAAATTTATGAATTCTTTGAAAAATTGAGGTGTTTATTCGTCGAAATACGGACGTGTACTGAGCTTGGAAAGCAAGTTAAATAGTAAATACCTGATCGGGCTCACAAGGGTTGCTATGTTTTAAAAATTTTATGGGACTGTTACAAAACAGTGTCTTACCGATTATATAATAACATGAAATTTATAAATTCTTTGAAAAATTTGAGGTGTTTATTCGTCGAAATACGGACGTGTACTGAGCTTGGAAAGCAAGTTAAATAGTAAATACCTGATCGGGCTCACAAGGGTTGCTATGTTTTAAAAATTGTATGGGACTGTCACAAAACAATGTCTTACCGATTAAAAAATTAAATGAAATTTATGAATTGTTAAAAAAATTGAGGTGTTTATTCGTCGAAATACGGACGTGTACTGAGTTATTGGAAGCAAGTTAAATAGAAAATAGCTGATCGCGCTCACAAGGGTTGCTATGTTTTAAAAATTGTATGGGACTGTCACAAAACAATGTCTTACCGATTATAAAATTAAATGAAATTTATGAATTCTTTGAAAAATTGAGGTGTTTATTCGTCGAAATACGGACGTGTACTGAGCTTGGAAAGCAAGTTAAATAGTAAATACCTGATCGGGCTCACAAGGGTTGCTATGTTTAAAAAATTTTATGGGACTGTCACAAAACAATGTCTTACCGATTATAAAATTAAATGAAATTTATGAATTGTTAAAAAAATTGAGGTGTTTATTCGTCGAAATACGGACGTGTACTGAGCTTGGAAAGCAAGTTAAATAGTAAATACCTGATCGGGCTCACAAGGGTTGCTATGTTAAAAAAATTGTAAGCAACAGTCTCAAAACAAGGATTGCTTTGATTTAAACAATTTTATAAGACTTGAACCTCTCTCAGAGGCAGGTCATGTGAAATGAGTTTGAAGCGTGGGCGTTGAGTTAGTTTCAGCATGCCACTTTTCCGCTGATCACATGTCGCCTTACTCTGGACGGGGTTTCCATCGATCACTCTGCCACGGTTAAGTACTTTGGGCTTACCCTAGACAGGCGACTTACCTGGAAGAAGCATTTAGCATATTGGAGCTGCTGTGCTCCCACTCGGCAAAAAGCTTGGAAGATGAGATGGCTGATTCGGTCGGGCAGTGGACTATCGCTGACGGCGAAATCAAAACTTTTTAAGGCTATTTTGACGCCTACCCTTTCTTGGGGAATCCCATTTTGGGGCACTGCCTGTAACACCTCCATAAAACTATAAGAATAGTGCCCAGCCAAAATTTTATGACATGATGAACGCCCCTTACTATATACGAAACTCCACTAAAATTTAATTGAAAAATATATTTATTGTTAAATAATTCAATTCTGCTCTTCCATTTTATTTCAGTGAGGGAACGCGCATGGATAACGTACTCAAGAACATTGGGAAGCGGAAGTATGCCTTCAATCGAACTCAGGTCTCTTTTCTGCCGGCCATGTACAGGCCACCAGTTGGTAGCTACGGCAAGGCGCAGACTTAAGGGCTCCACTCGGGATCCCCATCCGAATCCAAATGTCCAAATGTAGAGCGGTCCGGTCGATCCAATGGCGGTCAAGTACTTAATGGACATGGGACAACTTAACACAGAGATATGTATATCAGCGAAGCGAAGCAAAACAAAACGTATAAAACTGTGCCAAAAATACATACAAAACAATTTAACCAATTTTGCGCGAGGCAAGCAAAACATAGAAACAAGTGAGAGGAAATAATAGGTAACTAATTAAATTAGCACATTGAAGGAGTCACTTCCGGACAATTGTTAACGCATCACACAATTCCAATTCCAATTCGGTAGTATGACCCGCTATATCCCCCTTCCCATATTTATTTAGGCTATATCCACGTAGTTGTAGTTTGCAAAAGAGGCAACCGTACTCTAGCGACTCATTTACTTCCAGTGAATAAAAAACAAACTTGTTAACCACTATTACCCACAAACCTAACAGCATTGCATCCCTAATAGTCCTGAACCCGTCCGGTGCCCAGACGCTGCTTCCGGATCTCGTGTCTTCAGCCACGAGGGTACATCGCGAATGGGATGGGCGTTGGGGAAGCGCAACGACTGCTCCGGTCCTTCGAAGGGGTGTGTTTTGGCCAGCTTCCGTTCCAGGTACTCCTTGTTGACCTGCTTTTGGTCGCGGTGCTTGTCCATGTACAGATTGAAGGGCTGTTTCAGCGGGAAGAACTTCTGGTCGGCCAGATACGGCTTGGGGAAGTCGTACTCGTAGACTGGCTCCTTGCTCTCTGCGCGATAGATGCCAAATTATTACTGTGAGATCTGACGAGATCGCCACCGCTTAACTCACTTAAGACATCATGGTACAAATGGGTCAGCGACTCATCCCAGTTGGTCTGATAGAAGGCCAGGCCAGCCGGCGTCAGCTGCTCTTGGTGCTGGCGATAGAAGTCAAGGGTACTAAAGGTGCGCTTCTCCAGGTTGTTGTAGTCGGCATCGGCCAGCTGATAGGAGCCGAGATCCAGACGCGCCTCCTGCTTGTAGAGCACGAACACCATTCGCTGGTAGCCCACGCCGCGGGGCGGAAATGGCGGTAGATACTCGGCGAGCACCTGGCCATCACCCACCTTGCCGTTGGGTATGTTGGCACTGCAAAAGACGGTTCAGGAATGGCGTCCTCTTCAGAAAAAAACTGAACTTACATGAACCAATGCAGGAATTCCGCCGTCGCGTTTGTGTAGTGCGCATCGGGATTGGTGGCCAGCAGGGTCCAGTAAGTGTCCTGGCCGGCGGCTTGCCCGGTGATGGGGTCCAGCAGGCCATCGAAGCTGATCTGCGGCGCCTTGGCCGCCTCCGCCGGCTTGATCACGTTGCCATTGTAGACGGGGGCCAGACTGTCACCGTCCACCTCGTAGCTTATGCTGAGCGGCACCCGGGGCACAAAGTAAGCGCTGCCGAAGAGGTGCTCGAATATGCCGTAGTGATCTGCAAGCAGACGCAGATCGTGCTGGCCCGTGGTCTTTACGTAGGTCCGCTGCACCTTGTCCAGGTCAATGATCACTGCGGGCAGGAGATAGGGGAACAAAATAAGCGATTGTGGGTACACCTTCCCATGATCCCTGGCTCCACTCACACTTGTTGGTGCGCGCCAGCTGCTCCAGTTCCTTGCTGGACCGCTGCGCCTTCAGGTGCTCCAGTCGCGCCTTTAGTTGCGCCGATCGCGACTCCTTCAGCTGCGGGAAGCCAATGTTGATGCGGGCCGCCACCTCTGGATCAGTGGCGGTCTCCTCTGCGCCAAGGATCGCACCGGCATGGCGGTGACCCTGGAGCAGTGTCGAGTGGTGGTCCGCGAGTTCCAGTTGCCCTACGCGCTTGGTACGATGAGAAGGTGAGTTTTGAAAAGGGAATAGGGATGAGTAGATCCAAGTCGGGTTTTAACTGTCTGAATTTTGTTAACCCTCTACGCTACAAAACAGGATATGTTGATTAGGATCCTATAGGAATAGGTCACTTCTTCTTGGGCTTTGCACAAGCCGCCTTCTTGGGCTTTGCAGCCGCCTTCTTTGGCTTTGCACAAGCCGCCTTCTTGGGCTTTGCAGCCGCCTTCTTTGGCTTCGCACAAGCCGCCTTCTTTGGCTTCGCACAGGTCGTCGCCTTGGCCCTCGCAGGACTTTTTTAGCTTCACAAACCTTTTTCTTTTTTCCACAGACATTGGCTTGTGCTTTGCGGATGCTCGCTGTGTCTTTACGCGCGGTGTGGCCTTACGCTTCCTGCCTCCCATGTCACATCCTCTATCGGTTTGCGGAGCGTCACTCTCATATTC